TAATATTTTTATATTTTTTACCATAAAACATGGTTACATTTTACCATTTTGGGGGGGGGCTTCAGCCCGAAAGCCCTCCCCGTAAATCCGCCTGTGGTTAATTATAATTCATGATTAAGTAATAAATTACGTAATTATATCATAGAATAATAACACCAAAAAATATTTGGACAATTAATATTCAATTTAATTTTCACTAATATTTCTCTGATTATAACTCAGTCTGAACAATATATTCATCGAATCCAGGGCCATGAAAAGAAAACAAGAATCCCAGATCTTTTTTTCTGAGCGCTATATTATTATTGAGTTATATTAAATTTAAAACTGAATATAACCCAAGCAAGTATGCAACAAAAATGTTATATAAAGATACTAAATTTTTTTTTTTTCCTTCTCTTTCCTTGCCTTTAAGGCTATACGGGGCTTTCCCAGACCAGGGGGTGTGGATGGGGATTTAAAAGACTCCCCCGACACCGGGACGCGAACTCGTGACTATTTTAAATCCATTGTCATAGATATCAGGTTGCCGGGCAACAGCGGTGCTGTGCACACACGTTAGCCAATTTGGCCACCCCGCCCTACTAGATAATGATTGTGTAATATAATGTTATCTTATTCACAATTAATGTGAATTTGTAAGTTAAAAAATTCTACCCTCTTTCCCTACCCTCCACCCTTTCGTCGAGTCTGATCGAATCAAATATTGTCTAATTTTTAAATCAAAAATATGTAATTATAAGGACTATGATTTCCTACCTCTAGAACGAATCTCCGTTACCATTACGTTCTAATTCGTTCCCAACTTTATTAACTCACACACAAATGGCAGATCCACTCAAGGAAGACTATCTCGGAAGAAATAAATTTCCACTCGTATCGGGAATGCTTAAGCTGTGCAAAGAATGAAGTAATTTAACAATACCTTACGTAAAAATATTGAACCCTGATATGATCCACCTGGTATGATCACTAACCGAATTAATTATATACCATTCTCACAATTAAAAGCCACAATTTCAAAGTCGGTTGGATTGTCGAACTTTTATTAAATTATTTTTTTTTTTTTTAGAACCTGTTTATTGAAAAATATTACAATCTATCTCAAAGGATATTTATAATAGTCTTCACACTCTAAGTACAATAACTAAAAATAAATTAAATAGACAAATAATATATACATATACAATAAATAAGAATAAAGTATATAAATAAAAACAAAAAAAAACACATACATACCTATTTACACTATTTACAATCAGGGAACTCCGATCCAGACTTGCCCCTTCAACTGTGGAGGGAAAAGTATGGCTCCAGGAGATCCCTGCACTACTCTCTCAACCGCGTTACTGGAGCTCCCAATGGAGATTGAGCGAGAGCGCTTTAGCCATACACATTCATGTCGTGAGTGGAGAATCTGCCTATTGCGAGAACTCCAATATAAACAAACTATAAAAGGTCGCGGGGCCACTGCCGTTTTAACCTTCTTGGAGAGTTATAGGGATGGGTTGTGCTGGATAGAGATTGTGCAAGGGGATTTGGATGACATGTAAGGTTCTGGAGAAATCTGGAGAACTTTTCTGAGACAGACAAAAAAAAGGTCTAGGACAAATGGGATATTAAGGTCATGGTGTAGGATTTTGTTGATTAAATAGAAAGGAGCATCGAATATTGTTCGAAAGACTCTGGACTGGAAAAATTGGATGCGTTTGATGTTAGAAATATTTACTGTCCCCCAAAGTTCGAGTCCGTAAATCCAAATAGGCTTCAGTATTGTCTTGCAGAACAGTATTTTTTTTTCAATAGAAACTTTAGATTTTCTATTTAGTAGTATGTATAGTTGGCCGTATCGTCGGTTAAGTTCCTGTCTTTTAAGTCTACTATGAGTGCTCCACGTTAGTCGTCGGTCCAAGAGAAAGCAAGATACCGGACTGTGTCTGAGAAAGGAAGGTGGATGTAATTGAAGTGTACTGGTGGACAGGAATCCCGCCGTGTAAAGGTAATATGTTGCCATCTGGATTCATTTATTTTAATGCGCCATTTATTACACCAGTGCTCAATCATGGAGAGGTGCCTTTGCAGATTTAAAGATGCTATTTCGGGATCTGAATTGGATGATAGGATGGCAGTGTCATCTGCAAATGTTACCAGGAAGATATCGGGATGGACAGGGATATCGGCGGTATAGAGGATGTAAAGGAAGGGACCCAAAAGGCTACTATGAGGAACTCCAGCTTCAATTGGATAGTAATTGGAAAATTTAGTGCCGCAACGAACTCGGAAGATGCGATCAGAGAGGGAAAATGAATTATTACAATTTATTTACAGTTCATAAATCATAAATGCAATACTCATAATTTTAAATTATAAAAATTGTTAATAACAAAATTCGAAACTCAAAGACAGCATATGTATCTAAACGTTTCATATCGTCAGTTTATTGCAAAATGCCACTAATTGAATTCTCGTTGTAGATCAACTTTCACCTATATTTTTGCGTATTTTGACTTTATTTATCGATACAAAAACCCTGTAAGTGCATAAAAATGATGCAACCCCTTTTATATGTCAAATGTGATTGCAGCAAGCGCACAACTTTATATCATAAAAGAAAAATTCTTCAAAGTTCTTAATCATTTAAATGTCATTATAAACTGTTTGGAATATACCGACGATATAGGCATAATTAATTTAAAATAAACTTAGAAAATAATTTCCTAGAAGCGATTAATATAAAAATTAAAATCAAATCAACATTTATTATCCAAAGAAAATGCTTTCTAACTGGTAAGTTAGTTTATATTAAGTTGTCACAAAATTTTCTGTGGATAAAACTGTTTTATTAAAAAAAAAACAATATAAATCTATAAGTAGGGAAATTTAATTTGCTTTTAATATCACACCTTTACTTTCTTGATTTCCAAATTGGCACCAAATTTTACATCATTATATTTTTCGAATAGCTGTTCACAAAAAAAATATGTCATTCACTGGAAAATAAGTCCAATGCAATAGAAATGTTAAGAAAAACTGCTCATTTCAATTAATTTAAGCGAATATAAGCTGAACGTAGAAGTTGTGCATCTCAGGACATGTTGATGTTCATTGCATTTCTTACAGTAATTGCAAACAATTTCATATTCATATAAAATTTAGCAAAGGTTGACGTTACAATGTGATTAATAGTTTTCATAAATATATTTTACAGAATGTATTTATTTTATCATCATCTCATTTCTTCTTGATTAATAAAACGGGCACCTTTGTTTAAAAATTCAAATATTTGAATAATGGTATCAAAGTTACTTTATATAATTGTTCTGGAGTTTAACACTCCTAATCACCGTTTTTCCAAATTGCCATTGAGGCGAGGATACTAAATATGTTTGATGGAAGGGAACGGAGCTATATCCAATCTGATCGGGACTGGTGTTGTCGGAAGGTATTGTAAAGGAAGTTCGTCACCGGTGTAGAAATCTTCGTACGTAAGCCGGGACGGGGTGGCCGAGCGGGCTAACGCGTAAGCACACTACCTCCGTTGCCTGGCAACCTAATATATTTGAGATAATTTGATAAAAATAGTCACGAGTTCGCATCCCGGTGACGAAGGAGTCTTTTTAACTCTGGAATTAATCTCCCGGCCTCACTCCCTGGCCCGGGTAAACCCCGTACAGCCTGAAAGGCGAGCAGGGGAAGGACCAAAATATGTACGTGAGCTCTTTTGTGTTTATTTTTCTTCAAATCGGGTCAGATCCTAAGGAATACAGGATTAATATCCTAACCAGCCAATGCAGGAATAGCCTAAATAATAAGGAATAAATAATTATGAATTATATTATCAGGAAAACTTAATTGACTGATAAAACGATTTTTTTTTTTTAATGTGAAAGTAAAAACTAGCTATATTTTATCAGAGTGTCCAGTAACTCTCTTCCATTTTTTTTTTTTAATGCGAAACCTATAGACGATACTTGTTGATACAGGTTGATTTACTATACATGAACAGTTGTGCTAAGTTGACTTCTTTCATCTTTCAGGAAACCTCACTAAGCCCTCCTTCCAAAATTGTTGAGAACTACAATATATTCATCGAGGTGCGTTTTTATTTCGCTTTCGGATTTGTGATATTTATTTATAGAGAATTTTTTAATGAGAGAAACAAGTAATAATCGGATAGGGACAGTCTGGAGAGTACGGAAGATGAGGAAGAACGTCCCAATTAAACCGTAAGAGTTTCTGTCTTAGGGCCAACGCAACGATGAAAAACGACATCTCATTGGGTTGCCAATTCTGGCCGTTTTTTCGCAATGGCGGTTTTCAAATTATCGATTTGATGCAATATTTGGCAGAATTGATCGTTTCCCCTTGTGAAAGGAATTCGTAGTACACTACACCATTCCAATCCCTAAAACGTACAAAATAACTTTCTTCGGATGAAATCTTACAATTTGATTTGGACGTTCTACCTCATCCTCTGTACTTTCCAGACCTTGTCCCTTCCAATAATTACTTGTTCCTATCTTCAAAATTCTCTATGTGACAAATGTCACAAATCCGAAAGCGAAATAAGAATGCACCTCAATGAATATTTTTCTATGAATAATTAAGTCTCAATTTTGGAAAGAGGGCATAATGAGGCTTCCTAACAGATAATAGAGAAGAACAGTTCATATGTAAGTCAGTAAATTAACATTAAACAACAAATATCGTATGTTTTTTTCAAGAAAAAAATGGTAAACTTTATGGGGCATCCTAATATTTATGTATAAGACTAAGGTTTTTTAATATTTAACTAATGAAGTGCTTTCGAAATGATAATTCTAATATTTCATTTAAAATTGTTTTATTTGTTTGTTGTTTTTTTCCAAAACTCCATAGATATTTTCAATTATCGGCATCATAATTAACCATTCATTTATGAATTCACGTTTACTGCTCTCACAATATAAGTAAATTATTAAATTCAAACAATAATAGATAACTTCCTCTATACAGATTCAATGGAGCCGAAAATAGATATAATGGACCCGCTACAGTTCTTGGAGAAAATATTGGCATGGATGGGAGTGGTAAAGATCGTGGAGGATCGAAGGCCTGGGTACTACATGCCGATGGTGGTCGTGCAGCACATGGCTAACCTCTACGGCTGGTTTGCCATTATAGCCTATCTCATGGGCGACAATCCTTTCTTGAGCAAGATGGACAGCATGCAATATTTAATATCGATGACGCACATGGTAACCAAATACTACAATCTACACTACAATAGTGCACCTTACAGGCGCCTCATCGCTGACGCCAGGCATCTTTGGGAGGAGGCCAAGAGAAGACCACGTATGAAGAATCTTTTGGCTAAACTAAGGTATGTTCCGAACCTTTTTAAGGGATTTTTTTTTAATTCAGCATTATTTCATAATTACATTATATTTATTATGATTGAGCATCTACTCGTATGTAAAAACACAATAACTAAAAAGCAACCGAGGAGTATACGACCAAATGACAATTTATCCACATTCGGAAAAAAAAATTATAAATAACCATGGAAATTATAATGGGTTATCTCAGAGATGATGTTAAGTTAGGTTTTGATTAAAAAGACTAATTCTGTTACAGCTAGGTACAAGCAAGTGGACAAAACGTCATAGCTTTCCCCTGCAAAATAGCAGAAACACTGGCAAAACCTTTGTATCAAATATCCTCTAATACTAGGCAAACCTCTACAAATTGCAGAAATGAACCAAGGCAACGAAGAAAACTATAATATTCCTATCGGGATACAGGAACTCGAATATTTTCTACACAAATGCCCAAAGAAATCAGTTGTGATGTGTAGTGACGGAATTTCAGTCTAGGTCTATACCTAACTTAAATACAGAATTTCAATTTCGTAAGAATTTTCACAGACATACACAAACGCAGACCATTTTGTGGGACTTGGTTATTTGGACTCAGGGGACCTCAAAACGTGTATTTTCGTTGAAAACATTGCTAACATTTTACAGATTGTCTTTTCTCTACAACTCTTCTATTCCATATAATCGGGGTGGGGGGAGAGGGGTTACCATCATCTTTCTTGACAATGCCTTTAATATATGGTCAAGTTAATTTTATTAATTTGGTTGCATTTTACTATGTTTATCTCAATAAAACATCTAGATGTATCTATTCTGTAGCGTTTTTATATGATCCAAATTAACATGTTTAATAAATAGCAATAAGCTAATAGGTAACTGCGAAACTCTTGGGCAATACCAGACCAATACTGAGCGTCTAAGACCAAGACTGAGTACGAAAGACCAAGACTGTGTGCGCAAGTCCAAGACCAAGGTTTGTTGATACAAGACCAAGATTTACCCGGTCTCGTATTGGTCTTGCATTTTGGTAACACTACTATTCCTTGATTTCTAGAGGTAACTCGCAGAAATTCGTCAGAAAGCCTCAACTCAGCAAGGAAACCCAAAATAATTAGCAAGAGACAAAGTGTAATCAAAAAACCAGATGAATAAATACAATTATCTAAGACGATGCAAAGTTCAGTAATTGCCGAAATTCTAGCACTGTTTATCACTTGACCATACATAAAACCTAGAGCGGTTTCATATCATTTTTGACTACTGTTCCATTCTATATCCTCATTATGGCACAAGCATTTGATCTCTTGCTCACTCATAAATGAAGAAACGCTAATTTGTGTGGTGAATTAAATATATAGTATATTATAAAATATAAATATATTGTATTAATTTATTATAACTTGGCGTACGCATATCTCAAACCCAGTTAATTAAAATTATTTGTTTTGTTTTTTCAGCCAAAATGCAAATAAAGAAATAAAGATGTATTTCTTTATCTTCGCTATGGTAAGCCCAGCCTCATGCTTAATCACATTAATAGTAAACATGATGCAGGAGCCCGAGGATAGGGGGAAACCTTTCTTCGTTTGGGACCCCGTACCCGAGTCCTGGTACTGGACCAGTTGTTTCATGGAAGGAATCGGCATGTTCATACTTCTCTCATTGCTGGGTGCCATGGTGCTTGCGTGCTACGCGACCTGTCAACAAGCGGCCATTCAAACTAGAATATTACAAGAAATGTTAGAGGAATCGCCATTTGACCTAAGAGCATGCGTTATACTTCATCAGAAAATACTCAGGTTGTTCAATTCATACATCCAAATATATTATTATACTATTATAGAACTTTCCACTGTGGGTTCGTGGGTAGAGTAGACCCACAGTATTTACCGCTTGTCGTAAAAGGCGACTAAAGGGACTACTGTCCGTTGACCTCATACCTTCATCCTAGACATTCCTTCCATTGGTTCTTCCTATCATCTTCCTGTACTCCTTATTTTCCTAATCCTCCCATCGTCTTATGGATTAGAATGAAAGTTCAGAGACTCGCGTTGGGAGTTGGGCGCTGTGCTGACAACCCGGTCTCATAAAAAGCCTCTTGTTACGAACACACAAAGAAGAAATAGCCGGACTGATTTAAGGTTGAGACCTAAGCTTGAAAATGGACTTATACATATCGGAACATGGAACGTTAGAAGTATGCTTCAGCCAGGAGTGAATAGGATTTTAGAAGAGGGGCTGTTGAAATATAAAATGGATATCGTAGCCCTACAGGAAATAAGGTGGAAAGATGTTGGTATAGTTACTCTGAATAACTATACGTTCTTCAATACTCGCAGTAAATGTAATCTGTTGGGGACTGGTTTTATGGTAAAAAAAACACTCTCAAGAAAGCAGGGATATATTATGAGGCTGTTAATGACAGAATATGTAGGATAAGACTGAAAGGTAGAATTTTTAACTTATCAATGGTGAGCGTACATGCACCGACAGAAGATAAATAAGAAGAAGAGAAGGATGAATTTTATGGTACTCTGGAGAGGATAGTGGATGGAATCCCGAGATATGACGTGAAGCGGGTCTTAGGAAATTGGAATGCGAAAATAGGGAAGGAGGACACATTTCATTCGGTTATAGGAAAATATCGTAAACATGATATCTCCAGTGATAACGGGATACGTTTGATTTTGCGGCATATAGGGGAATTAGGATGAGTGACAACTGTTTCGCTCACAAGAATATTTACAAGGACACATGGGTTTCTCCAGATGGAAAGACTCGGAATCGAATTGACCATGTGTTGATGGATAATAGACACGCGATAGACAAAAAAGATGTACGCTGTTTCAGAGGTGCTTCCTTTGAGTTAAGGCTAGATATAAAATGAAAGTAGCGTGATACCAAAGAGTCTGAGGAGAGGAAAAATTCATTTGCGATCGAGAAAAGCTAGAAGTTGAAGAGACACCAGATTTGTTCAAAAGGAAAATTGAGGACAGATTTGAAAATTTAAAAAGAACAGGGTCAATTGAAGGGAAATGGTGTACTTTTAGAGATACATTGAAGAGTGTGGCAACTAAGGTGCTTGGTGCGGGATAGCAAAAAAGAAGAAACTACTGGTATGACAAGGAATGTGAAAAAGCACTCAAAGAAAGAAATGATGCTAGAATGAAATTGATACAGAGAGTAACGAGAACCGAGAGCTAGCAGAGAGCTATAAAAAGAAAAGAGCAGAGGCAAGGAGAATATATAGGAGAAAAAAGAGGGCTAAGGAGAGAGAGAAACTAGAGCACATGCAAGAAGAATTTGATAAAAAGAACAGTAGGGAGTTTTACTGGGGGGAGGGGTCAAGAATACAAAGGGTATGCGCCAAAGCCTGCATTTTATAAGGATGAAGAAGGAAAGTTATTGGAAAATAAAAATAGTAGAGAAGTCTTGAAAAGATGGGTATGATATTTCCAGAACTTATTAAATTTAAATAAGATAGAAGTTAGTAGTGCCACAGGAGGGCTGCAGAGCGAAGGCAATGAGGTGAAAGATGATAATTATGAAGAGGATGTACCATCAGATCAGCTGGTAAGATGGTCTGAGAGACTTCACATTAAGACAGCTATTAGACAAAAGTCACTAGCATAATGTTAGCCTGCACCACCTTTTTATAGATTTCAAACAGGCATACAACTTGGTAGACAGAGAAAGGGTAGCAAGGGATACATGTCCCTAGGAGTCCCTCCAAACCGGGTGATGTTGATCCAAATGACTTGGAAGGAAAAAAAGTCTCATGTAAGAGTAGGTGAGGGCCTATCGGAAGAGTTCGATGTGGCAGGGGGACTGAGATAGGGTGACCCACTTCGCCCATAATATTCAATCTAGCTCTCGATAAGGCAATAAGAGCAATTAGAACCAACCCAGGAGGAAATATCTACACCAGGCTTACTCAGCACATGACCTATGCAGATGATGTAGCCATCGCAACTTGCACATTACCAGCCAAGAGTTTGAAGCGGCGGCAGCGAGCAGAGGCTTGAAAACAGATGAAGCTAAGACGGAGTATATGAGGACGTCTAGAACTCAATTAGGTCAGGAAGAAGAAGTGCAAATTAATGGACACAAATTCAAGTGCTGCAAGACCTTCAAATATCAAGGATCTCTATTAAGAGAAGACAATGATACAAATGCAGAGATCAAAGGCAGAATAGCAGCTGGTAGCAGATGCCTTTTTGCTCTTAATAAACTGCTTAAATTTCAAGTATTGTCTCGAAAGACAAAAATAACCATATACAAGACAATAATAAGACCGGTGGTGACATATGGAAGTGAGTGCTGGGTGATGACCAAGGAGAGTGAGACGATCCTGAAGGTTTGGGAGAGAAAGATCCTCCGAAAAATATTTGGCCCAGTAAACAAGGATGGCCATTGGAAAATAAGGAAAAACAGAGAGCTCGAACAGCTTTTTGATGAGCATAATATTGTGGCATTCATCAAAGAAGGAAGGTTGCGATGGCTGGACTATGTACAAAGGATGCCGGATGAGGGACTACCTAAAAAGATAATGAATGGCAGGCCAGGCGGAAGGAGACTAGCAGGAAGACCAAGGCTGAGGTGGTTGGATGACGATTTGAGACGGATAGGAGAAGAGGATGGCGAAGGAAGGCAGAAGATAGGCAGGAATGGCTATCGATTTTAAGTGAGGCCAAAGTCCAACGGGGGCTGTAGCTCCATTGAGTAAGTAAGAACTTTTATCTGAATGACATACCACAACCTTGATGTATTTAAACAAACTAATAATAAATTTTTTTTTTCTGATAGCATTACAGACCTTGTAGATCTTTTGCCGCCTTAAGAAGCCTGCTGCATCTCTGCCTATCTCGGGTTATTTATTTCCAGTTATCTGCATGCAGCTCTATTGCATCTCTGTCGATTTGATCTATCCATCTACTTTTTGGTCTTCCAGGCTTTTGCCTATTACTGAGCCATTCATTATTGTGTAGAGGCTTCCAGATGAATTGCTCAGAGCTAAATGCTTCACTTATCTTAACCTCTTTGCCTTCATATTAAGAGATATCGGTTGGCCAGTTTCTGAAAGCAGCTCTTTATTGGTCTTTCTCCACCATGTATTAGTACTCTGATAACAGATAGCTACAGTTTTCGTATGAAGGATTTTTCTTTCAAATCTTTGAAAACTTCTGTCTACGATCCTGGTTAGTGCCCAGGTTTTAAATCAAACATCTGTATTTTCAAACATGAATAAGACTTTTCTGATCATATTGGTATCAATTCCTTCACAGAATTAACATATAATTTTTAAGTTGATTTATGAAAAAAAATTAACAGAATTCTTTCAAATTGAAGTCCTATAATGAAATGTTTTTGTTTTTTAATTTGGAAAATGACAGATGTCTGCCTCTGGCATGAGGCCACTCATTTATTGCATTAATCCTCTAGACGATTTTACAAAAAAATATAATTTTCCATTTTTGGCCTTTTTTTCTAAATTATCTGTTCACTATTTGTTTTGCCTGTAGGTCAATATAAATATCATATTTAGTGTTTGATAATTGTTTACCAATGAACGTTTCGGGGAATCTTTGTCTCCCTCTTTAGCATTTAAAATATTACCAACAAACTATATATTATAACTTAAAAATACACATTTAAAAAAAAAAATTGAAAATAATCAAAAACTAGATGTGATTATTTATTAGATTAACGTATAGAAAAAAATTGTGAAAAGAACGCAAATAGTAATAGTTTTATGAAATTATTCTAAACAAATTACTTCATTTTGTATTGTTTGTTCCAGGTACATTGAGGACATAAACAATTATTTTGCAGGATACATGTTCGTGGAGACAGTATTTTCTTCACTCCAAATTGCTGTTCGTGGTTATTACACCCTTAAGGTGAAAAAAACTTTCATAATAAGCCCATTATATTTTGAAAATTGTCAGGTTGATTCTAAATAACTTGCAGTATGTATTCAAAAACTAAACAATTCAATGGTGGTACCCCCACCTCTACCCATTTCCCTGATCAGGGGAACTGAAGAAAAACTGGGATCTTGAAAATAAAATATTTTCTTGTGCTAGAACAAAGAATAAATAAAGTTCTAAAGAATAAATAAAGTTCAATTATTTGATAAATTAATTTTCCTCTGTCGTGTACTTCATCTGCGAGACTCAGTGCGTAATCAGTAAGGACAAACTAGGACTTCATCCTGCAAGCCAACTTATTACATTCTATTCTTTGTTTCACAAAATTTTTCCAAAAAAGATTTTCCACATGTTCTACTGCAAAGCTGACATATTACTTTCACATACGTATATATGTAATATGTAGGAAGGATGTGTTGCGATCGAGAATATATTTGAATCTGAGTTTTCAACGGAAATACACGTTTTGGACTACTCTGAGTCCAAATAACCAAGTCCCGAAAAATGGTCTGTGTGTCTATGTGTCTAGCATGGTCTGTGTGTGCTAGCAGTCTAGAGCAAAAACTGAAAGTCGTACGAAACTGATATTGTGTATTTAAGATAGGTATATACCTTAGATGTGACAGCAACTTTTTCCTTAAAATCGGCTAACCTGAAGTGCCACTTTATATTAACGCTGAAACACATTTTCACAATTTTCTCAAAAACGGCTCTAACGATTTTGATTAAACTCGGGGTATCATTATATAATTAAGTATTCTTTAATATCAATTAGGTCTTATTCCTGTTGATGTCACTTTACAGGGCTTAAATGGCCAATGTTCATATACCTCTTCCTCTAAAGTACTTTTAATATGGTTTATTTTCAAAAGTCAATCATTATTTAGAGTTGCAAAAAAATGCTACATACTTTTGAAAGAATTTGATATGTTAATAAAGGAGAAAAAAATAAAAAGGCTTATCCAGGTAGAAAATGAATCTCTGAAAATACATAAGAAGGTATAGTATAATATATCATTGAAAGCAGTGGAGAATTTTAGTAAAAAACAATATCTGATATAGAAAGTTGTAGATGGTGAAAGAGAGTGGCAAAAAAATTATAAATAATAATTTTTGAAAACTAATATTATTTAACGTAAATCACATGTTATGTTTCAAGGAAATTAAATGAAATTTACTTACTAAATGTAAACTTTTAAAATATTTTTAAGTTTGAAAAAAGTATTTAAAATCCAACTAATCAAGGCAATGACATTTTTTAAAAAACTGTGATATTCCAACAGTATCCACTACTATTTCATTGTACTTGCGTGAAGGAAGAAGTGAAATATAAGAATATTTCATAGATACATTTATAACCTTAAATATATTTACTGTAGTGTAATAACTTCATATCTGATATTATATTTAAATATTTAGATATCTATCATCCGTTTATTACAAAAAAATCATCAAGTAACCTTTTATAAAAATAAATTAGTGAATAGTTTGATGAAATTTCCTTTTGTGATATTCCAACAGTATCCACTTACAATTAGTGTGACAACTTTTGAACTGTCTATGACTGACAATGCAAATCTCATAATTCCGATTTAGTAATATTTGCAATACAAAACAACAGTTTAATAACTAATAGTTGTACAATCCATATTCAACGGATCGTGCAAACCATAATCAATGGATCGTACAATCCATAATCGACCGCTGATATAATAAATATGACTTTTGTTATTTTAATGATATTTCTGATTTTTTAGCTGTAATTTTTTAGGTTTAGCTCAGTTAAAAATGCAATTCAAAAATTTTATAATAGCCCAACATGGCCAGAAAATAATTTCTATTCAAAGTTGAGGGGTAAGTGAAAGTTTTGTGTTGTGCGCACCAGATTTTTTTGGTTTTTTGGAAAGTTTTTCATCAACTGAAGCAGTTGAGATTGTTGTCTTTATGTCTTAGCAAATTACTAATGATAAAAAGAAAAAGATATTCAGGCCAATATTAGCAATTATCTTTTATTTATTTTTCTCAATGTAAGTGAGAAAGTAGTGATACATTTGATATATATAATTTGAAAATGATATATAATATACCATTGTGTAATAATTTGCAGCACTTTTTTTTTTTATTGATTGATTGCTAGGGTTATCTATTTGGAAATAATAAATCATTGCGAAATATTCATGGTGTTTTTATTTATTCATATATATGTATTTTTTTTATAGCTCCTGAAAGAGGGTGACCCAAAGGTTATTTCGTCAATATTTTTTCTTACACTCTGCCTACTTAGTCCATTGATTGTTTGTTTGAGTGGTCATATAATAACAGATAGTGTAAGTGAATGAAATATTCTATTAATTACCTTCATCGTTTAATTTCTTTTTAATAAAATCAAAATCCAAGCAGTATAAACAAGGATATGGCATTGTATTATATAATGATAAGCTTTTAAATTTTATCAGTCATCAGTTGTAATTTTTACCAGTTTTAGTGTTCCTTGAACCAGTTTTTTTTAAAGTTGAAGAAGTTAGATATACATAATGAAATTACTACAGTCCCCAAGAATAATGACAGAAGTTCCATAATTATGCAATAAAAAATCTAGTCTTTTACATCTAAATGTTTCTAGTTTTTGCCCTTATATGATTTTATAATGGAGCTGTCAATACATAACTTCTAAATTTTATTTTATTTACCTAGTTATAAAACTAATTAATTGCTAAATTCCACCAATATTATTTAATAGGAATTTCATACTCTTTTTAAAAATATATGATTTTATTACAATATCTGAAGAGAGATTTTGGCTATAGATCTTTCTCAATTTGTATGTTTAAGAATAATCTTATCCATGATGAAAACTCATAATTTTGATTCAATCTATTATCAATAAACTTTAGGACATGTTGATGAATTTATAAGTTCCTAGGTGAATAAATATTTATTTTAGTTAAAATCTTTTAAACTCTCAAACATAATGCTGTATTTGTTGAATGCAAAATATATTATATAATTATAAGTATTTAAATATGTTTGATTAACTAAATCTATCTAAGATATTATATAAACATTTATTTCTTTAAATCTCTTTAAATAACTTTCTCATTTCCAGAGTGAAAATTTATTTAGAAGCGCTTATAACAATGCTTGGTACTCAGCATCACCAAGAGAAAAAAGTAGCCTAGTTATAGTACTGTGTCAAGCTTCCAAGATAAAACGGTTGAATTACAAAAATCTTCTAGATTTCAATATGGAAAGATATACTATGGTTGGTGAAAAATATTTATTATATTTTCTTAATACTGATAATTTAAAATCTTAATATAAAGTATTTATAATATATCATTAATATCTGATTAATTCACTAAAATGTATTAAAAAATGCTTCTCGACATAACATGATATTTGCTCAATAGAGAAAATGTCAATTTTAAGTTAGATTTTCAATTGAATTAACTTTGTCAATTAAAAAAATAAACAAGTTCCATAAATAATACTGAATTTAATGTTTTCCATAAAAAAAAAAAGGTAATCATGAAAAATTCATTTCATGCCACACCTAAAGTACTCTTATTTATCTGTTATAAGTCATGAGGTTAACAATCTTCTTACAAATCGCCAACTTTATCTCAGAGATGTTTTCTAGGATTTAAATAAAAGCAAGAAAAAGCTCATCACCCACAATGTATAACCTTGGACACTAGCCTCTGAACTAGAATGGTCGATGTACATAATCTCAGAGGCATTCCATCCTTCATCACTAAACAACTTCCTAATAATAATTTTTCAGTAAGGTTTATCTGGCCCTCAGTAATGTTCTTAGTGCTCATAAAAATCATAATATACAGTAAGACTCATCTAAAATGAGTTTGGTTTTCGATTCCATATCATGTTGATATAAATCCAGACATTTTCTTCAATGTTTTATTGTCAATAGGTCCTATGGGCCATAAGCTCATATCGGTAGTTCCTAAAACTTTCTACACTATGAGTCATTCAGAGCTTTGAAGAGTCTCAGAGACAGTGGAGAATGGTTTCAAAGTTCTCAATGACAAAAATTCAGTTAAAGATGGGCAGAGTTTAGCTCAAGATGAAATCTTATTAAACATTTCTTGGATTATCTTGTCAGATCTAGGAAAAATGTGTTCACCCTTTGGTTATATTATGGGAGCTAAGAACATCTTCAATAAACTGCATGAGTGAAAATTATCCAACATGCAATGCATCTCGTTCAATAACAAAAATGCCAAGAATTATTTCTTTTGTTTTGTTTTTTAATTGTTTCATGTATGGTATTGCATCAAACTTACTACAATTTTTTTTTAATAAAAATTTAATTTGGAAAACAGGATACATCCTAAGAATCTAAGAATACATTCTTAGATCATAATTTGAACTATAAAATTTAATATATTAAATTTATCAATGAAATTAGATGTTTAAAATAATACCTGATCAATTTATTGTTGAGCTTTTATTTATTTGTATTTATTTAATGTCTCAATACCTAGGAAATAATAATCTAAGAAAAATGCTTGTTTCGAATGTTCCTAAAGTTCAGTATTATTTTATTCATTAAATTCTCTCATGTACCAACGAATAAACTGGAGGATCTTATATTCAATGTAATAATAAATATTGCATTATTATCATGATCATAAAGACATTTTTTTTCTTTATAGGTTGTCCAGGGAACATACACTTACATCACGCTATTACAGGGTGTAGATTTGTAGTTACTACAATATTTAATACCACTTTTTCAAATATCTAATGGAGATATAGTCTACTAAAATAAAGGAGCTCTCAATAGTTTCAGTTAATTACATCTATCCAGCAAAAAAAATAATATAGAGAATTAGAAAAAATACTTCTATTTAAAAGTGTATTTTATTGCAATAAAATCAAAATGAAAATGATTTATAAAAACATAATTTAAAAAATTAAAACATAAAAACTACTGAAGTTTTAACAGAGATAATGGAAGGAGAAGACACTCCTCCATGTAGCAACTGAATCTTTCATTTCTGGTAGGAAGCTGAGTAAGGAAGTACTTTATCTACCATATTTCACATTACATATCTCATCTCCGATATAGTCCTGGTGCATGCTAAAGCCTTGAATCAGTTATAATAACCATGTACCTTGGTACAAACAATGATTGGACTTCGTACTTCTAACAATGAGCATGTTCTCCATTAAATTTGATCTCTTTACCAACAACATTGCTTTTAAAGTTTGCCAGTAGCATCTAGAAGCCTACAATGAATGATACAGGAGTTCATTCACACTGTATGTACAATAAATGAATAGAAATCAAATGGAACAACAGCAAAATGATAATACTAATAATAATGTAGGCTTTTTAATTTAATTTTATACGTAAATAGTACTTTTTAACAGTATATATTAAAAGTAACCAATTTTTTTAAATCACATTGCTTCATGTTCGTACAGTTACAGTACAGTTACACGTACAGTACATGGGCCTTGTGTTAGTTAAATTTAATAAATTTAAACATAATAAATAGACAAATTTAATATCATATTATTTAGTTCTCATAAAAGTTGTAAAGCACATTTTAATCTTTATAAAATATATGTTAAGAGATTAGTAGTCCCAATATTTGTTCAATAAAAAATAAAATCACACGAAAGTAAGAATAATACAGAAATTGCAAAATATCGAAAAGTTCAAATATTACTCATTAATAAAATTTACTAATCAAAAATTAGGAATTTATTCTTAGTTTTATTTGTTTAGGAAGTTTTATGTTTTACTGGTATGGTTGGCAAAATTAAATACAAATTATTCTTAAAATTAATCAATTGGCGGTCAATAATAAAATGTCTAAGACTTATGCAACACATTCTATAGTTAAATTTATTATGTAAATAATTTTTTAATAATGTATTTTTTTGTTTTTGTTATATTTATTTATTATTGTTTTTATTATATCACATACATGTTAAAAAAAAATTTTTTTTATTTAATTATTTTTAATTGTTTTAAAGTTTTGTTTATTGTATTAATATTATTATTGATTCATTTATTCTAAAAAAATTTAACCAGTCCATAATTATAAAAAGTATGTATTTTTAGGGGTGTATTATCTATAACTCCCACTTTGACAATTGTTAAAAATTTTAACTTATTGCTGAAACCATGAAAATAAAGAATATATAGAAATAGTAAAATGACAGAATACCTTCCAAATAATTAAAGAAAATTAAGAAACAAATTTTAAGTACTAGCAAAAGAAGCAAAAACTACTACACTAGCAGATAACGACCATATACAATCAATCAATCTGAATCAATTTTTTACTTTATCTCCTTGTATGGTAATGCTTACAAGACTCCATTATTAACAAAGATAGTTTTTTCCAACCCTCCACTTGGATACATTCCATAACTAAAGTTTTTAAGAGTTATATAGTCTGGTTTTAGCTTCTTATAAAGAATTAATTAAAAAATAAATTTAATTGCCTTCTTTTTGCAATTAGTCTTCTTTTTTTTAAATAAACTATTATAATATAAAAAATAATAATGATAAAGCAAGAAAAAAAGAACATGGATAAGAGGAACTAAAGAATCATTCCATGTCAAATCAACAAATGTGATGTTTACCATCTCAAATTGTCATAAATTTTGGGATAGGATCACTATAAATATAGATAGGAAATACTCACATATGAAATAGTAATGAGATTATTTAATAAATTTGACTTTATTTATAAATTTTCCTCCACCTTATACCCTTTAAATAACAATTCTTTATTATTTTTTTTCAAAGTCCATTACGCATTCAGCAATTGACTTGATAAACATAAATTTATCCTTTTAGACAAGAGTCTCTCAATCACTCATAGTTCTCTAGTACTAAAAAAAAAATGTAATAATTATTGTAATTAAATGTTTGATAGTATTTGAAAATAAATCTGCATAAAGAAGAAACTGATAACTAAACTGGTAAGTGGTTCCAAATTTCCCACATCCTGTTTTTTTTCTTTTTGGTAAAGCCTGTTTTGAGGATAGGCCTGGCTCTTTCAATGTGAATTCAGAATATTCCGAATCCAACCTCCTTTGGGAGAATTTTCTTTGACGAGGATGGAGCTGTGTCACTAAATGTGAATCTAGCCTCTTTTGGGGAATTTCCTTTGAAGAGGATGGGTCTGGCTCACTAAATTTGAGTCCAAAATATTCTGGATCCACCCTTCTTTGGAGAATGTCCTTTGAGGTGGATGTAGCTGGCTCACTCAATGTGAATCCAGATTATTCTGAATTCAACCTCCTTTACTAAAGCTTCTTTGAATGGTGGCTCACTCAAAGCACAGGTGATACTTATTTCTCTAGGGTGGTTCCCAGAAGGAATGACTATAAAATTTCCTTTTAAATCTTTCAGAGGAGTATTCCTAGACTAAGAGGCAAACTCTTCTACTTACTCCTGTCAAAAATACATTTCCTTAAAATAATATCTGTGGCATCTGAAAAAACTGTGTTAAGTGTATTTTTTTTAAATTTTTATAGGTATCACAAGACAGCTATTTTTTTCTCTCTTTTTTTTGTGTCTAATGAGTTAAGTTATGCGGTTATTAAAGAAATTAGCATTCCTTTGTGAATCATAGCTTGAAACTTTAAAATTGAACTTGTACTAGTGAAAATTCCAAACTTTCAATTGCCTTTTTCCATAAATATAATTTTTATTCTTAACGCACTATGGACAGGTGCCACAGATATAAAGAAGGACAATATCTTGAATATCTGAAAGAAGATAAAAAAAAAAAAAGATAAGAAAATTAGATTAAAATTACATACAGAAAACGATCATAATTGAATTACCATATTGGTCTCATCTCTACTTATTGAATATGGAATATTTCATTTCCCTCTTTTCTACTAAATATTTATTTCCTTGTGACACTCGATATCTTCTTTATTTCCTCGATGGAAATACTTCTCCTAAACTAACAAATTTACATGAGGTAGTTTTAATTTTCGTGGAATATCCAGGAGTAAACAGAAAAATAGGAAGTGCAAGGTTGCGCTGGCAGGAAGATGTGGAGGCGGACCTGAGGACACTGGGAGTGAAGAATTGCAGCAGAATAACCACGTGGAGTGGAGAAGAATTGTGGAGGAGGCCAGTGTTCTTCACAGACCATAACGCCATCAATTTGAGAGAAAGGGAAAGAGTTTTAATTTTAGATGAATGTGCAATTTGGAGAACAGTTTAAATGAAATAAGTTTATTAAATACCTGCCTCCTTGAAAACTTAAAACAATTATTAGGAAATTAAATATTAAACTGTATGAGTCCTCTTAAGAAATGATTATATAATAAAAATATAAGACTACAATTATAAGAAAATTAATGTTTATAAAATTATTTCTCCATTCATTTTAACTTTCAGAACTTCTCTCTGTAAGTGAAAGTTTGTAATTCAGTGGAACTTTATGATACCAGAAACGGAAGTTAGGATAATTATAGAACAATAATAATAGGTACATGCAATAATAAAAGGTAACACCAATGTTTACATTACATTAGACTACATTAACAGTATTTACCAATTACAATGTTACTGCAGGAACATTTACATAGAAATCTTAGAATCAGTCCAAAGACCTTAAAAAACATAAAAATTCAATAAAATATGATCAAAATCATCAGCGGCGGCCATAGACAATCAGAGCTCAGGAGTAATGAAGTCACCTCTCCTCCTTCATAAAAAAATTTAATTACATAATATTTGAATTTATTTCTTTGGACATTTCTCTAATACAGTTGTTTTATTGACAGGCTAAAATTAATCATTTCAATAGGTTTTTTATTTTTTTTTTTAATAATTTCTAACAAGTGGCAACCGTCCCTTAGGATCATCTAGTAACCCCAACTTGTGCCCCTCCAGACCAGAGCCCCGGGGCAATCGCCTCGGCTACTCCACCTTAAGTCCAGCACTGGAAATCATACAGCGTTAAGCATGCACACATAATAGAAAATAAAAGCTCTCATGAAGCCAGTTTTGGCAAGGTCAAAATATTAGGGAAAAAAAAAAATTTATTTATGGAAAAATATTTAAAACAAACATTGAACATAAAGGAAGATCTGAAATTTATTCCTGATATATGGAATCAAATGATAAAAAAACTAATTTGGTATTTAACATCCCCAACCCTGAATGTTCTTTAATCTTTTCAGTTGAGTTTTGTTATAGACAAGCTTATTATAGACTTTCGGGTTGACGCACCTCTCCCAAATCTTTTTTATACTATTTTTAAATTATAACACATATACAGCTACTAAATGTAAACACTTGTCAAGAAAACAATATAAAAACATTATCCCAAGAAGCATTATTGCTCAGTAATTACCATTTTTTTCTTGCAAGCCTTCAAGAACCACTTAGACTTGAATAGTCCTACCACCACTCTCCTTCCTTCCTCTGCACAAAATTAAATTCTAATCCCTGGCTGCACTATAGATTGAATAAGACTTCATTAGGGTATTTGCTGATCTCATAAAAGAAAGTTGTCAGTAGCACATTAATCCTTCTACCACTAAATCCAATTTTTTAAATGATTTTTTTTAAGAAAAGAATGTTGATTATTAAAAATATTAACACTCCTCTCCTTCATGCGCTTGATTATCTCATTGTTTTTAAAAACTGTGACTCACTCTATACATGCAGCAAAGTGAAACAGTATCTAAAGATACAAGTTTGAAATATTTTTGAATTCAAGGTAAAAGATAATGGCCGCTTAAACGGTTTAAATTTTTTTTTTTTTATCGATATTTCACAACTTGGCTACTTAAGTATGAAAGTACTGTTCATTCAGCGAAAAAGGTATTAATTTAATAGCTAATGGTGGGAGTGCTATTTTCTTATTCATAGAGAACACCTACCCAGTTATTACCTACTTCGGTCCTCTATGTACTTTGTTAGAAAAATATATACCTCTGCGGAAAAACGACTGCCAATAAACACAACCATACATTACCAGAGTATTATCTTCCTGTAATGTCGGAATCATTTACAATTTTCATTTAGCTTAGTTTGAAATAGTACTCCAAGGAAGAAGGTAAAGTTCACGAAGAAACATTTAACCGAATAAGAAGATTTTTACAATTTTACAGTCATTATGATTTATTTAAATGTAGTTAATTTATAAGTCAATTCATCAGTCAAGACATCACGCTGCGCGTGTAGGAAATTTATGATTCAAGACATATTGTTATATTAGTGGCAATTTTCACGATACAATTGTTATAATTTTACTTCATGCATTTTTATAATTTTACTTTATTCATTTTCTTTTTTAATCCTTGCATTTTTTATTGACACTCACTAATAATAAAAGCATGAAAGATCGCAAATGTGTTTTTTTCTATTAGATAAAGAAGTAGTGTCATTGAATCAGATTGTTTTTATTTCAGTCATTGGTGTGACAGGCTCCACCACGACCATATCTTAAACTGTTTTTTTTTTTTTTATTCATTTATTAATGAAATCTTGATAATTTTTAGTCATTAAAACATAAAAAAGTTTATTAAGTATGGTTTTACTCACCCCTCAGAACAAAAAAAATTCACTTCTGGTTTTCAGGTTGTCAAAGTATATAATTTATAAAAATATATAAAACATACTAGCAATAACGGATTCAGGACTTAATTGGGGGGGGGAAAGGATTCAGCCCAAAAGCATTTTATGTGTATAAAATTATTATCACATGAGAAAAAAAAAAAAGAAAGAAACTAACTAACTATGTAGAATGGTTACATGCACAGATTCTCTATCCGACTTAATCAGGCTAAGTAATATTTTCTCATCTAATATCATCATACAAATCATTCTGTACTCAAATATAAATAATATATCAGTATTTTTTGTCTGGGTCCCTGGGCATTGCTGAATAGCCGGTAATGAACTGGCTGATCGAGATGGAAAAAAATCCTTTACTGATGGAATAACTTATCGGAGAATATCTGTCAAGGATTTTATAACCATCATCAAGAAGAAAATTAAGACAAAATGGGAACAGATATGGTCGAATGTAACCGAAAATAAATTGAGAGAGATTAACGTTTCCTCTTGGGCATTGTCAAATAGGAATAAGCGCAGAAAGGATGTAATTCTTACGCGCCTGCGTATAGGTCATATACGCCTTAACCCATGGATACCTGATGGCCCATGATTCTTCGCCAACATGCCAAACCTGTGGGAATCCTCTGACAGTGGAACACATTTTAACAGAATGCAGAGCTTACGAAACATTTGGGCTATCTTGTGACTTGACAAACGATCTACACATAATTTTACAGGATAATACAAATGAAATTGACAAATTATTTTCTTTTCTGAAATGTTCGAAACTTCAAAATAGAATCTAATTTTCAATGAAAACAAGGCAATAATGACTCCAGTGGTTGAAGCCTTTAATGTAACAAAAAAAAAAAAGAAAACAATATTATAACAATTGAGAATTTGTCAGCATATCTCAATGTAAATACTTAATGAGGCAGACAGTGATCACCGATCTTGGGTAGGGGCCTCTAAAGCCTTTTTACGTTTAAAACACAGCAGTGGGAGCACACTTCACCTTCTTCACGGTGATTTTTATCAAACAAACTGGCTTGGAGATAATCCCCAAATCTAGTAAATTTTAGTAAATATCTTCTCTTGTAATGCTATCGTTGGCCTTTTGAAAGTCAATAAAGATGTGGTGAGTGGTAATATTGGTCTCACTTTTCATTCGCTAGAGAATAGAGATATTCCTTGGTAGTTCTTGCACTACAAGATACAAAGATGCCTGTTATGTACCAATATTACCAGTATTTGCTCATTTTTTCTCATTTCCATGGCAAGACCATGCAAAAACGTACCTACATTCTCTCCTCCATATTTAAGAGTCCTCCTTGAATACCGTCTGCTCCTTGTAATCTAATGTGTTTATTTTTTGTACAGTCAGTAGGCAGAATTCTTCTCATCTGTTTCTTTCTTGCATTCTTCATCAAACCAATGAGCTTTTCTTGAATATTCCCCTTATGCTAAGACCTCAGTTGAGACTTCTAAGATATCTGATTTTAATGTCTTCCATCTTAAGTTGTCATCCGATTTAAGGCATTAGAGTTTTCAACCCAATATTCAATCCACCTTTGTCGTGAAAAGAAGTTTTTCTTGCAGGTCTCCAAACTTTTGCATATTTTCTGGATTAGTTTTATTTTTACTTGGATTTTATATGTAGATATAATTCGATATAGCTGAGTACGTATTCAAAGCTAGAAATACGAGATATAGAGCATTCAATATATAGAATTAAGAATTTATGAAATATTTGAAGGAATATGTTCTAAATTCGTACTGTAATGTATTCTTAAGTGTAAATAATAATACCTAATCATTTATACAGATTAAATGATTCGGAAAAAAGAGATAAAGGATCCGCTACTATTTTTGGAGAGTCTGTTAGAGTGGATGGGCCTGGTGAGTATAGCAGAAGATCGAAGGCCTTGGTATTATGTACCGATGGTGGTCTTACAGCACATGGCTCACATCAATGGCTTGATGGCAACTTCTCTCTACGTCTTGGGCGATAATCCTTTCTTCAGTAAGATGGAGTCCACACAATATTTCATCTCATTACTCCATATGGTAGCCAAATACTACAATCTACACTACAACAGCGCACCTTACAGGCGCCTCATCGCCACCGCTAAACATCTTTGGGAGGAGGCGAAGAGAAGACCTCGTATGGAGAACCTTTTGGCTGATCTAAGGTACATGTCGTATGTCTCCAAAAATAATTCTTAAAACTAAAATGTTTGTATTCAATATTTTATAATTTACTTTACCTTTATTTTATAATTAATTATATAAATGAGATATCTAATAACAATATAAGCAACTAGGTCATATATATAATAATAATAGTCTTTATTTATATACATATATACATTTATAATAGCAGTATTTACATCTACTTTTTCTTTATACACATGTATCCTTTAAGGAGTATTAAAGTCTTTACTTTAACGAGTACTACCCGTACGGTCATATATATATATATATATATATATATATATATATGTATGTATAACAGATAGCAATCCGTGTTGCGCTTGGTTACTGGTACAAAATAGAGCTTCAGTTGGCCTAATCAACAACTGTAAACACCATCCCTTACATTTATGCATAGGCGACGACTAAAAAGGGCTCACGGGACTTGAGCTCTCTCAATGCTGCCTAGTTGGGGGATCAGTCCTCCCCTCAACAAATTGCTATAGTATGAACTTTATAAACATATTGATCGTGTACATTACAAAGGATTTTATCTATCTACTAGCAGGTATAGTGGAATTATTTTTAACGATGTCATATTTTGGATGAATAAACTCACCTAAACTGTAAAGGAAATCATATATTAAAATATTGTAAAAATGAAATAAAATGGAATGAAAAATAATTTTATTCTGGGACTGAAGCCCACTTAGAATAATAGTATTGTGTACAAAATATGTACATCAGTCTGGCAAGTAAGTATTATACACATATATACAAAAAATACCTAGGTAATTGTAATCATATATATAAATACGATTTTTCTTACTACATATGTACACAAAGATACGAAGAAAAATCGAAATATATATAAAAAAAATAAATAAAAGTATCAAGGAAAATATCTACATAACATAATAACGATAAACTCAGATATAATAACAATAAAATACTTCGATATAAAAAAATTAATAAATAAAAATAAAATGGCTTCTATCAATTAACTGCTGGTGGCCAACGTGATTATATAACCCAGAAATTTTTACAAGCTTGGGGAAGTTTGTATTTCTAGTAGGTGGTGGAATAAGAGTTGTTTGAAGGACTTTATGGACGTGGTTTCATTTGGATACAATTTTCAAACCAAGGAACAGAAAAAATCTAAATTACATTTTTTATGATTTTACTCTTTAAGAAGAGAGCAAACAATATCTCAGGAGGGAGGAATGCACAACGAACTTGAACCTTTAATATTGCGGTAAAAGTTTAATGTAAATTGCTGGATATAACCAATCGTGTGAAAAAAAGTTATTTGTTTTTTTGTTTTTCAAGCAAAGATGCGGATAAGAAGATGAAGTTCTTTTTCTTTATCTTCGCTATGGGGAGCCCAGCCTCATGTTTAGTTACACTATTAGCAAACATGATGCAAGAGCCCGAGGATAGGGGGAAACCTTTCGTCGTATGGGACCCCGTACCCGAGTCCTGGTACTGGACCAGTTGTTTCATAGAAGGCTGTTGCATGATGGTGGTTCTCTCGATGCTGGGCACCACTCTGGTTGCCTGTTACGGCAACTGCCTACAAGCGGCCATTCAGACCAGGATTTTACAAGAAATGCTTGAGGATTCGTCGCTCGACCTACGAGCTTGTGTTCAGCTACATCAGAATATTCTCAGGTAATTCAACTCATACACCAAAATTTGGGTAAATATATTCAAAACCTTATAAAATAATTATATACTTCTGTTTGAACGGCTTAATACATCCATAGCAGGTGAGTTGTAATTTATGGCTCAATATATTTAAGTACAACCAATCTCGTTTGAGTTTAGGAATCAGTTAAAAATTACTACAATATATTATGAGCATTTTAGAGGACAGTATGGCCGAGTATTTTGCGGCGTGGGTTCCAGAGTTCTGTGAACGTTGTGGGTTTGAACCATTCCCACCTGGGTCGGCTACTTTTCATTTCTAGACTGCCCATGTTTTTTATCTATTTTTACAGGGCTATCTAAATTTATGGACTGTGTATGTGTATATGCTAGTGCAAACAAATATTACTTTCATAAAACCGTAAAAACTGATGAAGTTGGCAGTTATAACTTCCATGTGACCACAGGCGGACCTACGGGGAGGGGCTTTCGGGTTAAAGCCTCCCTTCCTCTCCAAAATGGTAAAATTTAACCATTTTTAATTGAAAAAAATATTAACAAAATTATCTCATAAAGTATTATTGTATTTAATAGGACTTCAAGAATCACTTGAACACCATTTTGAATAGGTAGTTAGTTTTTTCTTTTTCTACTAAAGTAATTATCGTTATATTTAATAAAAGAAAGTTTGCCAGCTGAAGGCCCCTCCCAAAATTAAATGCTGAATGCGCTAGTGCATGTGACTGTTGTATAATTGTTTTATTTACCATTTGTTTACGTATCTCCATCATATTCGCTATTATTAGGCTCTCTACAATTCAAGGATTGTATTTTCTACAATTATTAATAAACTTTTCTTATTTTACTTAATTTGTACAATTTACAGTACAATTTTCTTACTGTGCCCCCTTAGTCATTATTAAATATACAAATTACTTTTCTGCAGCTAAACATATTCAGGAGCAACCTACTCGTGCATATTTACTAACAATTGGATGCAAACTCAGGCTGATCCAGGAATTCATTTTGGTTTTTTTTTCTTATATATAACTGTAATTTCTATGGAAGAAAAAAAGTTAAACTATATAACATTATCTTTAAGAAACCATTGAAGACTAGTTGAAAAAAGTAATTAAAAGAACAATAATTTTTTAAGGAGTTAATTTTTCATGATACATGCTTATATTCATTTCCTGTAAATGCATATTGTTTTTGTAATTTAAAATAAGGATATATTTTGATTGTTTAAGTATTAATTGCAGATCAATCACAGAAGCAGATATTGATCAGTGAAAATATATATATATATATATTTCCGTGAATCCGCCACAAATTGGTGCCGATCGCCGATCAAGCAGGACACAAAACAACTTTAAAAATTTGAGAAATGTAATAAATCATCCTTTTTATAGATAGTTGGTGACCTAAAAAGTGGCCTAGTAAAATTTCAAAGTTCGTTTAAACTCTCTTAGTTGAGTACGGAAGAGGGAGGTTTGGGCGAGCAGGCCTTCAGTTCCATCCCTTGACAAATAGTTCCCGCATTACTTTTTAATCTAAATCAATATCTGTATGCGTTATAGCTTAAAAACATGCTTTCCTCTTCTTAAAAACGTTAGAAATAAAAGTACCGTAGACCATATACAATTACACTTGCAACGGTTCGTTCCATGTATTCCCTTTGTCTCCTGGTTTGAAATTTTTCAATCCGCAAATTCTTAACATATTCGAAATGTGACCGCCCTCAAAAATTAAAAATCCCTTCAAAATATGCCCCCCTTAAAAAATTTGTTGGCGCAATTTACTCCATAAAACCTCCTTCTGGATACCCCTGCAATTGCATTTAAAAAATAGCTTCGATCAATTCTTTGAAATAGATAAATAACGCTTATATAGTCAAAGAAATACCCTTCCCGGTATGCCGCCGCAACATTTTTTTTATTTTTTTATTTTGTAGCATTTTTTATATTCTTTCAAACAATAATCATCAAATTTTGCGCAGCTTTGCGCTTAGTTATTTTCAATTATTTAAGAAATCATAAACTAAAGTTTTGGGATCAAATTTTTTTTAACTTATATAAACATTATAATGAAATAGATGCTATTTCTCAATTCAAAGAGATTTGAAATTCAGACCACTCTGTAAAAGAATCAAAATCCTCATCTACAAAACCATAGTAAGGCCAGTGGTTATGTATGGGTGTTAGACTAGGACCTTGACCAAAAATTCAAAACGCACGATCGACTCCCGGGAGAGGAAAGTATCGAGAAGAATATGAGGTGGAAGAACGGAATTCAGAGAAGAAAGAATGAGGAGCTGCGGGAGCTTAATGGTGAAGCCCCCACTGATACAGTGGGATTGATAAAATGAGCCAGAACCAGAGTGTTAGGTCGTGTGGAAAGAATGCCAGACCACAGAAGGCCAAAGAGGATGATGCATGAGAAGCCGAATAGCAAAACAATTAGAGGGTGCCCTTGGATCAGATAGCTAAAGAATGAGGAGGACGATTTGAGGCGGCTGGGCGTTCGAAGTTGGAGGGCAGTAGCACAAGACCGTGGAGATTGGTTGGCTGCAGTGGAGGAGGCCGGGGTTCTTGCATGAACATAGCGCCATTATAATAATAATAATTATATAATAATATTTATATAGATTTGAAAGACAAAGTACCCCTGTTTGCATAAAAAATAAATGAGCTTTGGAAAAATGTTCAGAAAATGATTTATTTTTTTTTTTAGAAGAAATGTGTCATAGCTGAAGCATATTTTCTACACCTGATAACAACTATCAATCTTCTCGAGGTTTCGAGGGAACAGCGAGATCAAATAAAGTTTTTTATTTTGCTTTGAAAAACTAATGAGCGGAAGGTGGAGGATACAATATAGTAGGGATGGCCAGGAGGGGTCTGCATGGCGCAAGTTACGTCCACAAACTTTTGAGGGAGCACATTTTAATGAATTTCCGACTGAAGAAAAAAAACAAAGGAAATTTAAAATACACTAAGGAAGCAATTACGAGGACTTCGGCCAGATTGTGTACTGTCTAATTATGATGATTATAAGGTAGATGAAATAGATTAAATGAATTTGACTACTTCCATACCAGTAGTCTTTTTATTAATATTAATATTAGTTTTTTTATTGTTTCTTTTTTATTTTATATTTTAATTTTCTTAAAAATTAAATGTTAGCCACAAATTTAAGTTGTTGACTTCATTACGACTATTTAAGTTTTATTTGTGATGAATACATGATTTCCAATCGAAAATTGTGCTCAATGAATTCTGTCATCCTAGACCGGTTATCGGTCCCACTTATGAGAAAATGGTTTCAAATGAAAAAATATTTTGAACTTTGAACCTTTCCTTTCTATTTCTAGCCTCCCACCCATACTAAAAAGACTGATTGCCTACTAATATTATTAGCTTATTTGGTTTGTAATATGTTAATTCTGTTGATTATATCCGCATAATGTGTGCTAGAGACAGATTTATAGGGGGGAGGGAGGTGGAGATGGAGCTTTAGGGCTGAAGCTCCCCAAATGGTAAAATACTAAAAAATTATTATTGTTCGCGCAATTATATTTAATAATATTAATAGTTAGTTTTTTTTCCTTTTTCTTCCAAAGTAATTATCGTTATACTTAAAACAAAAAGAAGCTTTCGGGTTGAAGCTCCCCCTCTCCCTCCAAAATGAAATCCTGGATACGCTAGTGATGTGTGCCCAAGTTTTCGGTCTCTAATTTACTTTTATTTTGATGAAAGAACTGCCTTCGATTATATTTTGTATGAATAATAGTCTGTATTCTGTAGAGAAGGGCCTAACAATAGCCAATATTTTTCTGATGATGGGAAAACATTTTCCAAAACGTTAAACAAATCATGAATGAAATAATATACAACATTGGCAAGGAAGTTATAATTACCAACATCACCTGTAAAAAAAAACTTCCCAACAAAAGAAATAGAGCAAAAAATTAACATTAAAAAGCCAAATATACTTACTAGACTTTATCAATTAATATATTGTACAGACTATTTTACCAAAAAAATAATAATAATACTTTTATGAAATCATTCTTGACTAATTGGATACCTCTCTATGTTATTATTTTTTTTAGGTACATTGAGGAGATAAACAACTATTTTTCGGGACAAATGTTCTTGGAGATAGTATTCTCTTCCCTGCAAACCGCTATTCGAGGTTATGTATGTCTTAAGGTGAACAAAATTTATATATTAATATCCAGTTTGATTCTGAAACAATAATAAATAATAATATAAATAATCAATAAAATGTCCTAAAAAATATGTCTAATAAATACAGCTAGTGTAAGCTCAGCTTAAAACCCATTCACGAAGTTTTAAAATGTATTTCGTGCACTTAGCAGACCCTGAGGGTCAAGTTTCCCTTCAAAACTGCACATAAAAAAATTAACCCAATATCCCAACCTATGGGATTTTACTGTCCTTGTCTAATAGGAGTAGAAAACTATATAATTTTTTTTAAATAATACCGTATAACTGAGGTAATGAGTTTCATTATCTCTCAAATATTTAAGGTGATATAATTTTTTTTTAATATTATTTTTTAATGAACCATTATTTGTTTTTCATTTATAGTTCTTGAATGCTGGCAACCCAAAGGTTATTTCATCCTTCTTTTTCCTTTCACTCTGCCTACTTGGCCCTTTGATTGTATGTTTAAGTGGCCATTTAATAACAGATAGTGTAAGTAAATAAAATATTCTAATATTTATTTTCAATACAACCATTTTTTTAATTCATGGTTGGTTATGAAGTAGTTGAAGTTGCTTTCATATAATTTTTAAACTAAAATGCAAACATCTATTGGGTTGTCCGGAAAATAATGCAGGATTTTGGTATAAAAAGAAAACAGAAAGCTGCCCGTTACGCCCGTTTTATTTAATCAAAGTAGTCTCCACTACTATCAATACATTTTTGTCACCATGTTGGCAGCTTTTCCGTTACCTTGGAATAGAATTTCTCATCTTTAGAATTGATAATTTCCAAAAACGCATTTTATAATTTCCTAGCAATGAACACATACGAACGTACTACAAACGATTTCATAATATGATGAATGAGCTCTCCAACCAGCTGGTAAAAGAAATGGCCTCAACTAGTATGTCCGAGAGCTCCAGAAGACGACTGAAAAGGGGCTGGATGAGGGATCTACTTAAATAATGTTTTAGTAAAAGCCATGTAAGGGATACCGCTGGGTATTGCTATTCCTCATGTCTATCAAGCCTTTTTATTTTATTTTTCTCTCATTACTACGCCAGCACATCTGCTGATTGTCGATAGTTGTAATTGACAGGTGCGGATAAATAAATGAAAGTGCAAACAAAATTCACTTCGTCTATTAAATTTTCTTTTTGTCACGTAAGTAGTGGACCAGGTCTCTAAAATAATAATAATTCGTAGGCGAGAGGTCCGAAGAGTAGGGCGGATGTGGCAGTTTCATATCCAAGCTCCAACAGTTTTTGTGACGACACACGTGAAACATGTGGCCGGACGTTGTCATACAACAAAATAGGCTCTTTCCGGTTGACCAAAGATGGCTTCATTATTACCAATTTCTGATGCATTGTATTAATTTGGTTACAATACGATTCGGCATTGAGGGTTTCTCCAAGACTTAAGAAGGTGTAGTGTATCAAACCAAATGAAGCCCAGCAAACAGTAACCACCATCTTCTTTTGATAAGTTGGGGGCTTTGGAAGTTATTTGGAGTTATCGTCCACTGAAGCCCGCAGAAAATCGCCATCAAGAGAGGAAGTCCTTCCGCGACTTTCTTTGTCTTCAAGGCTCCCTCCAGAAATTTTTCGAACCATCATCAACAGTGCACTCATTAATTGAAGATTTCTCATGCTCTCGCCTTCAACTTGATTGATGTTTCTGCCCGTCTAGACCTCATTCCGGCCGAGTTTAAGCTCTTAAAACAAAATTATACGAAAATCGCGCGTTGACATCTTAGTAAAGACTGAAGTAGCGAAATACTACAGAGGTAAACAAACATCGTTTGTTAGAGTATTAATAAGTGTTGACATTCATACAAATGAATAATCCAGTAAACGTAAACAGTTTGTTATATAGAAAGGTATTTTAAAGAAAACTCAAAATTTTGCATGATTTACTGGACAACCCAATAGATTAAGGTGAATTAAAAGAATACATTGATTTTACTAGATTTGATACATTTGACTGATTATGAACCTTAGAAATCTTCATCCTTTATTGTACTACACAGCAGATGGTTTGAGGGGTCCATGATGGACAGTTAAAAAATTCCTTTTTAAACTCTGTTTTTGACACACCTTTTTTAGTGTAATCCATTACCTATTTAGAAAAAATAAATAAATTGTATACCTAATTATTTCTAAGTTCCTACTGCTCTGCCCCAATTGACTGATAATTAACTACTAATTTACTTTGTGAAATTAAACTAGTAAGTATTTAGTTTTGTTTTTTAACTATTAAATTATTCTAACCAATTACAAACAATGGTAGTTGTAAAGTAAATGTTAAAGGTATGATTTTAGTTTAAACATATGTTCAAGGGTCTCTGATGATTTAATTCTCTGATAATTTAATTTAATTCAGTATTGGAGATCCAAGACTGACTAAGTTCGGGGAACAACTGCAGAGTTATTTCTGTTTGTTTTTTTATTTTATCCTTATATTAGTAATTATGGCACACTTCAATTGAAGGTTTTCTCATAAATTTTCTAGCAATATTTTTGCATACATTTGAAAGATAAATGGAAAAAATATATATGGATAGTTCACTTCTTTCTTATTTTGATATGGTCAAAATAGAAACAGTAAAAATGTCAATATTTCTTTTAAGTTATTTGTATTCTTCGAGAATATGTTACTTATACTTTTTAAAAGGGTTTTAATGATCTTTTGAGCAATATAGTTTTTGATAACTTTACTCACATCAAAACAAAAATAAATACCTATTTCTTAAAAGGATACTTTTTCATTTCCAGAGTGAAAACTTATTCAGAAGCGCTTATAACAATGCATGGTACTCAGCATCACCAAGAGACAAAAGTAGCCTTGTTATAGTACTGTGTCAAGCTTCTAAGATTAAACGGTTGAATTACAAAAATCTTCTGGATTTTAATATGGAAAGATATTCTGTGGTTAGTGAAAACTATATGTATATATAATTTTTCTTTAATATATAAATTTTTAATATCTTTTCATGTAGCAATTATATTTATCTATTAACATTACTAGATGATTTTTTTTTATTAGCCTGCTTTCATAAATATTTCATAATATAAGATGATATTTCATGAAGAAAATTACTATGTAAACATTATGCTATATTCGCTTAACTTAGATTACCAATTCACATAATTTCATCAATCAAAAAAATCAACAAGTTTTATGGTTCATGCTGATTATATATTTTTTTTTTTTTATAAAAAAAAATATAATCATGGAAAATTCATATCATGTCACCCTCCAAAAGCATTCTTATCTCTTGGAAGTTAGGATGATAAGAATGTTCTTAAATACCTGCATATTTCATTCAACAGATACTATCTATTCTACTTGATTTTAAGTAAATATGAGAGCTCATTTCTCTGAATCCATAACATATAGCACCAACCACAGCACTAGAGAGGTCAATATACATCACATAAGAGACATTCCATCCTACATCACTAAACCACTTCCTGGTTACAAACTCAGAGTAATTTTCACAAGTTCCTTTGTGTACTTCTGAATATATATAAAACTCATAATTCATAGCATGATTCATCTGAAATAAGTCAAGTTTTTCATTTCAGACTATTGTTGGTCTAACTCCTAACAAGTTCTTTGATGTTTTACTGTCGTCAATAAGGGACTTACGCTCATACAAACAGTCCCCTACTTTTTTCTAAGCTATGCCTATAAAGAGCCCTTAATTGTCTCAGAAACAGTCGAAGAACATTATTTCTACTAAGAGATATTTAGTTCAAGATGGCCAGCTTGTAGCCTTGGATGAAGTACAACAATTCAACATCTCTGTGATTATATTGATATGCGAAAAAATCATTAATCCTCTTGATAACATTTAGCATTAAGAACATTTTCAATACTCAACGTGCGACTAAATTATGCAACATGTAATGAAACTCATTAATAGAAAAGAAATGACCAAGATTAAAAAATACAACCACGATTTTTTTTTCTTTTACTTTATTTTTTGACCTATAAAAAACCTATATATTTTTTTTTCTTTCCAGGTTGTCCAAGGAACATACAGTTATATCACACTGTTACAAGGTGCTGATTTATAGTTACCAGATTTTTTAATGGCAGTTGCTCTAATAGCTCACAGAGATATAGTATATTTCAATAGTTTTAGATAATTATATCTATTCAGAAAAAATGTTGTTATAATCATTAGAAATATTACTTTTATCCAATAATGTCTTATTTTATAATAAAATCAAGGGAAAATGATTTATAGAAAGATAATTTATAAAAGAAAACTTACTTAATTTTTAAAAGATATATAAAAAATTGATTTTAAAAAGGAGAGCACTTCAGGACCAAATCTGGAAAGTAGCCAAAAATAAAATACCTTATCTACCATATGTCACTTAATAAGCTTCATCATCCATCTAAATATAGAGTGTTCTGTAAGTAGAGAGACATTTTTATATGAGTGAAAGTAGACGTCAAGAGCTACTAAAAAGTTTACATAAACAATGAGCTAATTTTCAGGAGAAAAGTAGGAAATCCAAGATTTGTGTTTAAGTAAGTACTTTTTTGTTGAATGGGAAGCGATAACTCGAGAAATATATAATTTAAGTAATTAACAATTGCTTCACTGTAAACTAGACAAAATTTACTCCAAATTAAAGTAGTGTTTATCATTGTTAAAAACATTTAAAGAAGGTTTTTGACTGAACTAAACTAAATTCTATTTTAAAAAAATCATAATTACTTACGATTTTTTTAAAGTTTCTCCAACTATATTACAGAAATCCCACTGTTAGGAAAATTTATATCTTTAATAATGTTTAAGGTCATATTAATTAATTAGAGCTTTATTACAAAATAAGTTGAGATTCATCTTCATCGGATCCCTCATGACATCGTCCAATGACTTGTCAAAGGAAATAGGAAACAGGATAGCGGCAGCCAATCGTTGCTATTTTGGCTTAAAGAGACAAAACAGGAACCAATTACTCCCAAGGCAAGAATATATAAAACTTTTATTAGGCCAGTGTTGACTTATGTCTCATAAACATGGACGATGACAAAGGCTGATGAGAATAGCCTTATATTTGAACGGAAAATTTTGTGAAATTATACGGCCCTGTGAAAGAAGGAGAAATTTGGAGATGACGAAGAAACTGAAAGTTATACTCTCTATATAATGATTTAAATACCGTAGACTTCATAAAACTTGGAAGGTTAAGATGGATGGGGCGGCCATATGATTTGGATGGAGGAGGGTGATATTCCCAAAAGAGTCCATGAGGATAGGATTGACCCAGGCTAAGATGGATAGATAGCATGGCAGGTGACTCCAGGATACTACTAGAAACACCAAACTGGAATGCAGCGGCAATGGATCAAGCTGGATGGTGGAAGCTTCAAGAGGAGGACAAGACCCACCCCCGGGTTGTAGTGCCGAGATAGATAGATCCGACTATATCAGGGGTTTCCAAACTACGGCTCATAGGCCGCATCTTGCCCTCAAACACCTTTTATTTGGCCCACTAGTTTCTTTGATTAAATGGTAAAATTCTAAAAACTATTTAAAAGTGTGAAATTTAGCTGATTATTCACAAACCTGGTTATAACATTTAATGCATGGGTTTTCCTCTTATAAAGCTCATTTCACAGCTGAAGTGTTATTTATAGAACAAGATTAATTTTTTCAGAAAAAGCCATGGCCCGCGGGACTTGCTTGGTCTCAATGCAGCCTGCGGAATTTAGTAGAGGTCTCAATGTCGCCCAGGGGTCAAATCATTTAATTACACATGAAGTGAATCTCAAGTTTTTGCCTTATAAATCTCAGCTTAATTAATATGAACTTAGGGCATATTAAACAAGGAACTTAGGGCATATTAAACAAGGAAGTTTTTCTAAAATTGATGTATCTGTAATATAGTTGTATGATGATAAAAGAAAATCATGAATAATTTATGATTTTTTTAAAAACAGAAGTTAGCTTAATTTAGCAGCTCAAAAGTCCTCTTTAAATGGTGTTAATAAGTAACAAACTCTATTTTCATTTGAAATAATTTTTATCTAATTTACAGTGAAGTAATTATTAATTACTTAGATTAAATATTTCTTTAGTTATCGCTTCCTATTAAAAAAAAAAAACATGACACTTGAAAAAATACAAAACGTAGATTTCTTACTTTTCTTCTGAAAATTGGCCAATTGTTTATATGAACTTTTTTGTAGCTTTTGAGGTCTGCTATCGTTCCTATAAAAATTTCATTCTACTTATGGGACACCCTGTATAAATATATATATATATATATATATATATATTGTTACCAATGGGCTAACAAACTTTGCAGTTATGACCAATTTAAATAAAAGATAAATAAGGTCTACTCCATAGTAAAATAGTATAAAGAATGACACTGACTACTTCCTTAGATCACCTGATTAGACATTTTTTAAAGGTGTATTTAACCGATTCTCTTGCTAATAGGAACATATCTAACCCCAATACAACAAAACAATTAAAACACAACATTTAAAAAATGAAAAAGCTTTGTTTATAATGATTTATTGAAAAAATATGGTTTTTGCTCATTTCATAATATTTAAGACAGGATTAATATGTCAACATTTAAATCCAATACAACATTGTTTATAAAACTTAAGTATTACTATTGTATTTGTTTCTTAATTTCAATTTTCTTTAGTATTATAATTGATTGTTACACAAAATATCAAGACAAACACTTTAATAATATAAGTAAACAAACAAAAACATTAATAATATAAACCAGTTATCAGATGGATAAATAATAATAATAAAAATGCTAACAAAAAGAAGTAGATCACAAAGCACTAATTGCGAAATTCAATCCATCAGGATTACAAATTACAATAACATGAGCATATACAAATATTTCAATTGAAATTTATAATAATTAAAAGCAATTCGCTTCAGAGATAAATTAAAACCAGCTTACAGTACATTGTTATAAGCCAAGGTAATTAAAAATATGTATCTGTACAAACATATTGTTTAGATTGAGAATGCATAAATTTATGAGCAAGCTAAAGGTTTTCAGAAATACATTAATTTCAATTGCAAATGGTATCTTCCTTAGAGAGCTAAACAGAATCATGATAAAAATTATGATACTTAAACTGATAAAGAGAACACTCAACTGGTAAAATATGATTAAAATTCTTATAGCAAGGGATTTTGACAATAAGCCTTTAAACGCACAGCCAAGTTCCTATACCCAAATCACTAATACAATAAACCTATTGTATCTATTAATAATATATATATATTTTTTTCATACAACTTTCTTATTGTAATGATATTTACAATATTCACAAATTTATGGTACAATGCATAACTAGATAATATGTACAAATTTTAATAATCAGTCTAATATAAGGCAAACAAAATGGCTTGTACAAAATCAATTAAAGACATTTAAAAAAATGCCTTTTCATTTTGAAGGCCATTTATTCAATAACACTTTAATTATTATACAATAATAATATAAAATTAAATATACAAAAAAATAAAATAAAAATACAGAACATAAGTCAGATTCTCATCTGCGAATAAAAATAATTCATTCCAAGAGCAATCACAAGATTACCAATGCTGATTTCAACAGTGAACCCAGTTAAATCAAAATATCATTACTTCAACTTAATCGATTAGAAATATATTTAGTGAAGGCTAAAAATGAAAACAAAGAGATATCATATCACAAAAAAAGAGATAACGATGACTAATAAAAAATATAATAAATACATAGTTTCAAAATTAATTATTCCTCAAACAGCTAAAGCCAATGTTTAACTTAATCCAATATAAGATTCACTACTTTTTATATAGGTATAATTAATTTAATAAATTCGTTCAATGGTAAAAACATACAAAATAGAAAAACAAATAAAACATATCAACAATGTATGAAATAAAACCATGAAATAACTAGACTAACAGGTAATGATCACAAAACAGTATTTACAAAGCTGAGGATGGAAGCAGATGCTATAAATCTGGACCGAGGTCTATCACACCAGATTCTGCAATAGGGACATACCTCTCATCGATTTTGACGAGTAGTATAGTTCGATCAACATGTGATCTCTTGGTGATTTCCCGATGGCAGGGAACCCACTTATGCACAACCTACAAACAATTTAGAAGAAATTATAATATAATTTGTTAAGTCTGGAAATCTTAGTTTATTTATTGTTTTTCCTACATTAAATTGAACTCTTTTATTGTGACTGTTCTTAATAGTTCTTAATAATTAATAAACAATAATATATTTGTTTTTCGTTACAGTGAAAAAAAATATATATTTTTTCAGAAGCGGTGTATTCTTAGTTTTTTCATAATGGTGTTGCTATCAAATTATTAGTATATAAATTTATATGTAATATTTCTCCCAAAAGCAACCCAAAAAGCGGCTTAAAGTACTTATTACTAACCATAAAATAACTATATTTAGTGCATAATATCCTATAAATAAATTTTTTTTGTATCTTTTACAATCTAATAATAAATACCAAATAGAAGAAAGCTTCAAGAGTAGCTGTAAATCGAACAGTGTGCGCGCACAACCAAAATTGGATAGTAAATTTGAGTAAAGTGGATAGTAAATTATTATTCACTTTAAGAATACTAAAATTTATTATTAAGGGTTTATTATTTTTGAGTGATAATCTAAAGTAGAAAGCCATCCATCTACTCTTGGTGATTTTCCGATGGCAGGGAACCCACTTATGCACAATCTACAAACAATTTAGAAGAAATTATAATATAACCTAAAAAATAATTAGTGAATTAAATCAACCATTTATGCCTACTTTTGTCAGCTAGTATCAACCAAATATAATAAAATTGCTCTTATCAACCAAAAAACTGCTCCGTTTTAAAAATTTTCTGCATCAAACAAAGGCAACCATAAAAAGGAGCTTAGTGCTTTAGGCTTAAATTTAGGAGTTAGTTTTAATAACTGAGAAAAATAAAAAACAGTCTTTATTCTATTTCTCTTCAATAGAGAACATGAGAAACAGATTGCAGTAAGCAATGGCCTTACAAATGTAAATAAATACAATGATTAACTCCATAAAATACAATTATTTTTTTAGTTGGTGCTACAAACCAGGTAGATCTTGTTGGTTTGGAGATGGGGTCTCCTTACAGATGTATATTGCTTGCAGGAGCACAAATAGCCTAGAAGGAGGAGACCTAATCTCACTATGCTAAGGAACATGGCCTCCATGATACAGTGGCAGGCTAAACGTAACTCTGACATTGCCTAACTTCGATTGCCTATTGCAAGCTCCTTAGCCCGCTCCGCTATCCGGCCCCATTGTTAAAATGCAATATAAATTTTAAAAATAATAACATATAAAATGGTATTCAATCTTCTTTTATGTTAAAATTCTAAAAGAAGAATTCTAAAATTCTCTTGAAGGGGTTCAAAACATATAATAATAACTTTATTTAAACAGTGTATTCCTACCTCTCCTACCTTGGTATGCATGCTATGTTTTCACACTTTTTTTATTTCACTAACTTCATATTATCCTTAAAACGTTTTTTAAAAAACTTTGAATCTGTTAAAATGATATAAAAGATACTAAAACAATGAAAAATACATTCGTATAGAAATTTTTATATAATTTGGGTTGCATCTCTTACAAGGTGATTTTAGAAGAGTTAATACTTCAACTTCGATCTCAATGAAAATTTAAAGTTCAGTAATAATTCATATTGTGAAATAAAACAGTTTTTATTATTGACATGACTGAAAAGATGAGTTCAACACTGTTAACATTTTTTTCTACTTTAAAAATAAATAAGAAATTAGGAATAGTATAAATAAATTACTTATTATAAACTGATAACCATGAAACATCTCACATCAACTAATGTAGGAATAAAATACAAAGATCAATGTTTTTTTAAAAATATTGTGAGATAAATAAGAAGATACAAATAAGAATATTCTTAAATTAAATGAGTAGACAGATATTACTAATGAGAAAATCGTTTTTTGCTCACCTGTCCTTCCATTCCAGGAAGAGGTACCCAATCGCCCCAGGAAGAACGTCCTCCTTGCCCCCTCATTCGCTCATCAGGCCACACTACATCAATTCTACGACCTAAATTAATACAATCGTAGACTTGATTGGGATCAACAATCTGCAGGAAAAAAGTTAATATTGTAGACATTTTTTTATTTTTTAAACTTCGATGTTAATACTTAAAATTTAATCCATTGCAGTCTAAGTTAGTATCATAAAATAATTCAAATATATATTTAGCTTCTTTCCAACTGGCAACTGTTTTGCAGTGTTAAAATAAAATAAAAGATTATTTATTCAAATTTTCATTATCTTAACTAAAACAATTACCTGGTGTCATCCGATTATTTGGCATGAAAAAATTTAAGCATCATTCAAGGATCTTAAATTTGTCAAATGTAAAATTCAAGGTGCTTTTCGTCAATTTATTAGATTAAATTTAAAACGAAATAAGAATCATAAAATGTGTTTTTTATTTATTTGGTCGGCTTAAATGTACTAATCAGATGTGACAATAAATTTGAATAATTATAAATGTTCTATCCTTGTTTGATGATAAAAAATATTGCTTAGCCGCTTATACTGGCGACTCAATGCATAGCCAAAAATCAGAATCTTAAAATGTTATATTTATTTGGTCAGCTTAAATGTATTATTCGGATGTGACAAAAAATTTGAATAATTATAAATATTCTATCCCTGTTTGATGATGTTACCTATGTTACCCATACTACAAATGTTCTTATACAAAGCTATAAAGCTTCTTATACTGATGACTCAATACTCAGCCAAAAATAAAAACTATTAAAAAATAAAGCACAGAAATCATAACTTGGAGTGTATAGTTAAAGTACATGTTTAAGAGCGAGGGACTCGTGGGCAAAGGTAGTTTAAAGATAATTTATATTCTCCCATGAATTGAATACTATTGTTTATGCAAAGATAGTGCTCAGTAATCTCGTTACAACAAGTGGTGGGGGCAGATCAGAAAATCTATAAGATAAAATTTTATCCATACCGGCTCCCAGTACATTCCGCCTCATTCCATCTCAAATATTCACGGAGGCAAGATCTAGCAGACTTGAGGGTCCTCAGGTAATCGATGTCTGTACCAGCATAAAAATGGTAAGCTGTTTTTGCACAATTCGTATAAACTATCAATACATTAATATACAGTCCACTGCATAAATAATTTGAATGTTGCCAATAATTTGCCTTGCCTTAATTAAAATTTGGAAAGAGTTGATCGGGGGGGTTGCGGTCAAATAAATACTAAATTTAAAAAAATAGTATTTTTAATAATCACGCTGATGTTTCGACCCACCTTGCAGATCTTCATCAGAGCTACGAAAGATACAAAATATAAAAGGTACAAGGTAAAAATAAAATAAATGAATTATAAGTAGATATTAAATAAGAAACAGTTATCTGATAAAGAAATAATAAGATGATATCAGAGATATAGTGGGTGACGATGTAGTTAAATATCAAATATTATATATATATATAGAAGATACAAACAAAAATAGAAAATAAGTATGAATAAGAATAGAAAACAAACATGCTATATACTCCTTTGTTTTCTATTTTTATTCATATTTATTTTATATTTTTGTTTGTATCTTCTATACATATAATACTTGATATTTAACTACATTGTCACCCACTATATCTCTGATGTCATCTTACTATTTCTTTATTTTATTATTCCTTTATCAGACAACTGTTTCTTATTTAATATCTATTTATAATTTATTTATTTTATTTTCATCAAGTACCTTTTATATTTTGTATCTTTTGTAGCCCTGATGAAGACTTGTAAGGTGGGTCGAAAAAATAATAATTAAAGATACTCTTTTTTTAAAATTTATTATTTATTTGACCGCACTCCCCTTCCCCCCGATCAACTCTTCATATTATATCACGGTCAACCATCTCTACATCATTAAAATTTGGAAATTTGCCTAAACAACTATTATCATGTTAAACCAACCTTTACCATCCTAATATTGCTTAAATGGCAATATAAGCCTACTCCCAGGAGTCCTATTAATATAATTCTTAAAGAGTAAAAATACAAACAAAAAACCAACTTTTCTGAGCTTTAAAAACTTATAGGTTATCACAACTGGTTAGAAACCAGTTTTAATATTCATGAAATAAAAATGGCTTACTCCATTTGAGCTCCAGAATCTTCTATTGTATTAAAAATATGCACAATCTTTATTTTAATAAAAATAGGACTTCTCATGTTCTACAGGTATACTGTTAAAACATAAAATAAATATATGTATTATTATCAAAACATACAATACAGACCCTAACACGATGAAGCGGTGGTGGTTCAGTCCCTTGCGTAGTTTGGGGGGAAAGAAGCCCAGCAAAAGAACCCAGTGATGGTTTACCTGATGACGCCATACTAGCTCTTGCACCACCTCGCTCTAGGGATCCACTAATACCTAGTTACACAGATAAATCATTATAAGCTAGAACATCAACCAATTACTACTAAATAAAATATTTTTAAAAATAAGTACACAAACTATCAAATATTTCATGAAAAATTTATTATAATACCAACCCCTTCTTCTAAACTTCTGATACCCACAAAAAAGTTGTTTTTAATGATTTTTTATAAATAAAACAATAATAATTTTAAAAGCTAAAATAATAATAAGCTTGAGATTTTAAGACAATTAAATAAATAGATAAGAAATCAGTGGATGGATGTAGTGATTTTTAGTTTCCAAATCAAAATTCTGAGTTTCATTCTTAATTACCTAGTTCTCATCATATTCAATTTAGTTATTTATTATTAGGCAGTGTCTTGGTGCATGGGATGTCGAGGGAAGAGATATTGCAAAACAAAAAAAAATTTTCATATAAGTACATAAAAAATGATAACCAGACTAAGAACTTGTTCAATGTTTTAACCCTCTCTATGCCTCCCTCCTCCACTCTTTTAAAGAAAAAGGTTTATTTATATAAGTTTGTATTTCTGTATATACTTTATTATTCTTTTTCGCAAACAGGTTTTGGTCATTAGACTTTCTTCATGATTATTTATGAAGAGAGGTTGTTAGTCATCAGTTGACGACCAAGAGAGGAGGATCATCATAAATAAGCCAAAGGAAAGTTCAATGATCGAAAACAGGTGCTAATAAAAACAAAAGTATGAACAGGAAGAGAAGAATTTTTGTAATTAAATTTAATATCACTCTTGTAACAATGAGCTTCAATTTAAGAAAGTTTATTCATTTTAAAAAGTTTCAAGAAAATGTGTAACACCCCATTTTTTAAATATTTATTGGTTCTACCTATTAAGTTACTTCAGGAAGTTAATAAGTGTATGTACGTACATTCAATAAGCAATTGGTAAGCACCTGCAGAAAATGTTCCTATTGTTCTACAATGGAACACTATAAATTACTAATCCTAATCTTAACCCTATATTGCTATTACAACCCAGTATTGTGGAGGAACTTCTTGTTGTCTATCTTGAAATCTTTAAAACCAGACTTCTCCAACCTCAATCTACTTACTTACTACCATCGTAATAAGTTCTTTTAAATAAAGTTCTAGAAAGAATTTAAGAACTAAAATTGAGACATGTCACTTTTTACAACTTTTCTTTTTGTGTGTGTTATTTCCAGTTGTTTGTTGAACATATTTTATAATTATTCTTCACTTTTCCAAACCACATCAACAAATTATTCAAATTATATACCTCCAGATTGCCTGTTAGCATATGTGGTCATAGCGTAAACGCCTTCATTGCCAAACCAGCTATCATCCTGGTGCATTGAGCCTCCACTAGAACAACCTTCTACGCATCTTTTTCGTACCCTATAGATTAATAAAAATTATCAGTAAAACAAAAATGATTATTTTAATATCAATTATTATTACTTATTTCAATCCATAAATTGTCCAATGTGATAATGTGATAAGGACTGAAAAATATAAATTTATATTAATCAACATATTTCTGAAATATGAACTAGTAATTATATAATTATAATTACAAAAATAATCACTCATGTTACTCAGAAAATACAAGATTTCAAAGATGTTATAAAAAATGAAAAAGAAAAAGAAAACTATGTTAAATTTTCTATTTAATAATGAAAATATATATTTTCACATTAGACAAATTCCACAAAGAATCAGATTTCATCAAACTTACAAGATATGATCTTAATTCATTTTATCAATGTCAAAAATAAGAACAGGAGACTTTATGATTTCATATGAAGAAGTTTATTTTAATCTATTGTTCAACGCAAAGAGGAGTCTGTAAACAGAAAGGATATTTCTTTTTTTTTTTTTTTTTTTTTTTAATAAATTCTGATGAAAAATTCAATTTAAATAATTGGAGACAAAAAAACTTAGAATGTTAACAAAATTTTTAAAATAAAGAACAGCTAAATAACCTGGTCCAAAGTTTTATGACTGCTTTTTTAATGGAAGTTGTGGTGATAGGTCCAGGAAGAATACTGCGAAGCTGAGCGTTAGTATCAGAATAAGATGTTGTCAGGGGTGATACGAAGATAGGATACCCAATAGGCTGGTCACAGGATGAATTGATGATATTTCTTAGAGCCTAAATTGGTAACATATTTGTTAATATAAGATATTCTGACAAACAAATAATTATTTAAAACATATTATTTATCAAGATAAATGTAATGAAAAAAATTGTTTGTCATATGTATGTACTTATTTCCCCATGCTAATTTCCAAAATAACATTTTTTTTTTAATGAAAAACGTTTAAACTGTCCTTCTTCCTCCCTTCAAAACATTCATCCTTAATAAATTTTCTAGAGCCTAATACAATTGATACACATTCCTTTAGCTTTGCCCCAGAAAAACAAGTACTTTTTTTGTATAATGGGGCTAAATTTTAAAAGACAAAAAAATATTACACATATCCTAGTATCAATAAAAAGTAAAGCTCGGGTTTGTTAAAATTAATTATGTTGAAATAACGTTTGCAAATTTTTTTAATTCAAAATATAAAGAATGGATATATTTTAAAATTGTTTTCACTAATTCACATCCAGTGTAACTCTAAGACTCTCATCACATGAAAACAATATTTTTATTTCATAAATTGTCCTTTACTTTTTGAAAGTCTAATTTTTTTTATTAAATAATTAGTAAAATTGTTCTTCAATAAGTTTAGAAAAAATATTATTACAGAAATATGAAATCCAAGGTTGATCTCTTCAGCTTGGTTTATATGCTAAAAAGAGTGGGTCATATCTTTTCTCTTACCTCAGTTAAAATTATCTCAATACAACACGGAACATTTTGCAAAATAATCATGTAAAGTGGTCTAGTATTTTTTATGACTAGCTGCTAAAAATGGGCTGACCTTTATATGATAGTATGGATACACTGTGGCCAAAAAAAGTATTCATACACCCACCATCTTTCTTAGTCAAAAATCTTTTTATTTATGTTTTCAGTATGAAGTAAATATAAATAATAGTTAGAAATTTCGTTTTGTATTAATTGTACAAAAAGTAAAATTTTATAACTCATATTGTTTGAAAAATATTCAAACATGAAGCACAAAAAAAAATATTCATACATTTAACTAAACCAAAAAAAAAAAATTGATTGTGGAGGTGTTTTGAGCGTTTGGTGAACATTATATAGCAGCCATTCTTTGGTTTTATTGACCGTGTGCTTGGGATCGCTGTCCTGTTGAAACAGATTTGTGTACTCCATTTGTAACTTTTGCGCAGTTTTATTCAAATTGCATCTGCAATACATTCACATTATCAGCATTTATAATCCCTTCAATAAAGGCTAGTTCATCAACTCCTTTGGCACTCATACTGCCCCCTCCATGCTTCACTGTGGGTTGTAGATTTTGGGGTTCAAATGCCTTTACCTTTTTCCTCTAAACATATTTTTCCCCATCAGATCCAAATACATTATATTTGCTTTCATCTGAAAACAACACATTTTTCCAAAACGTGTAGTATTTATTTACATGTTCTCAGGCAAACTCCAGTCTTTTTTTTCCGTTTATAAAGATTTTTTTCTTACCGTTCTACTCCTATAGCCGATTCTTCAAGGTTTTGGTTGTTAAAGATTTCCCATAAGCTGACGTGATGTGAGCCGGAACCTCTCGAGCACTTCATTTTGGGATTTTTTGCCATTTTATGTACCATACCCGAGATTCTCGCACTGCCAACAAGCATTTTCTCTCTGGAGGAGGTTTAATGTCCACTGGTCCGTTTTTAATTTTTTTTATAATGTATTATACTATTGTATAAGGTAGTCCGTACTTGTTTCCAATATTCCGCTAACTTAAGCTCTGTTGAAAATGTCATCTTTAACATGAGAATTCAATTCTTTGGACTTACGACTCATTACTAAGAAATATTTCTTAGTATTGAACTGAACAAGCAATTTCTTGTTCAGTTTTATCGTTTAATTGTCTGAAGTAGAACATTATTAATAGAATTTTAAAACACTGTTTTGATAACAAAAATTATTGTATTATTATTACTTTCTCTAGTGTATGAATACTTTTTTTGTGTACAAATTATTGAAATATTAATGTTATAAAAGTTGTATGAGATTTTAAATTTTTACACTACACAAAATCGACACAAAATGAAGTTTGTAATTGATATCTGCCATTACTTCAAGTTAAAAAAAATATAGTGAACCATTCTGACCAAAAAACGGGATGTACAAATACTTTTTTTGTCCACTGTAGATTTACTCAAGCCTACATAAGTAAAAATAAAATACATAAAGATTTGTAGAATAATGTACCTGCTTTGCATTCTGGATGGAACCCCTTTCAGGATTGGTATTACGTAAATAGACAAGTTCTTGTTGCTGACCAGCCCACAAACCACGAACACATTCCCTATTCAACTTGATGACTCTAAAGCTAAGCAAGCGTTTATTCAGCATGATTATTTTATACTCATCTGCACCATCATCAGTAACATGCCTGCAATCAAAATAATTAGTAATACATAAGGTTAATAATTTATATCAAATTACATTTTTAATAATCATTAAATAAATTGTGTTGAATATGAATTCTGATTCAAATTAAATGAACATAAAACAAATTTTTATTTTATTCTAGCCATAACAGTTTAGCACTTGTTAAGCAGAGTGTATAACTCTAATTGTAAATTTATACCTACAGTGGTGCTAAAGGTATTACAATTATTGCACAAGAGAGTTATAACTGTTATTACTGTAATATGCAAGTAGAATACTTAGAACACACAAGCAGAAATAAATTAAACAACCTTTATTCGTAAATGCGGATTATACAGAGTATACAAACATCAGCAGTGTGATATTAGAAAAAAAAAAACATTGGTGCATAACATTCGAAGTTTTAAAAACACTCCAGGTTTTCTTTTATTTTATTATTTTCAATGATCAATCTAAGTGTCCCTTTTAGACTAATGTTAAAAATCAGAGTTATGTTAGCAGAGGCTGATCTAGTATTACAATTCTGCAGATCTTACACCACTCCATCTTATAACAGTGCTAAATTAAAATCTGGGAAATAGATTTTGAGGTATCATATTGCTGAATTTTGTTACAAATTGTATAATTTTGGAATTTTTTTGTGGATATATATAATTTAAATGGTAAAAATATTGTTACTAATATACAGGATGACCCATGAATGAAGGTCCATAAAGTATGGACCTTCATTCATGGGGCATGTGGCTCATACACTAAGACAAAAAAAAGGTCTGATAATCATATGTTAGCAGATCCTTTCTAACAGAAATATAATCATTATAAAATTCACATTAACACAAGATAAAGATTTTTTATCAATCCATTATTGTTTTTTATTTATATAACTTAGTTTACATTTAGGTTTGTTAATTGTAATATTAAGATTTACAGTCTAGTATCGTTTTATGTACTATTTTCTCAGTGAACTTTGGCGAATGCGAGCTTATCATGAATAGAAGAGGTGAATACATTTTAAATTGAATTATTTTACCTTAAAGCTAAAAGTGAAGGGGTACCAGCTAATACCGCAGCTCTCCAAACTGGATCCCCTTCATGGGATATCACTAATTTCTGCCGATGTTCTGTGATGGCAGCATGAAGAGTAGCAGGATCATCATACTCATCCGGGGACATGAAATGATCCTAGAAATAAAACATACTGAATCAGCTAAAATTTATTTATTTAGTAATCTCAAATAATTAACTTCAACAACTCCGATCTTATACAACCACACAGCATAACACAAAAGCTAAAAAAGCTTTGGTGCCTGGCTGCCATGTAATTAGTTGGAGAGATGTGTCAACATCAAAATAAGCACAATTGAAGTGCTTAAGTACAAATTATGGAATGAAATGAGAAAGTTAGAATGGCAACTCATGGCAAACTCCTTTAGAGTTTTACAGACGTAGAATTTCTTCCGAAATAAAGTATTTATTTAGATTTGAAACCTATACTTAGATTAAAAATTAGTAACAAGAATATCACCACTAGAAATACCTGATGAAGTTTTAATGACATTCTGACAGCTGGGGCAACAACACTTTTCAGAAGTTCCATATCAGAAAATATCCATTCGTCTCTTGGAGAAGTAATTCTAAAGTCACCTTTGAAAAGTGCATGAAGGCCATAGAGGAAAAATTCTACACTGTAAAAAGAAAAACATATAAAGTTATTATCAAAACAGACTCCAGTATATATTTTAATAGGCCATTTCTCCTATTGTAATTTAAGAATTGTTGAAACACTCTACCGGTCACAGATCACAAAAACACACTGAGATAGACTGACTAAAATGTATAAATGAGCCAGGACTCCTAAAATACAGGAAAAAGAAGGCTTCCTAAATTATAACTTTAGCAATACTCATGTCAATTAATGTACTTATTTATTATTATTTGTTATAATTTGATTATTTATGAACAATTAATGCATATTATATTTTTTACGTAAACATTTATATATTATAGAATCATAAAAATAAAGAATATTATAGGTCAAAATGTGGATCAGTTAAAAGTACATTTAACTATTTAAAATTGGTAGCACACAGTAGAAAAGTGAAGTTAGAATCTTATAATCTATTTTACTGCACTTATATGAGGCAATAAACTAGTTCTGGTTCAACAATGCTATAGAAAACATAACTAAATTGCTTAACATAAAACTAAGATATACCTAGAGATTGTATTATGTGAGGCTGCTCCCAATGTTCTTCTACCGAGAATGCTCAATGCAAAACACAATGAAACTAGAGTAGAATCCTTTCCTACATCTCGCAATTTCTAAACAGATATAAAAATCATTAATTCCGAAATCTAGGAAAATGTTGTCTTAAAAAGAAAAAAATATATACAAAATTTTAAATAAAATATTTACTCAGATCAAAGTAACCATCAATTAAATATTCTCCAATATTGACAATAAGGTTTGATCTTTTGAAAAGGATCTGTCATAAAAATAAGTTAAATGTTGATCACAGTTCTTATAAAAAACAAAAATAACATTAAAATTAAAATTTTATTTTAAAAATTAAATAAATCACACAATACTTATTATTCTTTAACATAAACCATTTTTTAAATTTTGTTATCAGTATTTATGTAAAAGAAATCTTTACTGCTATAAACAGTTATATTTATAATATACCTTATCACAGCAAAGTGTGAACATTATCTATTCAGAAATTCTACTCACCAATAACATTGAACAATATAGTTAAAAGTCAACCAAATAGTCGCATTTTTATTTTATTTTATTTTTTTCTGAAATTGCTTGAAAATACAAAATATATTTCCTTCTGACTAGAATAATGAGAGAATGTTTATAGTTTTGTTTATTGTAACTTATCCAAATAGTCAAGCTCTGTTGATAAGATTATTATTATATTATACAGATTTCACATGGCAAAACAAGATAGAAAGAGTTATTTAAAATACTTGAATTTTAAAAATATATACAGGATGATTCAGGGTTAAGTGGCCAAACTGCAATAAAAAAACATTTTCCAACAAGAAAAAAATTTTCTCTGAAGGTATGTCCGCAAACGCTTTGTTTAGGATATATTCACACCTAAAGATTTTTGTTCTTATGAATTATTTATGTTATATAAAATAAATAAAACCTATTTACTTGTTCTAACAACTTTATTAATTAAATGTAAACATTAAAATTCATAGTAAATGTTGTTCACATTGATTTCCTTGAGCATTAAGACAGACTCGACATCTTTCTTCAACAGCAGCAGTGGCAGAACGGCACTGGATATGTGTTATTGTTTCACAAGATTTAATTATCCTTCTTTGTAAGGAATTAAGGTCATTGACCGGAAAGCGTTAGTGGACATACCTTCAGAGGAAATTTTTTTCTTGTTTTGAGGTCCTTAGTTCATTTTTGCAGTTTGGCCACTTAAACCTGAAACAGCCATTATATAAAAAAAAAAATGTTGTATATACCTTTTCTCTTTTATCATTACAAAACTGGATCCAATCAAGATACGCTGCAGTAAATGAATCTCTATTAATTCCTCTGATACGGAGATCATAATCTTCATCTATGTTAGGAGTGAAAACCGGATCAAGTTCAATAAAATTTTTATCTAAAGTAGGACGAAGTGCCTCCAAAATCACGGAGCTTTCCAGCCATGTTTCCAGCCTTTCCGAACCAACAGCATAGTATATTATACTCTGTAAATGATGAAGGATGATAAAGATACATATTAATCAGTAACTTAAAAAAATTTAATAAGCATTATGCATTAAATGAATAAAGAAAATAATATATAAAGGAATAAAAAAGAATCAGATACTAAAACATTTTTTTATAAATATTAACACTTTAACAACCAAGCCATTCGAGTAAATCTTTCTCCATGGACCAAATTGTTTTTTCTCTCATAAGTCGTAATATACTGTTAAAAAGTGTCATGCATTTTTGAAGTTTTAAAAATAATTTAATCATGACAATAAAAAAAAAAAAAAATGGAGCAGGCATATATGCTCTCCATTGTCCATAGGGATATTAGTTTTTTTTTTTTTTAAAGGTTTATTTCCCTATTTTTACCATAACTAGTTATTTCTTAGGTGCATATAAGCTGAGTTATTGCAAAAAAATATGTTTACTTTGACACCCTATGCAAAAACTGCTAACTTATGTTTATATTCAGAAAAAATGTGTTTACCCTTTGCAGGTATACTGTACTGTAAAATATGACCGTACTTTTCCTTTTCCCTATTCAAAACTGACAGGAATTAAAAAAAAATTATTAAAAATTTGGTTTATTAAGTCTAAACAATAGTTCAAATTTGTTGTTACAATAATTAATTTTAATTGAAATGTGGTGCAAATGTTAATCAGGTTAGTATTTAGATTAAAATAAGGTTGATAATTTATTTCTAAAGGCATATTTTTGAGATTTAATTTATTTAGATTATGTATATATTCAATAATCAAACCTTTTGTAAGACAACTGCTTTGTGTCAGCAGTTTGTACACAATAAAGTAGCCCTTTTTAAAAATACTAAAGACTTGAAGGTGATCGAAGTAGTAAACAATGTTAATTTGCTGTTATGCCCAAGATTTAACTAATATTTTAATAACGATGCCTCATTAAAAAGATCATTTTCGTGTTGTTTATTATCATTAAGTCCAAACAATGGTGGTCGAATTCTAACAATTGATTAAAAATCCGAATTTTGCTAAGCAGTTCTTCATAATAAGTTTATTAACCATGATTCATTATTATTAAAGTTTTACATCATAAAATTTAAAAAAAAAATTATATAAAACTAATATCCTGGGGAATTAGCAATGTGGCAGCCCAAAATAGTATGTTCTCTTCCCGTTCTCCTGCCGTTCCTTGTCGTACATTCTTTCCAAAAATGAGGACTTTTTAAAAATGCTGAGGAACAATGGACAAGTTGTTAAAAATTAGGGCTGTCCCACAAAAAGCAGGTATGTCTGGTCACCTTAGGCATACCTGAACTGATTAAAAATAAAAGTTAACTTTTTAATTCAAGCCCTGTTTCTTACAAATACAAAGTTTGATGGATGATAGTACTGATGTGTATATAGTAGATAATTAAACAGAATACATAAATAGAGGAGGTAACATCTACAATGGTAAATGAAAAAGAAAAAAAACACAATCTTACCTAACCTAAAAGTTACAAACACCCAACGACCTCAATGAACAACAAATTTATATAAATTTAGCAAACATAAATTACATTACCTTTACATAATATGTGACTAAAACTTTTCTGAAGTCAAAAACTTGAAGCATAGATATAGCTGAATTGTCTGATATTGAATAGCCTTCTAAGATATAACTAGCAGCAGTAACTTGCCATGCCAGCCATCGTAAAGAAAAACTTGCATTTAAGCTCAACAAATGAGGAAGATGTCCTGGCTCACAACAGCACCATCCTAAAAAATAAAAATATTAAGAATATAATTAAATATATCAGATTAAAAAGGCTTGGTGAACCAGGAGGGTTTGACCGTGAATCAATATATCAGTGCTGTAGAAAAAAAAAGTTAAATAATTTAAAAATTACTTTACAATTTAATAGTTGAAAAAGTTTAATTTTCATAGTTTAAAATTAAGGTATATAGTGAAAACATATTTCATATTACAAATGTAAAGATTTGTTAAATAATAAGATTGTAGATATAATATAAAGCTTATAAGTGTAAAAAAAAAAAAAAAAAAAAAAAAAAAACTAGGATTATATTTTTCTTCCTCCTCAGTGCCTCTCAGTGCGGAGACGCCTCGATGTAAGCTTTCCATCCGTCCCTGTACCTTGCCAATGCCCTCTTGGAATCCAACAGCTTTTATCTTTTATCTCCTAGTCGAGCCACATTATCCATCCACGACATCCTTGGCCTGTCTCCTGGTCTTTGCCGTAGGCTAGCTTCAAAGAATTTGCGTGGTCCACGGTCTTCATCCATTCTGAATACATGTCCGAACCACTTCAACTGCCTCTTCTCAAGAATTTCGGTTAGTAGTTTCACCCCTATCTCCTCTCTTACTCTGGTATTCCTGAAATGTTCACTTCGTGTTCGGCCAGTTGCATTTTTGAGGTATTTCAAGTCTTTGGGGATGCTTTTCTCATCATATATGTTCTGAAATAGATCCTGTAGAACTTTAATTATTCCATTGTCTCTATATTTGATAAGCTCCGGGAAAACACTATCTCCTCCGGCTGATCTTCCTATCTTGAGTTTCTCTATAGCTTGCATCACTTCTTCCTCCCAAATGTTGACGTTATAATCCGTGTTCCTGTCTGTTCTACATCACTATCTCCTCTGGCTGATCTTCCTGTCCTGAGTTTTTCAATAGCCTGCATCACTTCTTCCTCCAATGTGGTGACGTTATAATCCATGTTCCTGTCTGTTCTACTTTCTATCCTCTCATTTTCTTGACTCTGAGGATCTTCAAACATCTATAATGCTCTCTCCATCTGTCCAGAATGTAGTTTTCCTTGGTCAGAACTATTCCTATACTATTTTTCACGTTCCTTATGGGTTTTCACCTTTTGACTTTCAGGATTTTAATGATTTTCCAGAAGATCTTTATGTTTTCATTATAGTCGCTTTTTTGTAGGTTTTTTCCGAATTTTTCCTAGCTCTTCCTTTTAGTCTCTCGTACAACTAATTCTGCTTCTTTCCTCCGTCGGACATACGGTTGATATATTGGGACATACAGTCCCATGTTTGATCGTTTTAACAGTTTAAATAACTCTTCCATGCAATTTTTTTAAATAGTATAAATCAATGCAGTAACTTACCTTGATTTTCTTCTACACCTTCAGAAATTGCTTCAACTTCACGTTGCTGGCAGTAGGTGCCCCGAAATTCTAAACCTCTCATTTGAAAGGTAATTAGACCATTGCCAATTTCAATTATGTGAACAAGACAATTCAAATAATCGGATGCAAGCACAAAACAGTCACCTTGTCTGACGATGCCCCAACGACCTAAAACAGTAGATAATGAGTGGCTATAATATTGAATTAGTACATTCATTTTAATAAGTAATTATTTATGATTTATAAATAAAATTAGGAACAAACAAACATTTAAAGTTAGATCTGATAGATACTTATGTCTGAATTAGTCATCAGAATCAAAAAAATGACATCAAGTTTTAACCCTTCGACTGCGAGACCTCATAACGCGTGTTTCTTCCGATGTCAGGTCACAAAATCTAAAAAGACATTAAGAAAAACAGATTTTTTTTTCCCCTTAAAGTTGTTTAAAATACTATTTTGAGTCACCCTGAAAGATATTAGCTTTCAAAAATGCATTTAAAATCTTTTTATTTAATTTTAGGCTCAGAATAAATTTACAACTGATAGCTTCCAACATATAGTCAGAAACCAGAAGGACTGAACTGAGTGAGTTCCAGAGGACTAATGAATGCACAGACCAAGCCACAAGACGAGCAGTGGAAGCAGGGCTTTCCTTTACTGCTACAAGTGGCAACAGTCGAGGCAGGAAGGTAGGTATCCCGACCGACCCAGAAAACCAAACGAAGAATCATCCGAAATTCTACAAAACTAAAAAAGAAGCAACAAACCAATTGAGGAGATTATTATCGCACGGACGGACCTTTTATTTTCTACTTAGTAGCGGTAGAAAAGTAAAAATGTTACGCCTTAAAAATTAAAATTAATTGTAAAATATTCAATAACACTGAAAGAATTTTTTTAAAAATTAGTTACCTAGGATTATATCTCCACAAAGTGAGTGCTGAAGTGAATGAGTAAGATGTTCGTAAAAGATAGAATTAAGGTTATTATCATCAGCACCCAAATTTCTATCTAAATGAGAACATAGCCGTGTATTGGAATGGTCAACCCTTCTGGTATTATAATCTCTTTCCCAAAACTTGACTGGCCTTACATATGAACTCAAAAAAATTGCACTACCTGAAAAAAAAAATTGATAATGAAAAACTAATCAACCTAAATTAATTACTTTAACACATCTAAATGTAATATTGTTAAAGAACTATACAGTTTCCAAGTAGTACTGGATGTTCATAAATTATGGATATAAACATTGACAACATTATTTATAAAGGAATAAGGATCAGATATCCTAAGCACTCTAGTTAAATCTTGTTCAAAAGATATAACTAAAACTAACTGTAATGGCACACTTAAATTTTAAAATATTTTGTATTAAAATGTGTTGGAGCATTATGATCCATACTTATGAGAAAAAAAAAATTTAATAATATTCATATCACAATAGAAGTATCAACATATTTCTAAATGTTCTTGAGAATAAAAGTGAGAATTGAAAATCTCTAGAAATACCACAATAATTTATAACAAACAATCTAAAACGTTTACTAACTCTATTAATTACATAAATAATTTTTAAGGTTTGTCCTTGAGCAAAAAATTCATTACAGGTTAATAAAATCTAACAGAATACTAAAATTTCAAATTGTATTAACATTTAAAAAACCAACATTAAATAATATTATAAATTAATTTCTATTAGGTCTCGTAATATGACAATTCCAACCTAAGAATGGATTGAGAGGAGCTGATACTAGAGCAGAAAGCCCTGCTTGGAGAAAGGTCATCGCTGAGTGTGGAACAGAAAAAGGTTGTGCAAACGCATGAAAAGCAGATCCCCAAGTGATTTGCCAAGGTGCGATATAAGTTACAACAAACTGGACCTAAAATACATAAACATATAAAACAATTCAAAATTGCAAGAAAAATAAATTAATTACTATTATCATAAAAAAAAAAAAATGAAATAAGATCTGAGACAAAAAAGAGAATCAGTATTTAGCTAAAATAAAAAATTAACAATATAGTTATCAGGGTATCTACCAAAATCTTTTTGAGAAATTTCTTGATATTTCCAGGCCTTTTTTGGAAAAAAAATTCCAGATCATCCAAATATTGTTATCGGAAATATATAAAAAATGACCTTATAATTCTTGATACTTCCAAAATATTATGGGTAATAAATGAAAAATACAATTACTTTATACACTAGTTTACAATTGGCTGTCGATAAGTATAATTTATTCTAATATTTCTTGAAGTAGTGTAAAAGAAACAATATTTGGTTCCTGACTAATTTTTTTTAAATGAGCTTTGTTAATGATAATTTTACTTAATTGGTACAATTTAACATTTTAAATAATGTATTCCACAATTCCTGAGACCTTATAAAAATTATAAATTTTTATGATCCATAACTTTGTAAGAAACCAAAGAAAAATTAAACACTCTTTGTCACACAAATTATGGTATCAAACAGCCTCCCCTTCCCCCCCTACCATTACCAAAATAATCAATAGAAACATTATAAACAATACTGACTTATTGGCACAGAAACTATTACTTATAAATACAGTAGTGTTAAACAGTATACTAGTTTTAAGAATACATACACTACAGTTTTAAGAATCCAAAAATAAAAAAAACTTATAACAGAAAAAAAATGTTTGTTATGAAAAATCAATAAACCCAATTTAATACATTTGACCTGTCATATGAATACTTTTGTATAAATCACTAATATGTAAACATTTTGTGACCAACTATGATTTTGATTCTTAGTTCAGAATATTATTGATGAAAGAACTAAATCCCTTGAGTAGACACAAATTTAGACTCTGCAAGTCCTGTAGCAGGGTAGTGATCGATTTCAGTATATATATATATATATATATATATATATATATATATATATATATATATATATATATATATATATCAGTATGTAAGACTACTCTTGCAAATATCTAGTCCTGTCATAAATATTGTTACAAGAAAATATATACAGACTTCAACAGAAAAATTAATTTTTTCAAAAACTTTATTAGAAAATAAAATGTACATCTATAGAGAGTAAAACAACAAAGAAATTACTCAAAATATCCCTCTTTTGCCTTGAAACAGGCATTTAATCTCCAAGGTCAGACATCAATAGCAGCACGCAGTACTTTTTGAGGAAAGTGCTGAACTGCTCGGACCAGAGATTGTTTGAGGCTTTCCAAGTTAGGGTGTGCTCTGTGATATGCCATTCACACAGTAAGGGGACATTCCGTCGAGATCTGTCACATACAGATAGGGTTTCATTATATCTATTTATAGTGCAGTACACGAACATATGGCTGATACCCAAAGGTTTCAAAGTGTTGAAAATCTCTGACCTAAATTTTCCAACTTTTCTCCATGTTAACTCAGCGAAAGAAAAATAGAAACTAATTGAGATTATTATCCTAACATGTAAAGAAAATAACCTGATAGATGTAAGGAATATCTAAATAATGGATGTAAAGAAAGTTCAAATTTTGTAACAGTATTTATGGCAGAACTAGGCACATTGCCAAAACCTCAAATGTCAAAAATTGGGAACAAATTAAACATTATAAGACAATTGGATTTCAGCAACTGTATAAAAACACAGAGAAATTTCATATCTATTAAAATAACGACACTATTTTATTTTTCGAGTTAAATAAAATTCTATGAATTATTGAAGGAAGTTAGTCAACTGTTCTACATATCATGGGAGATAAATAGTCAGGACGCAGTCATTGTGAATATTTTTTATTTATTCCAACGTTTCAACCCAAGCATGTGGGTCATCATCAGGGCATGTTACGAGCACTGAAGTTATTTAAGTACTCTGAAACGGCACAAATAAAAAATATTCACAATGACTATTTACTATTTATCACCCATGATAAATAACATTCTGTTAAATGTATTGTTGTATATCATTGGGACCACCTATCATTGGGAATTGACTTGTTGATCGATTATTTGTACATAAATAAACAACAGTGAACTAGCGATCATGTTACACAGCTAGTAAAATTCTCTAGATATTTCAAGTTAGGTAGAATAGCTGCAGTTATTGATAATAAGCTAAAATTTTAAAATATTACTATTTTAATAATTAATATGATAGCAATTATACGCATAATACAATAACTTACTTTGAGCAAAAATTCATAAGTTTTATTGTAGATAATAGCTGTGATGAAATAATCTATCAGAAAAGTATGACCAATGGAAGGATAATCGACTTGAAAAAACAAAACAGCAAAAGTAAGAATGAGGTACTGGTCATCAGGTTGAGAAAAAGATGATCGAAGCAGTTTAAGTGATGTAATGGATATGATCAGTGAAGCGATCGCAGGTCCAAACATCTCGGATAAAACAGCTGAGTCTGAACTAAGGCGTGCAAGCATCAAAACTGGATAAACAATATTTGATTCAACTGTGCACAGCCAGACAAATAACTGCAAGAAAAGAAAAACAAATTAAGTTAAAATTGTGTTTTATTTTAAGTTTGAAATCAACAAGTCAACCAGTAAATGAAACTTAACAAAGATACAATTATCAAAAAATCGAAACCAAGTTACCTTTTCGAACCACATAACTGTTGGAGGATGGTGAGGCTCAAAATGACTTTGATGAGAATGTCTCAGGACAGGACGGGCTAAACAAAGCCAAGGAAGTTGTTTCCTTAATTGAGGTATAATATAATGTAGAATAAAACCCATTGCAATGGCCACACTGCCTATAACCTATGGAAAAAGTTATTAATCCATAACATAAACATAATTCATAAATTATAAAAAAATAGTAAATAGTATCTTACTGGATTCAGTTCCGGTTGGAGAGCAGTAAAAACTGAGCTGCAATGAATACCAAACACTATCAGTGCTATGACAGTACAAACAAGCAGATCTGATTTCAGTCTCGTGTTAACTGTCTCCTGCAATTTTCGAGGAAGAGGGTCTTCTTCGGGATCTTCTTTAGCTTCTTCTACTTTTGGCAGTTCCTCATCTACTACCCATATATGAGCTTTAAGGATATTTAAAATAGGCCCGGGTTCACTAGAACTTCTGCTCAGATGGTAACTTGTCGCAACCAATAAACCACAATATATTGAAAAAAGTATTCGCTGAGAAGTTTTTTCTTCACTAAGACCACCATAAGCAAAGCCATAAAGAAAAAGTACAGCTACAACACTTCTGAAAACACAATAAACTGCACTCCACAGACTACACGTAGCATTCCCACCAAAAACGTGCATGTCGATTTGTTCCAACAAATGCATTGCAAATGTATTAATCTGAGGATAAAGTCCTAAACCAAAAAGTAATGGAAAACACAACAGAAAAATAAGTAAAAAATCCCTAAGCAAAACAGAAATGTTAGACATTCGGAGAGTTAGGCCATAAATAGTAACAGGAACTGATGATTTAGGCATATTTAAGTGACACAGCAGTATAAGAGAGGCAACAATTACAAAATAGACCGGCCTTGAAAATACAACTATTCGATTATAGCCATGTGTAGGAGAGGCCGTATCAGGCTGAACGGATTTAAGGAGGGAATATTGGCTACCAGCCATAACAAAGCAGAGAATAAATGCTTGAAGATCTTTATATAATTGCAAATATAGAATATAGGAACCGAGAATACTGACACTGCTAGCAAGAAGAATGCTAAACCATGTTTCAGCATAGCTAAGATCTCTATCAAGTACTGCAAGTAGGGTCAGGCGATCGAACCTCACCTTAATATAAGGGCACCAAGAATACCTGAAAAGAAAGAAATTAACATATTTTATAATAAAACAAAATAACATTAATGTAATATAATCCTTTAGAATTAAATTAACCATGTTATATTACCTAAAATAGGAGTATTCACATAACTTGTGACAAGCGCTTAATGTGTTATAGGGCTAAACTGATAGCATGAGTCTTGAGTGAATGATTCCTTTGCGCTAACTTGCTCAAGTGTTATTAGCTATAGTAATTTGAAATCTCCACTCGTAATAACTTGGGTTTCAATTGTCAATTTTAATGTTTGAAGACTTATTTTTATTTTATTCAAACACTGTTTATTACCTGATGTATGGAAACTATAAATTTATAAGGAATTAAAAAAAACAAAAAAAAAAACATTCACTTCAAACTTCCAATTATCCATAATCAAGGATAAGATTTTTGTCTAACATTATCGGAATTCCTTCCACATTCTTACATTCCATTTCACTTAAAACAAAAGTAGTAAGTAATTGATGAAAACCTCAAAATAACTGTTTCCACGGTTTTACGAAATTAATATTAGTTTTAACAGGTCTTAGACCATGTTAAAATTGAGTGTATTAGCAGCCAAATTTAACTGCAAAATTTCATACATGTATGAGTGATTATAATAATTACCACTAATAATAATAATAAATAGTCAAAATGTATGAGTAGTTCAAAACCAATAAATTAATCTTTATAATTAGAACAACTGTCTTTATGAAGAAAACATGAAGGCTGGGGATAATAGATTTTCATTAATAAAATATATTTATTAATCCACACTATTACACTTTTGAAACAAGAATATTTTGAAAGATAGAATTATTGAAAACTGACATTTAGTAACAATTCTTAGAAAAAACACATATTTTGGGAAATAATTACTATTTTTCATTTATTTTATTTAATCTTTATTTGCTTTGAGAGAAAAACGCCATACAAATCTTATGAGAAAATAATTATTATCACTTTAGAATAATGATATTACTAGTAAAATATAAATTAGTTGAAAATATTTATCTACACTTAAGAAGAACATTAATAAAAATGATTACTATTTTTTATTTATTTAATTTAATCTTTTTTTTTTTTAGAGGTAAGAACCTCATATAAATTGTATGAGAAAATGATTACATCTTAGTAGAGATACGTTTTAATTAAATCTGGTTTCCTAATATTTTCAGTAACTTCTGTTTCTAGATCAGTTAGATGTACTAAATTTCAAAATATTAAGATTTATTATAAATTTTCTTAACCTGTAATATCTTCTAGGTGCTTTCGGAGACTCAACTGAATCCATGAAATGAATAACAGATCTAGATGGAGCTTGTGGGGCTTCAAGATGATTTTCATGAGATATTTGTTGTTGAGGAGAGAACAAAGTGATAGGCTGGGAAGAAACGCGAGGGGCCAAAGACTGAAGGATAAATCCTCCACCAGGAGCTTGTGTCAACTGATGCAAAGTAGATAGGGCAGCTGATGAAGATCCAGGAACAACTGGTAATACGGGGCTTAACCTAGAGCACATTAACCACAACTAGTAGGAAAGTTTAAATTAATAATTATTCTTAGGTTTCAAAAAATAAGCATGTGATTAAGTCCAGTTATCTAGTCTTATAAATCTATTAAAAACTTCATTAAATAAAACCCACAAACTTAATCCAATCTTAAATCCAAAATAATTTTATATAAATCATCAATAAAAGTAAAACAAAATTATACATCATAAAGAGCTATCAATTTAATATTAGTACCTATATAATGAATGCTTTGAAATCGCAAGCATTCCAACAAGAGAAAAAGTAAATTTTATTATATTAACTCTTAAACGATTGGAGAGCAAATATGGTGAGCTGTAGGAGGGTGATGACTATAGGAAGGCAAGTCCCCTGATGGCCCTGGAGCCAGGACCCAAAAATAGACCTCATCGCAAGCGAAGATTTTATTGTAATTACGAAAGTGAATGTTATTCTGAGTAAAAAGAACCTTGTCTGCCGTTCCAGAGTCACTGCTTTCAAAAACAGCAGCTGATTTAAAGAATATTAGAACAGTAATTTGAGGATCAAAACGGGAAATCCATTGCGAAAAATGTGAGAAAAGTTTTTAATTTTTTAACTTGTATCTATGGGTGTAAAAAAAAATTGCTAACACAAGCCACCAAGAGAAAACTTTTTACTGCCAAAAAGTCAGATTTTTTCGATATTTTTTTGTTTTTTCATCTATAAATTCTAAACGATGCATCAAAGCAAAAAATGTACTCTGTAATAAATTAAAGAACATTAAATTGTGCGTCAAACGAGTACATAAACATTATAATTTGATTAACTGGTAAGGTATTAAAAATGATGATTTTTTCCAAATTTGTCAAAAACTGAGACCAATTACTATAAATAGCCCTGTAACTGGGAAATGAGTTCCTTAAGAGGAAAAAACCCATAGAACCAAAGTTGTAGAGTATCAAATTTTGAGTCCAGTGAGTACCAACTGATTTAATGTAAATCACTCACTCCGAACAAATTAGGCAATATAGGTAAATTAGGTAAAAGTGATTTTCAATATTTCAACAGTATGAATATCTATTCTACTGAGTTATTTTTCTTTAAAGTCTGTTATATGCAGTATAAGCCTCTTTTCCACCTCTCAGTAGCAAAGGATTTTAATAAACAATGTGTCGAATGATACCGAATTTCATAAAGGAATAACAAATCTCGATTTCAGATATATAATTGGCCTACAATAAAAGTGTCAGTACTCGGTAGACACAAAATTACTATGAGTCTATAACTATAACTATGAGTCTATGGGTTTTTCCTCTTAGGGAATTCATTTCCAAGTTACAGAGCCATTTATAGTAATTTGTCTCAGTTTTTGGTAAAAATCAGTGTTGGTTGACCGTGGTTTTATATCTAACTACATAACCAAATTATAAAGTTTATGTACTCGTTCGACGCACAATGTAATGTTCTTTAATTTATTAAAGAATACGTTTTTTGCTTTACTCCATCCTTTACGAGTTATAGGAGAAAAAACAAAAAAATATAGAAAAAATCTTAATTTTTTGGCTGTGAAAAGTTTTCCCTTGGTGGCCCGCGTAAGCAATTTTATTTTTTACATGTCTAAACCAATATATGCAACTTAAAAAAACGAAAACTATTCTTACATTTTTCGCAATGGACTTCCCGTTTTGATCCTCAAATTACAGGCCTAATATTCTTTGAGTCAGCCGCCATTTTCGAAAGCAGTGGCTCTGGAATAGCAGACAAGGTACTTTTTACACAGAATAACGTACACTTTCGTAATTTACAATCAAACCTTCGTATGTAATGAGATCGATTTTTGGGACCTGGAGCCAGGGCTATGAGACGAGATACTGTCCTCAACTATCACCACCATTCCTTTTTTTCTCTCTTTTTTATTGGCATGATGCATTTTCAAGGCCTGTGGTGTATAAACTGTTTAAAACATAAGATGTGCATTTTGAGAATCTCAATGGATTAATTATCTTAAATTCCGCTATACAATCCAAGCCAAATAATGTGAACCTCAAACTGGTAAACTTTTTGATTCAGAAATGATCCAAGCAGTTTCATACTCAGAATGACAGAGTATATACAATGATCCTGTCAGCTTGATAGGACCCTATCCATTTGAAATAGCATTTTGTTTGTTATCACATTATTGTGCTTGTTTTCTTACATAGGATTTGTATTTTGTCTTATAAATATTTATTTTGTTTGACAAAATTATAAATTTGATATATTAGGAATTAGCTGCAAGTTTGCTTGATTAGCTTGATTTTGTTTTTTATTGTAGTGGGTCTCTTGGCCATTTCCTTTTTAGTCTGCATCGAACAGGTAACAGGGAGCAGGAAATTGAAACGACTAATGTATTGAACTGATTTAGAATGGAAGAGTGAAATGAAGTTTATTTGTCGTGGATGTAAGATTTTACTGTTGGGATGTTTAAGTCGTAATGCATAGTGTTATTTGAAATGTACCAAGGTGCGTCGACAATTTTTTGTAGAACTTTTTAATGTGTTCTTTGTATTTTATTTATGTGTGTTTGTTTAGCCCAATCCCAAAGTTCTACTCCGTGTGTTCAAATTGGTTTCAGTATGGTGTTGTAGATCAGTACCTTGTTTCGTAAGTCAAGAGAGGATCTATAGTCTAGAAGATGTGAGTTGGTTATATCGTCTAGTCAGTTTTTTGTATTTTTAATTTAGTATGTATATTCTAGGTAACTATTTTGTCTAAGTAGAGTTCGAGGTACCGCACATAATTTTTTTATTATTTATTTTTATTATGTATACTGGGATATTGTCAATTGTTACGGGTGGACATGAGGCTTTCCTAAGAGAGTAAGTCACGTGGGTGGATTTGTTACTATATATTTTAATTTTCCATTTTTGAAACCAATTTTGAAGAACATAGAGGTGGTTTTGAAGTGCAATTGATATGACAGTAGGATTTTTCTGGAAAGAAAGAATTGCAGTGTCGTCAGCGAAGCAATTGATGGTGGTGCTAAATAAACTATATTTTTTTCATTTGTTAATATTACTACTGTTTGTGAAATCATGTATTTCACAAACAGTAATAATTAAAAAAAAAAAAAATTAATGATCATAATTCATATAATTGGTATTCTCTATTTCAAAAATCTATAAACAGAATAAAAACAGAGAGTTAATGAGGTAAATTTAATCTAAGGATAAAAAGCTTGATTAATGCTCACCTGGATGGAGGGACAGATGGCTGGGCAGGAAGTAGGCAGCTAAGTTCAGCCTTTTTGTTATTGTTGTTATTAACATCATCAGGTTTACTGCATTCACCACTCACACCTATTGCAACAATCATCTCATTTTAATAAACAATATTAACTGAAACTTGTAGATAATTACATATCTGTAGCACTAGTGGGCGGGGTGGCCGAACGGGCTAACGTGTGTGCACAACACCGCCGTTGCCTGGCAACATGATTTATAAGACAATGATAAAATATAGTTACGAGTTCGCATCCCGGTGGCGGGGGCGTCTTTTAAATCCCTGCCCACACCCCCTGGCCCAGAAAAACCCCGTATAGCCTTAAAAGCAAGGAAGGGGAGGACCCAACAAAAAAAAAAATATCTGCAGCACTTGTGAATAGGAGTTCAAATGTTATTTTATGGTTTTCAATCTTTTTATTCATAAAGAAAAAGATGAAATTAGATTTTAAATTCATAAAATCATAGTTAACCCCTTACTCACTATCAGAATAAAATTCGATGATTTAATACAAACTTAAGATAATCAATATAAATTATGACAATTCTGTGACCTATAAATTTTTGGTTAATCAAGTTTTTTTTTTTTCTGTTGGCATTACAGACCATGTAGATCTTTTGCCGCCTTAACAAGCCTGCTCCATCTCTTCCTGTCTTGGGCTATTTCTTTTCATTTAACTGCCCCCAGCTCTATTGCATCTTTGTTGATTCTATCTATCCATCTGCTTTTTGGGCTTCCACGTGGTCTTTTGCCTTCTATTGAGCCATTCATTGTTACGTAGAGGCTTTCAGATGGATTGCTACGAGCTACACGTCCAGCCCATTTTAACCTCTGTGCCTTCATATCATAGCCTGGGATATTGAGTGACCAGTTTCTGTAAGCAGTTCTTTCTTCTTCATGTGTTAGTATTCTGATCCCAGATCACCCCGGTTTCTGTGCTATCGTGCTATCCGGTTTATCAAGTTAAAGAAATAAAATAAAATAGTTTTTCATATATTTTTGTAATGGAGATTTTTGAAATTCCATTTAGTTTCTATAGAAAGATTTATTTCCCATTCAAATAATACAAAAGTAGACATTTTTAGCTACAGTATAAAGTCATTAGCTTTTCATCTCTACCCATTCATAACCTTTTATGATTTTAGATGTTAGGTATTCATTTTTTAGAAACTTTTAGCTTCTAACAGTATATCGACAGCCGCAAAATTCTGTAAGAACATAAACTAAAAATGTTTAGGAGATGAAAAAAAATGTGTAATTATTGTTCTATGAGCATCATATTTTCGGCTTATTTTTTTTTTTACAGGCCTAAGACAAAGGTGTAATGCTCTATATAACTCTTTTGACCATATTTCTTTCATATAATCTATTAGAGCCTTTACTTCTAACTCATAGCTTTTTTTTTTATTTTGAAAAACAGGTATCACTTGGGTAAAAACAATCAAATTGATTGTAGTTACACCCATAACTTTGTTAATAATGATCAAATCATGACAGGAACAAAGTCTCAGTTTCCAAAATGTAGAGAAACAATATTTCAAATGAAAATTTGTAGAACATTTGACTGAAAAGAGACTATTTGATCAAACCAGTAATTTACTTTTTTTTCCCCACCATAGGGGCAGCTGGTGCATGCGCCTCATTTTGGAATGGTATATGAAAGTTTTGTTTTTAACCTACTCAACTTCATATGGACAAGTTTTGATTCATGAATGAAGTTCTAGGTAATCTGCTGATATGTAGATCACGTAGTTTTTGAGCTTCTTGCGATTTAGAAGATTCATTGGTTTAAAAAGATGAAACTACAGTTTTTTCGTCTCGTGTTAAATTTTCCGATTAATGAAATCAATTCTATGTCTCTCACTATCTGGGATTTGGCAGCATTGCAGCCTTTCTCCAGTCAAACTCATTTTACTGTTGCCAGTAGGTTTAGATTATTTTGAAGGCTGTTCAATATTATATTCCCACTCCATTCTTTGTTTCATCTAGTTCCATGGTATGCAGTGACGGCCTTAGGGCAGGGTAACTCGGCCATTTGCATAGAGGCGCCGGGCTGAAAGTGCCCGCTACTTATAAGAAATTTAAAAAAATAATACAAAGTATATGAGAAAAAATGATTTTAGCCTATTAATAAAGCTGATTGATGCTGAAGTCTATGCGTAAAACGCTTTATATATTCTATATTTACATGAACATCTTTCATTGAGGATTTCATTACGTTCTCTCGGTAACGACACAATCTCTATAACCTTCACTGTAACTTACAGTTTTTTATATCACGATTTAATGGTTGTAAGTTACAGGTTTTTACAAAAGGCCAAGGAAGAATTGAAATATTGTAGATTTCATTTTGTGAGATCAGAATATGCGCCAGCACAAGATTGATCAGAAAAGCTCAAAACCTCATTTTCCAAAGAAATTGTCCTTGCAGGCTTTTGCAGTGTGGCTGTTGATAATTATTAATAAAATTGTTCAAACAGTTTCTAAGATAAATGTGTAAAATTGATAAGTATGAAGTGCTATTTCCAGTAAGTTGATTTAGTCAAAAAGTCATAACATCTCAGCTTATACCAACCTAACATACGTAATTTCAGATTCGCACAACTTTTTGAGAAAGATACACACTGTGATATTTTAAATATAGTTTTCTAACAGTTTTACATAGACTGTAATTCTAATGCATCCCTCAAGGACTTTCAGGGAGCTTGGCTAAAAAAAATTTCTTTGAATCCCAGTCCTCAGCACAGAAAATCAAACCATTTCAGTTGCCTCTTTTTAATTGTGACCCTCAAAATATGTACTTCCAGATTCCTCCTCTTCCACCCATTTCCTCTCATTAAACTGCCTATATAGCAGAACCCAGTTCTCAATTACGTTGAGGAGGGTGCGTAGGTAGATGGTCTTAAAGATGAGAAATTTTACACTGTGTTCCACCTCTCTTTATTTCAGCAGTATTAAAAGCTTAATCCCTTTGAAAGCTCTTAATTCATTTTTCCATTTCAGCTGAGCACTAATCTGAAAATTTTTTTTAGAAACCTACAATTTCCATAAATGTATATTAAACTAATATTTTAATTTCATAATTTTAACTCCGTTTTTAATAAAATATATAACTATTTCTGTATTCAAGTGGTAATATTTGGTCAGTACTTGAATACCTTCGGTACTCGAATCGCACCCTGATGATGACCCACATTTTTGGATTGATACGTCGGCACTAATAAAAACTTTATAATGACTGCGCCCTGAATATTTATCACCCATGATATTTAGAATAGTCGACTAACTTCCTACAATAACTATTTCTCAAGAAATTTGCTAAAATCTAAAATACATACTCAATGAAAATGGCAATAATAAAAACATATCATGCAAAACATTTAGCAGGCAATCTATTTTTCATTACAACATCAAAGGATCAGAAATTTGAACAAAAGTGATTATTTACAAATTAAATTTATTGCCAGCCTTGGTTATGTGCATAAGTGTCATATCAACATGCAATCATACTGGATATATTTTAATATATGAATACCATCTAAAAGAAAGTTCGAAACAGAATATTTTCATAAAATATGTTTATGTAATATATAAATGGCTTAGTCTTAGTAAAATCAATGTAATAAAACCAAGCATTACAAAAACTGTAGTATCGCTGTATTAAAATAAATAATGACAGTAATATTATTAACCAGGAGAAATCCTAGGCATTAGACCTAGAGCTTGATGAGACCGAGGTTTAAGCCTAGCCCTTCTGATACGATGACGTTCCCTTAAAGTACAGCCAACAACTACAAAATAAAAAATATGTGTTGTTGAAATTATTATTCTCAAAGCATTAAATAGAAATGAAAATATAGTGATTGAAAATTAACAAACCTGGTGTGCTTAAAGTTTTAGAAATAATGCATTGCTCCTGCGGTGGCGTTTTCAACTGAGGAGGGGGTGATTCACCATCCTCCTCTTCTTCCGGAGCTGTAACAAAAATTTTGACGGATCATAACAGAAATATTTATTCACTAAACTGCCTTTTGTGAGTAATAACAGTAACTAATAATGCTTAAATATCCTATTCATAATAATAATAAATTAAATAAATTACAAGATTTAAAGAAAGAAGTGAAGTTGACAGAACATAACACCTACACCACAAAAACCCAGAATCTACAACATTAATATGTTATAAGACTAACACATCCCAGAAGAATCTTAAACATGAAACCAAGTACCTTAAAAGCAAAAGACTCCCTTCTTTTTTTATACGGCATGCAATGAGAAGAACACAGAAACAAGTAAAAAAAAAAAAATTAAATTTAACTTACGAGGATGATCTAATAAACTAAGGGAGGTGTCTGAGAGTGTGTCATCAGAAAATGTGAAACTCCAAAGCCCAGTTTGCCGTGACTCATCTGTGTAAATGTTATTTATGTACATGTACACTTCAGCAATAGCAAAAAGTTTTAAACCAATAAATTTCCCTAACCTTCTACTATATACATATTAGTATTTGAATTGATATCCTACCTGTTAGCTAGAAAAGGTTTTTAGTGATTCTGTTATATAAAAGCAACCTTCATCACTAAATATAGAAATATTTACAAAAATTAAGTGAATTGGAAGAATAAAAATTCTATGAGATAAATTTTTCATACTTAAAAGCAGAGAGATTCCAAGAAAAGAAACATTTCAACTTTATATGGGGTTGAATAAACTTTATATGAAAAAAAAAAAATTAAAAATTAAATAAATAAATAAAAACACATGAAGGGTGTCTTGGGTTAATTAATTTGTAAGGAAGTACTGTTTCATTGCCAACAGTTGTTCAATGAGGAAATATACCAAAACCATTCTTAACCCCAGTTTTTTCCTCATTAATTACTAAATAATACCCAATTACTTTATGGAGGCTACATTGATCCATAGCTGGTCTAATATAATAAATAATTGCCTGCCTCAGCCAGACTCAGAAGCATGCCTGAGAGAATAGGAACAGAGTGAGCTCACCGAGCTAACTCACTCACTCCCTTAACAAAAAACACAAATATTTTTTAAAAAATTATACCTCAAAACCTTATAAGTCACATTGGCATGGTAAATTAATAACTAACTTGTATAAAATTCAACAAAAAAATTTCAATTACTAACTATACAGTAGAAAATATAAAATAATTAAAGAAATCTGGTGCGTGAAACACACAACTTTCACTTGCCGATCTACTTTGAATATAAATTATTTTCTGGCAATGTTGTGCTATTATAAAATTTTTGAAGTGCTTAAGTGCATTTTTAATAGATATACAGCTTAAAGCTTACAGTTAACAAATCATTAACACCATTAGAATAACAAAAAAAACCAATTAATTATATCAACGGTAGGCTATAAAACCTCGTTGTTACTCCATCTGTTTTGTAAACCACACAACTCCAGTCTCAGAGCTAAATATTATATATATATATATATATATATATATATATTATATATATATATATATATATTATATATATCAAATCTCTTGAGAGATTTGAAAGTATATCTGTATATTCAATCTATAAAATGATTAAGGACTGTACGACTATTTGTTATTAAACTGCTATTTTCCATTGTAAAGTTTAATAAAATGAAATTACGAGACTTTCATTGCCATCCATAGATAGCTCAAAGTTGTTACATAATTTAAAGTGGATAATGTTGGGATATCACGAAGGGAAAATTCATCAAATTATTCACTAATTTAATATTGTAAAAGGTTTTATGACGATTTTCGGAATAACGGACGTTGATGAATAAATATTTAAATATTATATCAGATCTAGAATATCTAAACTACATTAAATGTATTTAAAAGGTTGTAAACATATGCTTTATACATCCATGAAATGATTGTATATTTTACTTCTTCTTTCACACAAGTACAATGAAATAGATTTTTTAACAATGCCATTGCCTTGATTAGGTGGATTTTAAATACTTTCTACAAACGTAAAAATATTTTTTAAAGTTTTCATTTAGTTCGTAAATTTCATTTAATTTCCTTGAAAACATGTGATTTACATTAAATATTATCAGTTTTCAAAAATTACTATTTATAATTTTTTTGCCATTCTCCGTTACCTTCTACAACTTTTTATATTAGGTATTGTTTTTTTGTAAAATTCTCCACTTTCCGACGATATATTATAAGTATACCTTCTGACTTGTATTTCCGGGGATTCATTTTCGACCTGTATAAGCATTTTTATTTTTTTCTCCTTTATTCAATTATCAAATTCTTTCAAAAGTTATATTTAGCATTTTTTCGTAACTTTTAATAACGAGAGATAGTTGATTATTTAAAATAAACCATATTAAAGGTACTTTAGAGAAAGACATACACATACACACAGACCGTTTTTCGGGACTTGGTTATTTGGACTCAGGGGATCTCAAAACGTGTATTTCTGTTGAAAACTCAGATAAAAAAATTTTTACGATCGCAATACTTACGCTTACTATATATTACATATATAGGTAAGTGAAAGTAAAAATTAATTATTAAGCATGGCTCTCTCTCTCTCTCCCAATTCATTGCAGCCAGTTGTTCCTATGAAATTTAAATGATCCGGTGTAAATAAATTAATATTATTAGACATCATCCTAAAATGCTAATCCTTTTCAAGTTTATCAAGCAGCACAAAATCTCATAAATAATCAGATCAAAAACTAAGATAAAAAAAAATAGTATACAACAATTAAGTCCAAGTTTTATCATACTTATAATTATAATTATTGCTTAATAACATTTTAAAAACATAACTTAATAACTTAAAACATAAACATAACTTAATAACATTTTAAAAATATTTTTATTCCTTTCAACAAAGGATTTTCATAATAGAGAAGAATATAAACTTCAATTAATTCTAATCACTTTTGCTTCCTCACTACCGAAGGTAGGGAAGCATTGTATTCGTTATTCGTCGAGAGGTTAACAAAAATTTTGTGCTCAGAATCAAAAATTTTCACTCGCGTTTTACGTTTGAGACATCAAGGATCGAATTTGGTTCGGTGTCTGTCTGCAGTTTAGTCGATGTAACGGGCATATCACCTACTACCGTTTATCCGATTTTCATGAAACTTTCAGGAATTGTGCGGGTTGGTGTCTAGATGGTCCCACATCAATTTTATTAAATTCTAACCAGCACTTCTGCTTACACTTGCACAAACGCATTTTTGTAGATATGCCAATATTTTGGATACTTTCGATTTGGCTCAAAGTTGGATAAAAGGTAGGTATTTGTAAAAAAAATAATGTAGGGTCAATTTTATTGAATTCTGTCCATTACTTTCTCTTATATATGCGCAAACGTGTTTTCCTTATACGTCTATCTCTCTAAAACCGTAAGTTCGATTTGGCTGAAATTTGTCAGGAATTTAGGGATTGGTAAACTTAAAATGAAATAGGCATCAATTTTATCTGCTACTGGAAAAAAAAAAATACTTCCGCTTTTAGATCAGGAAACGTGTTATCGATATGCCTGTAGTTTGAAAACGGCGCATTTGATTTGACCCAAACTTGGAAGAAATTCGGAGAGCAGTATAGAAATTACTTAGTATCAATTTCATTGAATTCTATTTAATAATTAAAATTAATATAAATAATTGTTAACAATATAATGGCTGTGAAATATTGAAGGCACTGGTCATATGGAGTGAGAGTTATAAAATTTTAGATTTTATTAAAAATATTAATTCATACTATATTGTTTGGTCGATTTCAATGGTCGATGTTACTGGCATGACACTTAGTGGCGTTACTTAGATTTCATGTAATTTTCAGTAAATTTAAAGTAATTTTTACTCTGAATTCGTAAACAAAAAAAAAAGTCTTATTTGTGATTGTGTTTATTTCCATTTAAGTTCAACCAGTTCGTTTTAGTCTCGATTTCCTCCTTAAATATTTAAGTTGCATGAACTGCACCCATATTTTTATACTCAAGCTTAATTAGTTTTGTTCTGACTGAAGAAAAGTATTGGTCAACTTTTCAACTTTCATGGTTCAACTTTTATTCTATTTGTGCTAAAGATGGCATTTTGTAGTCTGCAACTGATATAAGTAGTCTGCTACTATGAAAAATAGCAGAGGACAGCCATATATATATATATATATATATATATATATATATATATATATATATAAAGCCATGAAAATATATTTTTTAGATATCATTATTTGTTGTTTATACTACCTTCCAGAGCAAATACCAGAAGAACTATGCCATCATCTACAAAATTACTTACAATGATGATGACGTTCATTTTCGCTATCAGTGTTGTGAAAAAGCCAATCAAGACCACTGGGACTCAATGTCTCCCCGTCATATTCTTCATCAACACTACAGCGTGGTAGTCTAGCTCTTCTGCCTACAAGTATTTAAAATTAAGCAATATTTAAACATTTTATTCTCCTTTAAGCAAAGAATAGTACATCAATAAAAGTATTGAATATAAAATATTCATATTTTCTATATCATAAAATATCACATAAGAATTGAGAGATTAATTTTGTTACAATGGATTTAAATAGAAAAAAAGTAGTAATAACACTACTAACAGCCTAAACTAATAATTCATAGTCTTAAAATCAAAGTAGATATGGTAACTGAAATAAATTCTTTATTGAAACTAGAGGTGATTATAATTTTTATGTTCAAGAAAGAAAATACATTTTCCCTCTTTCACAAATACTTTTTAAATCAGACTATATAATTCTTGAAAGTATATATGAAAAATTCAAACAATTGGAAATATAATATTATAATAATATAAAAAAAATAAGAAGTTTTCAAATAATACATACCAGCAAGTCGTTGGCGTCCCCTTCTTTTTTTGGGACGATGATGAAACCTTCTATCTTCATCAAATATATCACCTCCCTCCGCTCCTTCCAATATTCCAATTCCTCCACATAAACTCATTGCTCCACTCTAAAAAAACAATGAAGTATGGATTATACAATTTATTGGAACGATACTTTTTTTTTTTTATTGAAAAAAGATGCCTATCCACTCACCAAGTTACGATGTAATGAAACTTGACTAAGAGATCTGCTGCTACCAGCATTCATCCAACTGGTGCTCGCCACTAATTCTACAAATATAACATAGATAACATAAAGATAAACTGTCAGAAAATTAAATTAAAAAAAGAAAAGGAAACATTTTTTTTTCTTCTGTTTCCTCTATTCTTTTCAACATAAATGATGCACACATATTTTGATTTAAAAGTAAATCAAATTTTTATTATCAGAAGAAAACTAAAAACTTTCCGTGGTTGGAGTATGTCACCCAGGGTTTCTTCAATGCCATCTTCGACATCATCCTTTTCTGTTTAAATGATGTCACACTTGAGGATATCAATTTTGATCAATTTTAACGTATGTTCTCATAAGGTATGCTTAAAAGTAGAAAATTATATAATTTATGAAGAGACAGAGCCTAATGAGAAATTTTAGGTCCATATGTTCGCTAATACGGTCATTACGGCAAATCAATACGTGTTAACTATTGTAATGACCGAAGCAGCAATCAATTATTTGTTATCATTAGTTCGAATACATATATTTAATTATGATAATATTCAAAACAGAGATTTTTATTACCTACAACAGTTTTGAAGAAATTTCGTGATTAGATGCATTAAGTAATTTCCTTTTAGACTTAGAATAACATTCAGGTCCAATGCTTATTAATCATAAATCTTAATCAGTGGTAAAAATACAACTTTGATGAACTTGAGATTATCCAGATATATGATGTTTACACATAGCAGAAATAAAATAATTGACTACCTAGATAAGTAATATTTATACAAACGTTTTAAGAGTTCTAAAAACTAACCGTCACAATATCAGATCAATCTATTGGAAAATTCCTGAAATTTAGTTATTATGCTCAAATAGTCAATATAAAGGTGGTTGCTATATTCATTTAAGTGTACGTTGCAACAGCTTCATGAATCACCAGACCTGAAATTTTTTGTGTAAAAGCCGATACACATACACATCACCATAAACAATACCCAATGTACTAAACTAATAAGTTAGGAAATTGTTTTAGGCAAAATTTCTGAGAATATAAACATTAAATACACAATTTTGATGAATTAAGTGTTAATCAAAAGGGACATGATGTTCCTGAATAAATAGAGACTGTTAATATTAATAAGCACAAGAAATGGGGTAGCTCCCTGTGCTCCTATTCACCAGCGCTGAAATTCATCAAGCCCAGCAGGGGCAGATAATTACTTATTCTATTTATCAGTCTATGAGTAGCAAGACCTTCCTATAGTCCACACCCAGCCTTAAAAAAGTGAGCAAAGTTCTTAATTAATTAATAACAAACTTTACAATTGAAAATGATCAAGGCCAAATTGTCTCCATGCATTTTTCTGCATAGCAATTTGTAACCATTTATCTAGAAACTGTACTTTCTAACATAGTACTGAACTTAAGACACTTCATGCGTTGTAGAGTTTTTTTTTTCTTGTTTCCATTCAAAGATGATCAGTCTTAGCTTTAGCTTTAAACTTTATCACTGATACAAACTAGTGAAAGATAGGCTAAAATGTGATGAACTGAAAGTATCAGATTCTTTCAGTTCCAGCCAATGATCTTGGGTTAGTCAAATCGTTTATTCCTCAATTCCAGTTATATATATAGATACTGGCTGTTTTCTGTTGCTTGATGTTAAGATCCACATTAAGGAGATCAGCTTTGTGTGCTTCAAATCCCCAAATTTTCTTCCACTGATCATGTCAATAACATTAGATATATAATTCATACTAATGAAAATTTTAATTTACAGTGAAAATCACATACTTTACTGGATACATCACTTTATTGTCTTTAATCAGAAATATTTTTTATTAGCTATATTTTATCTTATATTGACTATTCCTCCTGAAAATAGGCCCATTGTGAAGAGGGTTACAACTTAATCGAGAGAATACAAATTTTTTCACACTGTACTGATAACAGTACAGTTTAAGTAAATATTATGGCTTCGGCTCCGACACAATTGTTTTAGAAAATTTCATTTTAATTATAAAAATATTATTTCAACTTAAGTTGGTTCAGTCATGGTGCACGATTTTTCGGTAAATTATTTAAGCAAAACCGTAAATAAAAATTAAACTTCATAAAATTAAAAAATCACTTCTCTTAGAACTAAAAAACATGTTGCACCATCACACAGAACTTTCACTTAACACTCTACTTTGAACAGAAATAATTTTTTGGCAATGTTGGACTATTATAAAAATTTTTAAAGGCACTTTTAACGGAGATAAAGCTTAAGCATTACATCTAAGAACTCATTAATACCACTAAAATAACACAAACTACATTTATTATACCGGCAGTAGGCAATAAAACTTTGTAACTCTATTTGCTTTTGTACTCGTAAACCACATAACCACAGTTACCGATCTATGTATACCTTGTGAGATTTGAAAGTAAATCTGTATATTTAACCCCTAAATGGTTATGGATTGTACTACTATAAGTTATTAAACTCTTATTTTTCTATTATAAAGTTTACTAAAATGGAGTTCTGAGATTTTCATTGCCTACTATCGATAGTTTAAAAGTTGTCACTCCAATTGTAAGTGGATGATGTTGTGATTTCATAAAAGGGAGAAATCTTCTAATTATTCACTAATTTAATTTTCTAAAATTTAACATGAAGGACTTTCGGAATAAATTGATGATAACTACCTAATTATTTATGTATATCGGATCTAGAGTTATTAAACAACAGTAAATGTATTTAAGATAATAATCATATCCTAGAAATATTTTTTTAATTTCAGTTCTTTCACACAAGTACAATGAAATAGTATTTTAAACAATAGCATTGCCTTGATTTGGTGGATTATAAATAGTTTTTTCAAACTTAAAAAAAAATTTTAAAGTTTACATTTAGTAAGGAAATTTCATTTCATTTCCTTGGAAACATGTGATTTACGTTAAATAATGTTAGTTTTCAGAAATTATTATTTATATTTTTTTTTCGTCACTGACCCTTACCTTCTACAAATTTATTTATTAGATGTTATTTTTTCTAAAATTCCCTGCTTTCCAATGATATTGGAAAGTGTAATTTCTGACTATTATTTCCGGTGATCCATTTTTGACCTGGGTAAGCATTTTTCTTTTTTTCTCCTTTATTCAATAATCAAATTCAAAAGTTATATTTAACTTTTTTTCATAACTCGTAACATGGAAAGATAGTTAATTATTTAAAATTAACCAAAGTAAAGTTATTTTAGAGAAAGAAGTTTTAAAAATAAGACTGCTAAACGACATTAATGAGGATTAGACCTGAATGATATTAAAGATTACTTAATTGTACATTGATACACTAAGTTGAATCAAAATCGTTGAAATTTTGAACAAAAATCGTTGAATCAAAATCGAACCTCCATAAAAAGTTTTATTGAGAAAATTGTAAAAATTTGTAAAATCGATGATTTGAAGTGGTACTTCCGGTTAGCCAATTTTAATGGAAAAAGGTGCTGTAACTTCCCAGGTATATTCCTTACTTAAATATGTATTTTCAGTTTCGTACGACTTTTCGTTTTTTAGCTGGATTGATAAAACATACACACACACAGATCATTTTGCGTGACTTGGTTATTTGAACTCGGGGGATCACTTACCTTTTCTAAGATTACAGCTGCAAAGGCCATCACTGCTTTCAGAACTATTTTTTCTATGAACATCAACTTTGAGATCTAAAAACAAAATCCAGTTTAAAAAGTTTATTTTACAATTAAATCATAGATCAAATTGATCCCAACATACCAATGGTACTAGCTAAATGTTGAGCAGCAATATCATTGCTATCTGTCACTGATGAAGCAGGAGGACTACATTCAGGCGTAGCACTAGTGCCAGCAATACTTAATCTTTTAGTATTTAATACCTGCATTTCAATCCCTTCTTCTTCCCTAGGATAAGATAAAATTGCAATGAAACGACAAAATTTAAGTAATATTAAAAACAATTTAGTAATACCATCAAAATCAAACATTCAAGGTACAAAATGCTATTACTAAAGTTCCCTTAAGTTGGTACATTCTCCCAAACAATCATAAAGCACAATATGATACAATCATAAAGCAGCTAGTCTGACAGAGAAAAAACTAATACAGAATACAGAATGGAAAAAACAAAACAAATATGTATCCTCCAATACAGCCCCAGTAAAATAGTCAAGACCTTAGAATAGAAAATACCACAACAAACTACTCCCAGTCCTTAGTTCTTAATCTTGCAATGTCAGACATTGCTTTAATTAGATATTGTAGCAGGTAAACCATAAACACAAATACCTATAAGTATTTTTAATACTTGATTTTTTTGGAAACAACTGAGCATATTGATATAAAAGAATAGTAATTCTTCAAAACTGTTGCTCCACTTTGATGGGTGAGCAGAAAAAATCATTAAATAAATGTAACTCCGAGAATGATCAAGTATTGACAAGTTCAGAGCACAAGCTCTCTATATTTAGATTTTAATAACTTCTGCAAACTCTAAAATGATTCATTTCATTTAAAATTAGAGCCTTAATTACATTTTTAATTTCTGCTCACTACACTTGTATAAAACTGAGAAAGAAACCTCTGACGGGTCTTATACAGTTAAGGTTGTGGCTTTACCAAGTTTGGGCACCTCCTTTTACTTTTGGAATTCCATCTACTGTGTTAAAAGTCACAAATTTATCACAATCTCAGTCCAAAGTGACAATAAAAGTCATGCTTATTTAAGTTTTATTGTTTTTTTTTTAGGCATAGTTCTTGCAGCCCATACGAAAAATTTATAGTTGCACATTGCTTTGCCTAGAAGATGGCCTATACAACTGAATTAAAACATATGCTCTAAAAAATATAAGAGAAAGTTCCATATTATGGGTTACTTTTTTTCAACAGTTTGTGCTTATCTCTTAATTGTTTTGAGAATACAAAAGTGTTCTTTCACATCAAGTAATATTGGGGAGCCCATCAAAAATTAAAAAAAAAACACTATATATCTCATTTCTAAAGATTATAATTATACCTATTGTGAGAAAAGTAAAATACGTACTTTTCAAAAATAGGATCTTAAGATGCATCCTACATTAGATGCCATGATAATGTGTTATAAAAGAAAGAAAGAAAAATATGTTTGTTATACAAAGACATATGCACACAAATACGTGTTACACCAGTAATTTGAATTTAGAAAAGATTAATAAATTGTCATCTATATTTTTTTTATAACTTTCTATTTTATTTAAATTTTATTATTTTGTTTTATTTAAATTTAATGATTTAAATTAATTTTATAGATTTGTACACCAAGGAAATCTTTCAAGGAGAATACTTCAACAGAGTAGAAACATTTATATATCTCCAATTACGAAATTTGTAGTAAGAAAAACAAAAGTTGCTAAAAACTCAATAGTACTGCAGTCATATTTGATACAAATAATTTTGCATAAAAACATACAAATGTATCGTTTATTTCTTCTACTTTTTTTTTTTCATAGCTCTTTTCCTTTTTGTATATGTAAGTACTATTAGTTACGGAATACTGTTTCTGGGTCAAAGGTAGTATAAGAAGGTGATTTGACGAAGTTCACACTAAGCTGTTCATTGATTTTTTTTTCATTAATTAATTAAATAATTAAGAGTACCCATTTTACAGAGGCTGAGTGAGTCCTGGGTCTATTTACAGGCCACAGGGATGACTTATGGCTGATGAAACGGAATAAATAATTACCGACAACAGCAGGATTCAAACCCAAAACTGGGAGAATAGTGCCTTACTCATTGAGATAATACACTCTCAAATTAAGTTTAATTTAATACATATTTCCCACAAAAAAAGGGAAAATTTCAAAGAACATCTCGTAAACATTTCTATACATCGAATCACTTTCTTATTTGTATTTAAAAATCAATTAAGGTGACGGAATTGGAAATAAGACTTAAACTTAATTTTCTGATACAAATGGTAGAGAATCGGCTTTTTATTTCTGCTTTCAGACATATGGGTTGTTTCAGGATTCTCTAAACAGTATGTCCGATAAAATCATGAAAAATTACTACCTTGTAATAGCAGTTCAGAACAAGAACCTGATCTAAAATTAATATTTAATACAAGAAGTAATATTTCTAATTTCACTGTTTTGAATTTTGGAGAAAATATATAGAAATAAATAATTAAAAAACTTTCATTGAAGTACTAATTGGAAATACTACTAATACTTCAAACTTAATATAAGATAAAATACCACAGTCACTTCAGATGTGATAAGTTCAATAAAACTTGAATCTATCTGACAACAACACTACTGCAAAGTCCAATCCAATCAGTTTAATTAGAAGTTGGACAGAAAATAAGCAAATTATTTTAAATAAAAATTGGGAAATAATGAATAATAATTAAATAAATATATTGCACAAAGAAACAACAAAGTTATGACACCACTGTTTGGTAGCAGAAAGTAAAACTTAAAATACTAAAGAATGACATAAAAATTATGAAGTTCTGGTATTGAATCGGGCTTAAGCCAGATCAACATTCATCAGAACTGAGTTTAACCACTTTCCCTCCTGTAGAACCTACTACAGGTATTCAAACTAATATAATCTACACCAAGTAAACAAAACCATTCATTCAACTTTGAATAAATCACTACCTTCTTCAATAATAATTTCAGAAATAGCTTAAAAATGCATAAGCAATGTAGTATATTATTTTTAATACCTTGGTGGATTAAGCGGAGTACTTGTATGATGAGGTTGATGTTTTCTGAGGTCTTTATCATCAATTTGCTCTTCTACTACACATTCCGGTTTGTCAAACATACGGTGAAGTGAGAAATTAATAAGTTTGATGATTGTGAAAAGAATGGCAACACTTGTGCAATAACCACCCCAATAAATGATAGAAGGTGGTAAATACTGAAAAAATATAAATATGAATGTGATAATGTATCTTGTTTTGGTAATCATGTTGTAAACAAAACAGATACTAAACTTTTACGAATCAGTGAACATCATTAAATCTTAAAAGTGAAATGATCATCACCAAAACAATGATGAATTACTAAAAAAACATTATTGTATCAAACTGTAGAATTACGAGCTATGCAATCTGAAATAAGATTCTCAAAGTTATAATTTATAAAACCAGGTAATGTCCCTGAATTTCAAGTTCAAAGAAAAGGAATGTGATAAACAAGATAAAAAAATAATACCAAAACAAAAGATATACTGTTCTCTTAAAATTGAATCAGTCTTATTTGATTTAAAGGGTTTATACAATTGTTGATACAAAATAATACTCACAAGGTATATGGAAAAAGGCAAGCACAATAGGAATAACCAAAGATAAAGGTGAAATGTATTGCAGAAAATGCTTTGATGTGGGTCATAATACCACCCTCCAGTAAAAGATGCCCATACTCCTTGCCTTAATATTTCTAAAGTCTGTGAACCCATGGTTTTAGGGTTCTCAAGAGCAATTCAAGTCTTTAAATCCACTCATCTTGTTAGGAAACCTAACAATAAGTGTAACAAGACACTATCATGTGTCAACTTCCCTCAAAAGAGAGCACTGCTTCATCATACACTACGAATTCAACTGAACTGAGATTACAGAGATCGTTGGATGAGAAAGCTATCGCAGCTGAGCTCCGAAGTTAGGACACTTGCTGTAACAATGTAGTAACAATTTTGTCAGTAAATGGACTTTTTTTTCATCAATAACTGAAAGTTATAGTATACAATAAAATAACTAAAGAAAACGTAAATTTTATAATAGACATAATTTTATTCAAACATTTGTGTTGGAAGTAATGAGTGATAATTGTTTATTGCACTTTTTTAAAACATCATGGGTTTATATTTGAGAAATCTAAAGAACCTAAATCTTCAAACAATTTTAAAAGGATTGCCTTTAAAAAAGAAACTTCTCTATTGACCAGTCCAAGTTATCTGCTAAATGGACAACTATCTGCTACTCCGTACAACTATGGCTCACAAATTCTTACGAGATACATGGTAGGCTTTTAGATCAAATTCCATAGTTTTACGATTTTGCTCCAAGAATGATTACGAATTCGCCTCAAGTAGGACGTTGAGTATTCTGTCTAGCAAACAGTTCAGAGCAGGAACTATCTTCTATAGCCAAAGAATCTCCTCTGTGCTATCTTGGAATAGGAAAACTTATCTGCATACACAAAGTCGAGAAAACTGTAGCGGCCTGGCATAAGCCAACTGTTGAAAGAATGGATAGTGGTGAAAATGAGTTAATTTACTTTATTTATCACTCTACTCTGAGTATGAGGCAAGAAGCAATAGCGATGTTATGCATGTTTGTTTATCAGTACGCTGCTGCAATCACTTCACAATTTTAGTTATTAGAAGCTATGCAAACAACATAATCATATTCTTAAATTAGGCTACCGTCCATTTCAATCCTTTCTTTTTTTCCGGTTGTCTTCCTGAAGAACAGTACAATCTTTCCTCCAGAAAGAGAAATAAGTTTGGCCGACAATTTTCGACCACGCGGTTAGATACGAAGTTCTTGAAGCACACTTCTTTCTCCTTTATCATTAGTTGTGGGCTCTTTATATAGTCCTGTTTCTCTCTTCAGTTTGGCTTGCATACTTGGTTACGATTATGTACATATAGATAGCGTACTCGATCAATTGTAATCCGCAACTAGAGAAATGGGGATAGATGTATCCGAGAAGCTCCAAGCCTTAAGTGCAGCCGGGAGACTCATGTCTTCACAAAACTCGAACCGATGGTGAGCAAATATTATCTCAGAATAGTCCTTTTTCAACCAAAGTCGGTTTCATTTGCCAAAAGTGTACTCACAAAGAATCGACCCACTTCCATCTGCAAGATTTTCCATTGATCCTCATCCAAAACCCTCAGCCTCTCTTCATTATCTGGTGCCTTGCGGCATTAAAAAAAATATTAAAGTGTACGACAGATGTACATATTTTTCCAGTCCATTATTCAGTATTTCTTGGTATAGTTTATAAATAGGACAATTACGAGAGATTGGGAAGCTGACTGCCTTTCCAATCAAATGGTGATACCTTCTTAATCCTTTCTAATAACAGCAAGACTCCTCACTGGAACCAAATCAGTTAAAACATCCACCTGATAAACTGAGGCTAATGAATGATTGTTTGTTTCAAAATTTTAAGATTTAAAAATGTTTGCAAGATTTTCGCCTTCTCAAATAAGTTAAGTTTTCTTTAAGAAAAGCATCTGTGTAAGAAGGTAAATTGGCGTTTTCACTCAAACATAACTTTTGTACTTCAAGAAACAAGAAGCTTATCTCAAACTTATACTTAAGGGTTTTATCAAGAGGTGGGAAGCAATATTGAAAGATAAGGAGAATCCTTTTTCCTACTCCGACTATTATTGTGTGACTTACTATTTAATATCACACCTCAAAACCTGGTCCAGTTCTTTAGTACTTATAATATACAATTCTAACATTTACTTGTCCTACCTCTTTCCTCGTCGTAATTCCTTACGGGATATCACTAACATAATTCGAAAAACACATCAAATATCTCCTCCCCTCCGACTAGAACAGCTCCGAGGCAGCTTCTGATGAAGATAAAGCCGACAAATTCAACTTCCCCCCACTCGGAATCTCACACCGCCTAATCTTGATGCGAAGATTAACTATATGGGTCAGAAACTGCAGCCACTTGGACACCAGTGTACTTCCCTCGATACGACTTTTTTCCTCTCCCCTTTCTCGCCTTATACTGGGGTTTCCCGGGACAGATGGTGATGGCGGTGGATTAACACTACAGCTGGCTTTTGCTCGAGAACACAGTCATTGGACTATGGACGAATGGAGTGCTGTAATTTTTACAGATGAGTCAAGATTCGTTCTTCGATCTCCAGACGGGCGTGAAAGGGTGTGGAGAAGAAGAAACGAAAGATATGCAGCCTGTAATTTTTCCCAGAGCCAACCTTTCCAACGTGGTTCCTTAATGGTGTGGACTGGGATTTCAATGGAGCGCCGCACAGAATTGGTTGTTGTTCGCGGAGGGTCTTTGACGGCCATTCGCTATGTAGATGAGATTTGGAAACATGTGTTGCCTATCCTCAACGAAATCGGCGATCGTTCTATTCTAATGCACGGTAATGCACGCCCATATCGCCCGCATAGTGCAGACGTTCCTTCTACAGAAAAATATTGAGGTTTTAGCCTGGCCAGCACGTTCTCCAGATTTGAACCCCATTGAGCATTTATGGGATAACCTTGTAAGACGAATAAGAGCGCGTGCAACACTTCCTGATACACTGCAGGACCTTGAAAGGGCTCTTCGGGAGGAATGGGCTATCCTCCAGCAAAGGGACATTTCCCGACTGGTGGAAAGTATGCCGAGGCGTCTTCAAGAAGTAGTGAAGGCAAGAGGAGGAAACACGCGCTACTAAACGATGATGTAATTAATTTCTTTTAGAATAATAATGGTTCGTTTTGGAATCTTTGAAACATTGGAATCTAGAATCATTTCATTGAATTAAGGATTAAGGGTTATTGTCCTCTATATTAACATTCCTAATTGAAAACAAACAAAAATATTACCTATTTAATTATTAAAAACAATAGACCAATCCAAAGCAGAAATATTTTTAGATGAAAACATGAAAAAATCAAGTGGGTGGAATTTTTTGCCTGTCAGTGTATATATATATAATTTTACTAGTTAATCTCAAACGGATCAAAAGTTAGATCAATTATAACTTTATAGAGGAAGGAGATGGTCCGGGGTGGCGGTCATAAATAGACTAAAATATTGGCAAAACGATTTATTAAAAGGCGTTTCGACCTGACTTACGTGAAACTCCTTGCTGAACACATCCCCTATTGCGTGACGTGAGCTGCGAAGGCTTGTGCTTCTGTTGCAGTTTGTTCCTACCTAGTAAAAAACATTAGGTAATTTTTTTTTCCACTTTAGCGATAGTTGAGGACTAATATCTCGGAAAATAAATGAGATAGCGAAAAAAGGTATATAATCAATTATATTGAAAATTTTATCAGCTTTAATTTTGTACAGAACGTTTTTGTCGATGTGATGGATAATTTTCCTGATATAAACGAAAACGAGAAGACCAGCAATAAACACCAGGCAAAATGTTTTTGTTTTTTTCAAAATTAGCCATAGATGAGGAGGGTTATTTCGGAAACTAAGCGAAATAAAGTATTTAATAAGTTTAATAAATATTTAATAAAGTATATTGTCAACCATATTGCAAAATTTATACGCTTTCATTTTGTATAGAACATTTTTGTCGATATGATGGCTAGTTTTCGTGATATAAACGAAAACGCGAAAAACAGCAATAAATACGAGGCAAAGTGTTTTTTTTTTTACTTTCCTACCTATACTAGGTAAGGAAAGTATTGCAATCGGGCCAAATTTCCGACATGCGGTTTTCGACGGATCTCTACGTTTCAGAGCCCCCTGAGTCCGAAAAAAACATTTTTCTTTTTTTTCAAAATTAGCCATATTTGACGACGGATATATCGAAAACTAAGTGAAACAACGAAAAAAAGTATATTGTCAATCGTATTGCAAATTTTATACGCTTTCATTTTGTATAGAACGTTTTTGTCGATGTGATGGATAGTTTTCCTGATATCCTCCCCCCACATGTGGCTCACCAGTTGGAAGTGGGGACTTTTACTATGTTTACCTCCTTACTAATCCAAACAATGTTCCAAAGTCCAAAATTTTGTCCACGCCATTTTCTTCTATGAACATTCATTGACAGGACTAAAAAGCACGCATGATGAAGTTAAGCGCGTCGCACAGTGGAACGAGTAAGGTAAAACTCGCAACATTGCCTAAATCTATTTGTTTTTTTTTTAAATTGAACAATTCAGTAAAAACAGTGAAAATCTATATGTTGCCAACTAAATCTATTCTCATGAATTCCAGAACGTATCAATGAAACAGTTCATCTAGTTTTTAAGATTCTAAAAAAAAAATAAAAAAATAAAATTGATTTAGTCGATGTCGCGAGACTTGCCTTAGCCGTCCTTCTGCGTAACGTGAGCTGCGAAGGCTTGTGCTTCTGTTGCAGTTTCTTCCTACCTAGTAAAAAACATTAGGTAATTTTTTTTTCCACTTTAGCGATAGTTGAGGACTAATATCTCGGAAAATAAGTGAGATAACGAAAAAAGGTATATAATCAATCATATTGAAAATTTTATCAGCTTTAATTTTGTACGGAACATTTTTGTCGATATGATAGTTAGTTTTCCTGATATAAACGAAAACGCGAAAAACAGCAATAAATACGAGGCAAAGTGTTTTTTTTTTAACTTTCCTACCTATACTAGGTAAGGAAAGTATTGCAATCGGGTCAAATTTCCGACATGCGGTTTTCGACGGATCTCTACGTTTCAAAGCCCCCTGAGTCCGAAAAACACATTTTTCTTTTTTTTCAAAATTAGCCATATTTGACGACGGATATATCGAAAACTAAGTGAAACAACGAAAAAAAGTATATTGTCAATCGTATTGCAAATTTTATACGCTTTCATTTTGTATAGAACGTTTTTGTCGATGTGATGGATAGTTTTCCTGATATCCTCCCCCCACATGTGGCCTTGTACATCACCAGTTGGAAGTGGGGACTTTTACTACAGTGAAAATCTATATGTTGCCAACTAAATCTATTCTCATGAATTCCAGAACGTATCAATGAAACAGTTCATCTAGTTTTTGAGATTCTAAAAAAAATAAAATTGATTTAGCCGATGTCGCGAGACTTGCTTTAGCCGTCCTTCTGCGCGGCGTGAGCTGCGAAGGCTTGTGCTCCTGTCGCAGTTTGTTCTTACTGACTCTCGCAGCTGAAATATATGATGAATGAAAATTAATTAATAAAAAATAAATAAACTTTATTTATTCTTACGAAAAACCTTTTATTCGAACACAAGAAAATACGTGTTTTCTCCCGTACCCAGTTTTTATTCAGTTCCAATAGATATGGTTGCAGTGTAAACTTCAGAAACAATAGTCTACTTGTAAAAGCCTTGTAATTCATAAAACTAGTCACGATAATAATTTATATAATTCTCATTAGAAAGTCTTTTTCTTTTCTTAAAATTGCTGCTATTGGGAACTTTTCGTGAAGATAGATACTAATTATTCGGTCTCCGATATGATCGGAATTTAATCGTTTTTTCTCTAAGACTACTCATTTCCAAGCTGCATAGCTTATGATAAACTATCAGTTTTTGACAAATTTGGTAAAAATTTGGCGTTCATTGACCGTGGTTATCGACCATATCACTTTATCAAATTATTAAGTTTAGGTACTAGTAACGCACGATTTGAAGTTCTTTAATTTCTTAAAGAATACGTTTTTCGCTTCAATACTCTGTTTAGTAGTAATAGATGAAAACAAAAAAAGATCCGATTATTCTGGCTTTTTTGGCTGTAAAAAGATTTTCCTCAGTGATCCGTGATAGCAATTTTGTTTTTTGCAGGTCAAAACCCATATACAGGGTGTCCCGTAAGTATTTAAAGCAGTGATAGCAGAACTCAAAAGCTACAAAAAATTATATATAAACAATGGTTCGATTTTCAGCAGGAAATTAAAGTTTTGTTATTTTTAAGTGTCACGTTGTTTGCTGAATAGGAAGTGATAACTAAAAACTTATTTAATTTAAGTAATTAATGATTGCTTCACTGTAAACTAGAACAAATTTACTTTAAAATAAAAATAGAGCCTACTATGGTTAAAACCATTCAAAAAGGACTTTTTTCCAGCTAAACTCACCCAAGGAGTGGAGGGAGATGGGTAGGGGTGGAGGAAACACCTGATACAGAGATGGGCCCTTCCCCCTGACGACTAGCAGATCCAGGATTTAATTTTGGGGGGGCTTCAGCCCGAAAGATTTTTTTTCATTAAAAAAAAGAAAGAAATTACCCACCTATATAAAATGGTGTTAAAGTGGTTCTTGAAGCCCTATTAAATGTAATTAAACGAACAAGAATACTTTAAGAGATAGTTTTTAATTTTTTTTTTCTGTAAAACATGGTTATATTTGATCATTTTGGGGAGGGAATTTTAGCCCGAAAGCCCTCCCCGTATATCCGCCTATGCCCCTGAGAAAATTCCGGAATCCACCATTGATGCGGAGAGCTTTAAAGTTGAAGCTCCTCCAAAACGGAAAATTTAATTTTTTTCATTGGTCTATATTTGTAACTTTAACCTAAGGTAAATATTTAAACCAATCACTATACGTTTTATTTTATGCATATAAGTACTGTATAATAACTAGATGTAATCAAGTATTTTGAAAAAAAATATTAATAAATTATGCCTAAAATTATTATTGTTTGTGTAATTACATTTTTATTATCACTTACCTATTTATGTAATATATAGTAAAGGAGAGTATTGGGCTCGCGAAAATTTTCGAATCTGTTTTCAACGGAAATACATGTTCAGGGGTTCTCTGAGTCGAAATAACCAAATCTCATAAAATGGTCAATGTGTATGTGAACAGCGTAGCGCAAAAACTAAAAGTTGTACACCTAAATAGCGTATTTAAGGTTTGTATATGGTTACGATGTGACAGCAACTTTTTCGTTAAAATAGGCTAACCGGAAGTGCCACTTTATAATATCATAGGCGATACACATTTTTATTATTTTCTCGAAAACGGCTCAAACGATTTTGATTAAACTCGGTGTATCGGTGTATTATTAGGTTGTTTAATGTCAGCTAGGTCTTATCCACTTGATGTGACTTTACAGTGCCTAATGTTCATATATGTCTTCCTCTAAACTACCTTTAATTTGGTTTATTTTTAAAAAATAACTTTCTTAATGAACGTAACTATAAAAAAATGGCTAAATATAACTTTTGAAAGAATTTGATAATTGAAAAAACACGAAAAAAAGAACCATGCTTCTCAAGGTCGAAAATGAATCTCGGGAAATAATGATCAGAAGGAATTACGGGCGGATCTACGGGGGGGGAGGGCTTTCGGGCTGAAGCCCCCCCCCCAAAATGGTAAAACATAACCACGTTTTGTGGGGAAAAAAATTAAAAAATACCTCTTAAAGTATTATTGTTGGTTTAATTACATTTAAAAGGACTTAAGGAATCACTTAAACACCATTTCATATAGGTAGTTAGTTTCTTTCTGTTTTTCCAAAGTAAATATCGTTATTTTTATGAAAAAAAAAGCTTCCGGGCTGAAGCCCCCTCCAAAATTAAATCCTGGATCCGCTAGTGGAAGGAATACATATAATATATTGTTGGAAAGCGGAAAGTTTTAGAAATAATAATACCAAATAAACAAAGTTGTAGAAGGTAATGGAGAGTGATGAATAAATAAATAAATAATAATTTCTGAAAACTAACGTCATTTGACATAAATCACATGTTTCCAAGGAAATTAAATGGAATTTTCTTCCTAAATGTAAACATTAAATTTTTTTTTTAGTTCGATAAAGAAGTATTTAAAATCCACTGAATCAAGGCTATGACATTGTTAAAAACACTATTTCATTGTATTTGAGTGTATACAACAAAAAAGGTTTCCAGCTAAAGTTCCCAAAATAAAATCCTGGATCTGCTACAGCCAAACACTTATAATACTGTCTAAAATATAATTGTGAATTAAGCAGAATGTATAATTTATTATTGATCATAGAATTTTAACCTTTGGTATTTAAATAAAATAAAGTCAATTCAGAAGAACTTGAATTTTAATGATACATTGTTTTAACAATTAAAGCACACCACAAATTTAATACCATACACATAATTATGCTATGGAAAACAAGATGGACGGAATAGTGAAAAAATGAAATATCTAAAATGACAAACCTCTTTATTATTAACAAATTAAATAAATAATATAAAACTAAAGTACCTATATGAGGCAGTTTACTCATTTCCTTAAGTCTAACAGTTCAATTCTGAGATCAGAGCCCATGACTCACAGCCATTTTATAAAAACATAGCATAGGATAAAACAGCACTAATATTTTAGGCAGAACTTGAAATGGAAAAAAAAAACAATTATTTTTTAAAAAGTTTCTGTACTAATGGAACTTTTATTGTTGATAGTTTTTTAGTTATTTTGGAACTACAACTTTTTTCGATGTGACTTTTCCAGTAAAGCACTTTTAAAGAACTTTTGTTCAAAAGTTCAGTCGATTTCCCAAAAAAGTCTTTCTAAAAATAATTTTATATTCATAGCTACTCAAACAAATGACACATTAGAATCATGTGTAATTCATTTAAGACAAATTAATACTTTAATAGAAACCCAATTACTGTTTATTTCTAAGTTAATAGAACTTTTTTAAAGAACTTAAATAAATAAAAGTTAAACTTTTATTATCAATCTAGAACTTTCACATTAGAACTAGAAGTTTCAAAGGAACTTTTGAAATGGAACTTGTTAAAAAGCTTCAACCCCTGGTTTTAGACCAATATTGAATTTATAATACACTGTATTGCTACTTACATACAGTGCATAACTGTCTTAAGTCATTAAATTCCTTACTCCATTCATTCATTCTGCTCCAAATTAGTAGATGAGCAAATTTTCAATTTGGTGATTATTTAATATAATTGGAAATCATTTTTTGAGAATTTAACTTTTTTATGGTCTTAAACAACATACCTAGGTTAATCTGAAATGGCAAATATCCTTATGTTAACTAATTCAAATCCAGGAACCTAATTACAATTTTATTCTCAGAAGCTTTTAAAAATTGACATCCATACCTAATTACAATTTTATTCTCAGAAGCTTTTAAAAATTGACATCCATAACTATAATGTAAAGCAAAAGAGTAGTCATAACCCAATCAAAGTTCTTGGTATATGAGAGAACCAGTGATGGGTGATATGATCATGAACTGAATGAAATACTGAGGATATGAAAGATGATTTAGTATATATATAACCACCAATCTCTCTCTTCCCGCCCCTGCCATTATGCTAAGCAGAAAAACCTAAAAGAAAAAAAGAGAGAATTCACTCACAACATGAGTTGATTATTCGTGAAAAAAATTATCAGATTAAAACTCTGTGGTGACAATACTAGCCATCATGATAAGTTAAAATTTATATTCATCTGTCTATATCACACCATTATATGCATCTTTGCCATTGAGCTTCTTGCGATCCACTATAAGAACAATTATTAATGTAAAATTTGTGATGCTACATACCATAAATAACCAAAATAGACTTATCATTGGTCAAAAAAATAAAAACAAAACAGGGTGATTCCTAAATCCAATCAAAAATGGAAAAAAAATTATGACTTCTATAATTATTTACATCATATCAATCCAATTAAAATAATGATTTGCAGTATACCACTTTAAGTGAAGTCTCGGGCCAACCAAAAAATAAAAAAATTATGATATTCCAATTAATGTGGACGTCTTCTTTAAGGATGAAAGTCCTTTGTTATTATTTTATTTAGAGAGTACGATGTTATTGAACCCATTAAGTAAAATATAATATTTTTTTACAATAAGGGTTGCAACATAAATAAACAATGAGTTATCATTTTCTATACGTTTCAGCAGCCATTCCGCTTCATAAAACTAATTGCTATTTTTATATGCAGATCAAAATAATATAAAGATACAAACCAATTAATAAATTTAAACAATATACACACACATGGGAATGTATTATTATCATGAAAGTTTAAAGTAGGTATTTATTATTAAAATAAAATAGTGCCATGCAAAATATGTACATACAAATTAATGGATGCTTACAAAATAACCTAATATTACTAATCAGAAAATCTTGTGGTAAGTAATGAATGGATGTGCTCATAAACCACCAGCATAATTGCACCTCCTGGTCCAAGTCTCATCACTTTAGGTAGCAAACCTTTAAACAGGGCTCTCCACCTAAGAAGTATTTACGTTAAAATGTGAATGTAACACTTAATGCACAATGAAATACACAAAATAACATTCACATACCCTTCTTCAAGATAGACTGTTTTTAAGGTGCCAAATGTTGTTTTGTACTTGATTACTCCATTCACAGGTTGTGGACCTTGAATTCTACTTTTTGCCACATCAAATGGAATATTAAAGCAGGATCCAAGTACGCCAGAGGTAAATCCAAGACTTAGTTTATACAGCAAATCATAAGTAGGATTTTGCTAAAGAAATAAAGAAAATATATATATTTTGAAGATTTAATGACTTGTTATTATATTAATAAAGTTTGATATCAGGAGATCTGTAACCAATGTTCTACGAAACAAAATAGAAGAAATAAAATCTGTTAAACCAAACAGTAGAACAAAACGGGGTTATCTTTTAGGGATTTTATAACAAAGTACATCTTTTTTTCTTGTACCAATATTCTATGAAATGAACTAATCGAAAAAAAAAAGTAAAAAGAATGAAGAATGATGACAAGAAATGACTGAAGGGTATCTCCATTTCATTAAGAAGATTTTTATCTGTCTTCTAGTATTTCTCTGAGATTGTGTCAATCAGATTTAGCTCTAGATCCTCATTCATTGGACTAATTACATTATGCACAGATGGTCAGGAAGGGGTTGGTTTGATAGCAATTACACAACTTCATGAAGTGTAGTAGAAGACTATGAAGAAACTTTCAATCCCACTAAGTATCAGAGTGAGTGAGTGGAAACTTTGATTTTTCATTCAGGAATACTAGATAAAGAGAGGACAGATAGGTAGGCAAAAAGCTGAATTCAATAAAGCTTAACACCAATTTCTTTTTGAATACCATAAAATTTGAAAAATTAAAATATTTTAACTTTCAGGGCTGGTATCCAATACTTAAATTTTTAACATAAACTAAATATAGAATTTCAAGGATACATCAACCGTGCTTTTTCATTAAGTATAGCTGTGTATAATAAATGTCTGGTGGTGATCTATACATCAGACAAGATCCTATCAGCTACATATGAAATTAATTTTATTTATCAATAAAAAATAATTTATATTAAATCAATTAATTTTAATGAATAATTATAAAAGCCAAAATAAAAAGAGTAAGAGAACTTCTTCTCAAGAAGTACTTTACTTTTAGAAATAATATTGCAGGTTCCTAGAATTTAATTTTGAGGAGAAAGTGTTTTATGGCCTAGGATCTGTATTCACTCTCGAAACAAGTGAATAGCTTTTTCACAAGATTTAGAGATATTCTTTTTAAAGAAACAGGATGTTCAATCAAATATTAATTAAAACAAAGTAATAGAAATGTTATTTCATTAATACATTTTTGAACAGGTTTTGATATGCTTAGTGTTTCATAAATGGACATGGCAAAAACATTTTATTTAGATATTTTATGCCAGACCAAAAGTTTGGCCTTTATAATATTATGGGTCAAATAAACATCTAAAAAAGTATAGTAAATGTATTTTGAATTCAAATCAGAATGTAAAGGAACACAAAATCTTACAGTTGAGTGAGGTAACTTTCCTTTCAGGGAATGGTATAAGCCAAAGTAAATTCCATTGAATACACCATTTCTTATGGCAGTTGCTGATATTCCCCTATATAGCCCATGACCTCCAAAACCCTGAATAAATATAAGATGCCATCATGTTAAAACAAAATAATGTACAAGCTTAAAGAAAGAAAAGAAAAAAAATAGGACTACCTTACATTATTTCTTACTATTCTACTAGCAATAACCCATGTGCTTGGTACATCTTTCACATGACGTTTGTCAGACTGTATTGCTATCTTTACTACTTCAAAAGGATTTACAAAAAAAGCCTCAGTGATTCCAGCAAATATGCCTGACAGTGAAAAAGTCTGGCAAATTTACAAAGATTGTATTAGAAAATTTTTAATAATAAAAAGCATGTAGTCACTTTATTTTTAAATACCAGTGGAGTTGCTGTTGGAGATCCAAACATGAAAAATCGTTTGTATTGCTCAAAAGAAACAAACTATAACAAAAAATTATTTGTTAGGGTATAATCACTTTTAAATAATATTTGAGTTGTTACATAAAACTTACTTTCACAGCTCGTTTAGGAGTCTCAGCTAATATAGGAGGTACAATACCTTTCCAAAAAGCAAAAACGCCTTCATGTCTTTGCATTTTTGTGAAGCAGTCAATAATACCACTGTAATGATGAGGGCTATTGATTTGAACACGAGCTTGAAGTTGCAATCTTGTTTTAACAACATCCAAAGGATGCATAATGCAAACTTCAACAAAACCTAACAATTTTTTAAGTTAGTAAACTAGTTATATTTCGAAATCTTAATTTTACACTGAATAATAATTACCTGCAGAACCACCAGACCCAACTTGAATGGCTGCATCTTTTAAAAACTGTTTATAATCTCCCATTATAACCTCTAAAATCTTAAGAGTGACCTAAGCATTGAATGAAATCTGAATACAAACTGATCTCTCAGGCCTGACACATGCATCACCCTAAAAATAGAGTTCACAAATGGCTTTTTTATATAAGTTGGTTGATACCTTATCAGTCTAAATATTGACTTAACTGCCATTAATTACAGTTCATGTAATAAAATATTTTTATGAGACAATTGATAAATCATTAAAAACTGCTAACAGAACCAGTCAAGTAAAAATAAGGTCTTTCAATAATTGGCCAACATAACCTAACAAACAAAATAATTGATTTTCAAAACAGTTGAATTACTAAGATATTATAAGATGCAGCATAAACATTTAAGAATTAACAAATTGTTATCTAGTTTAATCTGATTTCTCATAAAGAGTTCCTAAAATAAAATTTTAACTCCACCTAATTTAGTTAAAACCAAAAGATAACCTATCTTAACCTTGAGAATACTCATATTCAGCAAAAAGAAAAACAAAAGAATAATTATTTGAATTTTACTAAAAAGTTGATTTATATTCAAAACTGCATATCATCAGCAGAATAATTTATATTTAAATCAGCTCCAATTAATCTCTTGTTACTGAAAAGTTAATGAATCATAACTGAATCCTCACTTGAATAAACATTTTAGGAATTCAAATACAGATTGAGAAAGCAAGAATAAGGATGTAAGGAAGAATAATAAAACCTGTTTAATACAATTATATATTAAATATTACAGTACATAACAAATATAAACAATCATTTGAAGATTTTTCCTTGATTGAATTTGCGACCATCTTTGTCCGCACCTTCCCAGGCGAGATAAGCATTAATTTTCTTCTTGTGTTCTTCGTTTTTCGGATCAAGTTTAACCCAATCATATGATTCAAAGTCAACTTGCCAGTCTGGACTTAGCTGAAAAAGCAAATTACATTATAATATTTTATATATGGTTTAATAAATAATGAATTATTATATTATATCCTACCAAAAATGCTAATTCATGTCCTCTCCAAACCCAAACACCAGATATAGAGCTATCCTGATCCTTTCCAAATAAGGCAACTGAACCAAAGGCATGCTTTCTCATTTTATCCAACCTTTGGAACATACCTGGAAATTAAGATTATTACATTATTTGAATATTTCCTCACCATATAGTATTTAATTTAAAATATAGTATCTATATACCTGTAATGAGGTTACAACTCATGAAATCTTTCTTGAGTTCATCGCGATATTTATATTCTCCATGCCAAATAGAATAATTAGCTTCATCAAACTTTTCCCAAAAGAAAGGAATGGATACCTCAACTTCTTCATTGGAATAACACCTTTTAAATTCATCCATGTTGAAAGTTCTGGAAAAATAAAACGATAATATTCAAATTAATAATTTAGAAATCAATTTGGTAAAAACTCTTAAACATTTAAGTTAACAAATCAGTTGATCTGTTCTCCAGTTTACAATTTATTGCGATCAAGTTCCAAAATTTAGTTTTACAATTATTTTTCAAAGGAAAAATAAATAAATAAAATACGAGAGATGTAAGGGCAGAACTACTGGGCATGGTGAATGCGTACTAAAATGTTTTAAGCAGAATACATTAAAGTATATTAGCCGAGTTTAATCAATTTATAAAGACAATTTGCATTTATATATCCTAGATAAAGTTAAAAAAATTGTTTAAGGTTCTATTAATAGTCAATGAAGTGAAGCTTCATAAAAAACTTTTAAAAATCTACTTAATGGTGCTGACTCAAAACAATCAGCAGTATATTTGTACTTAAGGTTGAGGGAAGCAATCTATGAGGTGTTTCGTTCCTTTAAAAACATAAAATCAACTGATGATTGTTGACGGTCTGAAAGCTGAAACATCTTAAAAATTAACAAAATTTGAACGGTGAAGTTGGTTTTCCACTCTCAGGAAAATCTAGCAAAATGTTTATTATGCATGGGATGAGCTAAAATGACTTCTATATTTATTTTATTTTCACCTTGACTGATCACTGCTTAGTTACCTTTGAATCATTTCAGCATTAATTTTATAAGTTTTGCTTATATAGATTAAGGAGTTATTGTCATAATTTTTTTTCTATCTATTATTATTATCATTAAATTCCTCAGTAATTCAATCAGCAATCAAACTCATAGGATTACTGAAGTCACCTTATGAAGAAAACATTGATGAACCGCAAATTTGGATAAAAAAAATCATAATATGCCCAAAAATATCATGTAATTTAGAAAATTTCTTTCATTGGTAATTTTATTAAAAAATGAGTTAATGGTGTTTCAAACTATAACTGAACATAATCTAGCAATTTTAGAAAGTTACACTTTACAGCTACAAAAAGTGCATTACCCTTTAGGAAGAGCATCAAAAGGATCTTTAGATTTTGGCTCAGATGCTAATGCAAGTTCTGCCTCATCCATTTCTTCAGCAGGTTCGGCAGCTTTTTCAGCTTTCTTTTGTTCATTTTGTGACTGCCCCTCTTTTTCCTTCTTCTTATCTTTTTTACCTGTATAATAAAAAATACTAAATACTGTAATATACCATAAACAGAACCAATAATAACCTCATTAACTAGAAAGTATATTGTAGTTATATGAAGTATATAAAATAAAGTAAAAAATTTTCTTTCTTTAAAAATAAAACAGGAAACTTTGCCAAACTAATTACAAGCTATGATAATCTTTCATTTCAACATTAATAAAGTTGAAGAAAAAATAATTCTATAAAATAAGTATTATTTAAACTTATTGGGGATATATGTTTTTAATTTAAATATTCAGTGATTTAATTAGAATTTATCCAATAGCTGATTTAATAAATTTATGAGGATTTTTTTCTTCTTCAAGTTTTTAATAAAAAGTGGAAATTTTTTCTCGACTCTTAAAAATTTTAAACCAGGGCTGGAAGAAGCTTAAATAGTGCTGGCCGCTCCTTCTTTTATCTCCTAAAATTCAACCTTTTATAACAATATTATAGGTAATATATTTCAAGATAAACAACGCCACTATCGCTTACTATCTAATTTCATTGACTGAATTAAGCAAACCAACTAAAAAGCAGAAACATACATATTTTTTTTATAACTCAAACCCAATGAATGTATACGTATTGTAAGATAGATAATCATTAATAGGGTATCCGTTATAATATGCTTCTCCAAGACCACATTTATACATAACATCTCGAAACTAGATAAATACATCTGAAATCCTTAAATGGATACAACCAGTTTCCAATTCAATACTTCACAACAAAGTATTACCATTATCACTGGTGAATAATCCACTTTTTTTTTTTTTAACACTAACAAATGATTATATTAGCGTAGATCAGCTTTAAAACCCGTCACATCCAGGTCATATTGATTATATTATATTATAAATAATTGAGTAGATTTATTGAATTTTTTTTCATTAACCTAGTCAAATTAGACATGTTACCTTGCAAAAGGTCGGGTAATTAAAATATCTTTTTTGTATTGTTTGGCATGTAGTGAATATAAAAAATCTAAGTTTCTGGCCCTTTAAAACCTAGTGGATTCACTGCAGTGCTCCAAAAACCATTGAAATTTGGAACTCTTTTTGGTAATTATAGAATAATAAAATATGAAAACATATTTCAAAATAATTGGCCTTAGCAATAAAAAACCACTAGTATATTCTATTTTTTTTTTCAAGTTGTTCAAACTAATGTAAATCAAGCATGGTTTGTAATAAAACTGCCAATATAACAAAAAATTCTCCGAAATAAAACATCTAAAGGACACAATTTTCTTACTAAAACACTGATTACTTTTTAAAATATTTGAAGCAGAGATTTAGAAAATACATTTAATCGGCAGGAAAGTGGTACTGGCAAAGAGTACTCTGCCACATCATTCAGTACTCATTAATAGACGTAATAATATAATATTGTTTGAAGTACATTATTTTGATTGTATTAACAAACAAAAATTAATACAATAATTTAATGGCCCAAAACATTTTTTTCTGCTCTCTTCATATATTCTTGTATAGCACTATAACTATGACATTTACAAGTACTGAATGATGTGGCACTAAAAGTAACAAGAAAAACAGTAATATTGGTGTTGGTGTGGGTTATTGGTGACCAATTTCATTAAAATAAGTGGAAAACAGGAAAAATCAAATTGAAAGAATTTTTTTGAATTTTAAAACATAAATTTTTTATAGCGATTTATATTTAAGTTTAGAGAAATATATTTCCTATTAAAGCTATATTAAATTGTGTCTGCTTTAATATTTAATTTAAAAATTTGATGAGCTAAGTCACCTAAAAAATAGATAATTAGTTAAAAAGAAAAAATTAAGACATGTTTTTGCGAATTTTCAACACTTTACCCATTTTGAAAGCTCCTTAATTTGTTTCCTGTTGGGTTTAGAAAATAATTTGCATAATTTTAAGCTGTTTAATATTAAATATAACCATTTTTTATTTATTTCTATTGAAAAAGCAGATATTAAGCATAAACAAAAAAAATGTCAAAATTTCAATGGATTTTGGAGAACTGCCGGGAACCCACAAGGCTTCCAAAAGCGGAATATTGGATTTTTTATATTCACCATACCTAACAAAGTAAAAAAGAAATTTGAATTACCCAACATTTTGCAAGGTAGACCTCTTTTTTTGTTCTAATTTGACTGGGCTTAATAGACATCTTAGGAAATCAAAATAAATATAATTGTTACGTTTCTGACCAACAATTATCATGATCCCATTGTAACAGTAGGAATTAAATCAAAATGATGCACTATTGCAATAAAAACTAAATATATCTACAAGATCTTCTGTATCATATCAACATTATATAATATATTTATAAAGTCTTATATGTAATGATACAAATATCACTGAATGTGAACATGATAGTTTATACTTGGCTTCTTAAGGGGTACTGTCAAGTGTAATACCAGTCACCATCTTGAATTTGTGATTTAGAACTAGTACCAAAAAAGAAACGAATGGGTACAGTATTTGCTCATGGTGCTCCATAAAATATTGTATAAGGTCATCCAAAAAAAAACAAGAAACATAGCCAGTGTACTAGGTCTCATTTGTCATTTAAACCCAGTAGCTGGGCTTGAACAGTTATATTCACAATGTTTATTATGTTATTAATGTTTATTAATAACATAATAGTTAAGTTATTATGTTTATTAATGTTTATGTTTAACATTATATGCCTTTTATGGAGAAAAAACCCTATATCAGCTTTAGTCTCGTTTAATTCTCCCAAGGTGCATAATATAACCTAAACGTTATAAATAAGTCAGCTTACACCTTGCTACCGTGTTGATTAAACTAATATGATGGGGAGAAACCATTTGAATGTTTGAAGCATATGAACTAACTCAATAAACAGTAATAAGAATGTGTCTAGTACAATGGATCAGAAAATATAATTTTTTTCAAGAGCATATACAATTATACACCAGTCCTTAGGGATACAGGTATAAAATAAAACATACAATATCAGACTAAGTATCCTAACAATGAAATACAATGCATACAGAAGTTGATGATATAAAATTATAGTATATCAAAACAGTTTTAAAATAAATAAAATATTACCTCCAGCCTGATCACCACCACCTTTAACAGGAGTAGGAACTTTGGGTTCAGTTTCACAAAATTTGACTTCCCCAAGAATATTCTTTACTTTAGGTTGGTTGATGATTGTGTTAAACCATCTGTTAACATTCTGGAAACCTTTCCTAAATTAAAAAAAAGTAGAACCAAATTAAATGTAGAAAAACTATTTGTAATGAATGATACAGTTTAGCAACAATAAGATTCCTTAAACTATTGTACATGAATTAAGGAATATGAATTCACAAAGTTATCAATCATAATATTTCTGAAGAGAAAATTTGAAACCTGTCAGATGCAGGTTATTCAGGCTCATTTCAATAACAATGAATTCCAAAGGAGCCAAGGATAATCCTGTAAATGTATAGTTCTACTCCGAAGGCAAGAGCAAGATCAAGCTGATGAAAATAAATAAGCCCAGATTAGCCAAATATTAGGCTGACGGGCCACTGAAAGGGCAGCTGAGCCAAGCTCAGCGTAGCAAGAGGTGATTGGCAACCGATTGCGTAGTGGACTCCAGCTCAGTCAGAAACTTGCCTTGCATCGTTATTCTTCTCATATTACATTTTTAAAAACATATAAATGAATTAGAAAAGTTGATCATATCTGCGTTGAAAGAAAAATCAAATATTTGTGTAAAAAAAGAATAGTTTCCCTTCCACATTCATGGCATATTTTATACTGAACCAAAATGAAATAATTTGAGGTTGTGCATTGAAAACAAGCGGAAAGAAAGGATGACACTGAGGAACAAAGCCACAGGTTGAGTGTGTGATGGGAGAAGTTAATAGCTTCGAAACCGAACCAAAGCTGAGCAGAGCATCCCCGTGCGATGCGACTGAACTCAGCTTTCCATCTGGCGGTTGGCCTTTCGTAAAAAACCTTGGATTCGGTTTTGAAAGCTGACTGCTCAACTCAGCTGTGCTTTTGGTGGCCGGTCAGCTTTATCATGATTATGTAATAACTCCTCATCTAATTTGATCATCCCCTATTAACTGATCCTTATTAGTTACAACTGGGGCCATCACTACATCAATGCTTTAAATTTTAACTCTCTCAACAGGGGCCAAGGAACTCCAACAGGGACCTTTACAGTGATATTGGAGGTCTATTATAAACATCTACATCCCCATACACTATAAACTGATAAGAGTTCTACACACTGTGCACAAATTGATCATGAAACCACTCACCATCATGGGGTAACTGAAAAAATCATAGAGTAGTTTTATTGCTATATTTTAAATATACAACAATGATCAACAGTTACCTGAAGGAGGAATCCAGGACAACTTTATAAGCATTGAGAAGTGTACAGGCAACAGTGATGTCAGCTAAAGAAATTCGTTCCCCAACTAGATAGGTCCGACACAACAGGAAATTGTTGAGGTGGGTCAATATATTTTTCAAATCATTTTTTGCATTGTTCACAGCCTGTTGATGATTATGAAAGTAATAACATCATATTTTTAAAACCATAAAAGATATAGAGTTGCAAATTGTAACAACCTGCTTATTGTAGTCTAAAATTCCAAGATAAGGGAAAGTCCATACTGATGCAGGAGGAAGGATTTCATTATCAGCATAACTCAACCATTGAATGACCTGAGCTTTCTCCACATCACCAGTACCTTTTAGGTCATTGCTACTAACTACAAATATTGAAATAAATTGCAATTGAAATTAAAATAAGTAAATCATACAAAAAAAATTGCTATACCATAATATGCTATAGCATTGCTTCCAGTAATGCGCTTTCCTTCTTTAGCTTCGAATGCAGGGACCTAACAGTAAAAACTGATTAACATGTGACTGATTAGATAAATCCATTTGCTTAGATAGATGAACTATATATGACCAGATGGAGAAATTTATGACCACTTGAACTGTTAGTTACTTACAGAACCTAAAGGAAATTTTGAGAGAAATTCCGGAGAGTTGGTGGTTTCTCCGGCAACAAAACCAGGTGCAAGTTTAACAGAACCACCACCATATTGCGCTGCAATAAGGATGTTGTAGGTCCTGAAGTTATCTGGGTAAGAATACAATGTCTGAAATCAAGATTTGAAACATTATTTATTTGAAAAATCTGTGAAAATATGATAACGCATTATCAAACAACCAGCTTACACCAGACGCCATTTCGTAGATCGAGGACGGAAGAGAGAAGGTAAAAAATACCTACCCAACATGTAGTTATCCACTGCCTTTCAAATCGATAGAAAGGTTAGGAAATATTATTAAGTATTCCTAGGCATCTGGGTCTATTCAAAATGGAGGTACTGTTTTTGTGTTGATAGTGAATATTGTGTCTTTGATGCTGTTTGAAATTTGATTGATTGACGAAAACTAAAAATAAATAAATAAATAAGAATATGACTTCCAAAAATCTCTAAAGGGATACGACAGATGTATCACATAGGAGGCCATGAGAAGCTATTTAAGTGTTACTACTATTTACATGTCACAGATGAACAAGTGGGGTACTAAATATTGGTTTGATTCGGGTTCTGGAATAAACATTGTCAATCAAATTCCCGAATTGGGTGGATTTATAATCCATCCCTGGAAGAGCGAATGTCTCCCTCACTGACTTCCATGGACCCAAGGCCTGGTTGTAATGATGAATTTTATCCTGGTTCGACTCAAAGCAGTTTGAATAATTCTCCTCAGTCAAGTTATAGTTACAGAATAAGCCCAAGCAGTTGTAGGTTTCATGATTCTGGATTGCTTCTTTGTACAGCCACCTATGATTATGAAGGAAATGGGGAAGATGAACTTACCCTTCGAAGAGGAGAAATTGTTGAAGTACTTTCCAAAGATTCTAAAATCTCTGGAGATGAAGGATGGTGGACAGGAAAAATTGGGCAGAGAGTGGGAATTTTTCCTGCCAATTTCGTTGCCGAAGAAAATGAGTTTGTTCTCTCAACTGCTCTCAATAATATCAAACCAACAGAAATAGATTTTGTCAAGTTACAATTAGAGGAGGTGATTGGGGCTGGGGGTTTTGGCAAGGTTTATAGAGGGGTTTATAATGGCGAAGAAGTTGCAGTTAAAGCTGCCAGACAGATGGGCGAAGACAGTGCAGCTATGAGAGAGAATGTACTTCAAGAAGCTAAACTGTTTTGGCTTCTTAAACATGAAAATATTGTTTGCCTTAAAGGTGTATGTTTAAAACAACCCAACTTTTGTTTAGTGATGGAATATGCTAGGGGTGGACCATTGAATAGGGTCTTAGCTGGTAGTAGGAAAATAAGTCCTAGTGTATTGGTTGATTGGGCTATTCAAATTGCTAGAGGAATGAACTATTTACATAATGGTGCACCTGTTCGCCTCATCCATAGAGATCTTAAATCTTCTAATGGTACTTCTTTATTTAATGCGGTAAATGATGAAACCTTTCAAGTTTCTTCAGTGTTAATGTTGTAAGTATTAATTTATGTTTCAGTTCTCATAGCTGAACCAATTGATGGAGATGATTTACAGTTCAAAACATTAAAAATAACTGATTTTGGACTAGCTAGAGAAGTATATACAACCACTAGGATGTCAGCAGCTGGAACTTATGCTTGGATGGCTCCTGAAGTTATTAAAAATTCAACATTTTCTAAAGCTAGTGATGTATGGAGGTTGGAATCACTTTTAAGTCATTCATTTTTAGTATAGTGGCTATTCATAATTATCAATGTAAATTGTTTTATTTGTTGCATTAATCATGGTTTAATGGTACTTAAGTTTTATAGTTTATCAATAGTATTTCTCAACATTTATAAAACATTCTGAATATTTTTGAGTGCATTAAATTTATTTTTATAGGAAATGTTCTCTGCAGCAAATGATTTTTAATGCCTAACATTATTAATAATAACTTTCTGAGAAAAGTTTTAGAGAATTAATCTTTCTGGTCTAACTCTAACTTAGAGAATGATTGATCATTGATTTATTGTTCATTCACTATTTGAACATACATATTAATATGTATGTTAGAATAATGCTTTAGTTGTTTCGAAGTTTTCTCTGGGATAATTTTCAAAATCATTGTCACATCTCTACGTGATTTATGTATTTAAAATGATACATTAAAATTTAACTTAAAGATTTTATTTTAATATTATTTCTGTTTTATTTATTTCTACTTTCCTTTTATGTAACATTGTTTGTTAAAGTCCTTGCACAATTAGTATAAGTTAAAACTAATCAAAGGGCTCACATTCACTGTGTCGCCTGTTTCAATATAATATTTTTGGTGTTGAGATGGTTGACCGTGATATAATTTGAGAAGGAGTTGGTTGGGGGGGGGGGGTACAGTCAAATAAATACTAAATCTAAATAAAATAGTATTTTTAATTGTTTCGCCAATGTTTCGGACCCACCTCGCAGGTTTTCACCAGGGCTACAAAAGATACAAAATATAAAAGGTAGATGGTGAAAATAAAATAAATGAATTATAAGTAAATATTAAGTAATAAACAATTGTCTGATAAAGAAATAATAAGATGACATCAGAGATATAGTGGGTGACAATGTAGTTAAAATAACAAGTATTATATATATAGAAGATACAAACAACAATGGAAAATAAGTATAAATAAAAATAAAAAACAAAGGAGAAAATATTATGTAAGTTAGAAGTAAACAGATTGTGATAAAAGATAAGAAATGAGTGTATAACAAACTGGTAAAGATTACATTTGATAACTGTAGGTTAACAGATAAAAAAATGAGTGTTGATGAATAAAGAAATTGAAAAATGAATAAGTAATGATATCAGACAACTGTTTCTTATTTAATATCTATTTATAATTCATCTATTTTATTTTGATCATTACTTATTCATTTTTCAATTTCTTAATTCGTCAGCACTCATTTTCTTTATCTGTTAACCTATTATTATCAAATGTAATCTTTACCAGTTTGTTATACACTAATTTCTTATCTTTTATCACAATCTGTTTACTTTTAACTTACATGCTGTTTTCTCCTTTGTTTTTTATTTTTATTCATACTTATTTTCCATTTTTGTTTGTATCTTCTTTATATATAATACTTGATATTTTAACTACACTGTCACCCACTGTATCTCAGATGTCATCTTATTATTTCTTTATCATACAACTGTTTTTTATTTAATATCTATATAATTCATTTATTTTATTTTCACCATGTACTTTTTATATTTTGTAGCCCTGATGGAGACCTGCAAGGGGGGTCGAAATGTCGGCGAAACAATAACAATACTGTATTTTAAAAATTTAGTATTTATTTGACCGCACCCCCTGGCCAACTCCTCATAATATTTTTAGGTTATCAATCTTATATTTTTGTCATTATGAGACAAAGATATTTTTTCTAATCCCACAAAATGGCACAAACTCATCATCCGTAAACAAATTAGAATTAATTATATAAAATTAAATATATCTAATTGTTGAAAAATAAAATAATGGAGGATCAGAATATGTATGTAAATAAAATTAAAACATTTTTAAAAGTTTTCTTTAGTTTTACCTTACATAAGCAAGTATTATTGATAGGTGTGTAAAGATCAATAATTCATCTTTCCAATGGTTGTAATACTATTGCATTTAGAGAAAATCCTAAAAACGTTAAGAACTGTGTTTTGTTGTATTGATTTTATGAAAACTTAATTTATTCCCCTACAGCTTAACAGTATCTGTTGCATGATGAAGAGTATAGTCAGTCTTAAAAATGAATTAAGATAGACATTCTCCTACATTTTTATTAGTCATTATAATTATTCAGCTGTTATCACCAATTTGTTAGTCTTTGTTGTCTTCTCATGCTATATTCTGTTCTAACAATTTGCAGTTTAGAATGATGGAAATCATAAAGCAGGGTTTCCAACCTTGTATCCACGCGAAGTTAGTCATATCCTCGAGCAGAATTGTGTGCACCTGTGTCTAAAATAATCTTTATCTGCATTCACCTTGGCAACAGTTTTTTTTACTGTTAGATTGAGGTAGGGTAGGGGTTTTAGGGCGATAAATTGCTAGATTAGTATGCCTGTAAACTGTTAGATTTATTAGTTTTGATTAAAATATTGAATATATTTGTATAAATATCTAATAATTAATTGTAAGTGTGATATAACTACTATTTTTATCATACAAGTTTGATTTTTCAATTTTTTTTTTTTTTTTCATTAATACCCTTTTAAATTAAAAAAAAAAATACATAAAACCAAACCTATCTGAAATTCACATTGATTAAAAACATATAAATAAACAAGGTACCTGACACATACCCCATAAATATGCCTGTTGATGTAAAAAGGATGGGGTCCCTGTGATAGGTTGTTGGAAGACAGAGTGTTAACTAAATCAAATTTACACTTCTGAAAGCTTGAAATGAACCTGTATACCTGTATAATGGCCCTTGGTCGGGTACATAGTGCCAAAAAACAAAAGCCACTCCTCTCCTGCCAAAAAAGTTTATGTGATGAAGAATGATTTATGAAATTAGAAGAACATCAATTTTATTTTCTTGATTTGTTCATTTATTTTTTATTTTTTCATGAAGTGGGGTAGCTCAGTGGTAGGGCACTGAACTTCCAATGCTCTAGGTCCCAGGTTCAAATCCCGGCGCATGGCAGAAAATTTATTTATTCTGTTTCATTGGCTGTGGTGCAATCCTGAGGTAGGTAGACCTTCCTCGGGCACTCCCAGCCCTCTACAAAGTGGGTACACTTAATTAAGGGGAAAACCTGGTAGTTGAGCGTGATCGTGGCCTGTTCTCCTCTCTACACATTTGTTGGCCTTGAAACAGTATTTTCCCTAAATAGTGCTGAACCCAAGACCTTTCATGGTTTCCAGTGGTACATATTCGTATTATCGTTTTTTTTCCTTATTCTTGTATTTAACTTTATAACCATTTACAATTTCAAAATTTTAAAAATGTTTTATTGAACTTTAGGTGCTGTTTATCATTGATAATTGATGGTTTGAATAAAGCTAAATTGGTGATGATTGGTTTATGTGTTTTATTTAGTTAAAAATTAGATAAACTGTACTTATGTCTTTCTGTGTAATTCTAAAGGGTCTCGTCCCTAAACGAATGAAGTATTAGTATTATAATATATAAATTTTTTATTTTGTTTACTCCATTGAATAGTACTGTCATAATCAGTAATAATTCATTTATTTTGTTTGAATAATATTTGTTGTTTTATTCAACATATAATATTATAAGATTTTATTATATTTGGTAATAAAAAAAATAAATGAAACAAATAATAATACATTATTATCAAATAGAATGAAAATAAATAATCGTGTACTGTCGAGTTCTCTACTTGTAGAATGCCTAAATATTAGCGCTTTATGAATCTCATTTTTGAATTAGGAACTGGTTGTAAAACATATTTAATAACTTTTCATATTTTCTTAGTATATCTTTTCCAAAAACTTGTAAGGACCAAAAAAAAAAAAATAAGCTGCTCTAGAATTCATGCTCTATGTTGTACACTTGTCTGAAATCATGATTTTAATAACTTTTTTTTGTAATGTTCTCATTATATTTGCTTTTATTATTTATTTTGTAGTTATGGTGTCGTGTTGTGGGAATTGCTGACTGGTGAAACTCCTTATAAGAATATAGAACCTTTATCTATTGCATATGGTGTTGCAGTGAACAGATTAACTCTCCCAATTCCAAAAACATGCCCAAGAGCTTGGCGTGAATTAATGGAGGGTAAATGTTGACAGTATTATAATGCTGATTATTTACTTATTCTTAACTGTTAAAAATCTTTTATTTATAATTGTTACAACATTTGTTTTTATAATTATTGCTATAGCTGGCATCTCTTTTGGTTACACACGATGTTTCTATTGTTTTTAGCATCAAAGACAATGTTTTGATATGTGCAAGAGAGGCTCTTTAATTTTTATTAGATTTCTGATAAACTTATATATCTTAGAAATCTATAATTTATTACAGATTCAAAGGCTTCCAGTATTCTGGACTACAGTATTTCAATGTCAAATATTCTACCTATTATTTATTTTATTTTATTTTGTATTAATTCATCTTTGTTATTCTAAGGGGACTTAGTCCCAGAATAAAGTTCTATTTTCTATTCTATTTTATTCTATAAAGACTATTAATAAACATTATTTTACTAAAATTCAGTTAGAATCCAAACCTTGTTTTCTTTTACCTTGCTTGTAGAAAAAATAATATATATCTATCAAAAGTAAATTTTAAAGTAGTGTATACAGTAAGACTTTTTTTTGTCTTATAATATTTTAGAGGCTAGAAGATTTAAATTATTTGCACATGTTTTTGCATTGGTACATATGGATTTAATGTTTTATTACAACTATTTTGATGACCTGGAATTTTTCTAAATATCTCCTAAAAAAGTCATGGAATTCAAATAAAAAAAGGTTTTGTGGGCACCTTGTTATAAGCTACTAATGCTTATGTTTTGATTTATTTAAAACAAGTTCCTCTTGCCACTTCCATTAACTATTGGCCTCCAAATTATGATGAATAGTGCCGTGCTTAATCAGTCTGGTTCAATATTTAGCAAAATGAGTCAAGTGCTTGATTACGTTGATGATGTGGCTCTGAGTCTATCCTTTAAGATTCCTTTATAAAGGAGGCCTATGAATGGTTGGAAAGAGAAGCAAAAAGGATGTGGCTGTTCATTAATGAAGAGAAAACTATTGTACTCAAGAAGAAAACCCCTCTAAACCCGCTAAAGCATTATGTTGTGGGAAAACATACGTTCCAGTGTGTGACTGGTTTTAGGAATCTCAGCTCCATGGTTAATGATCGAATTGATGAAGAGGAAGTAATACAATAATGTATAAAGGGGACAGCTAACAAAGCATATTTTGTCTTAAAAAGTTTTCTTTGTAGTAAATTTATAATTGGAATACCAAAATAATCTTTTGCAAAACAATCATTTGATATATGGTGATCTATGCCTGTGCAACTTGGACCATATGATAAATTGGTCTGAAACTGAAAAGTTTGAGAGAAACGTATTGAGATGCCTATAAGAGAAAGCTTATTTTTATTTAAAACGTAAATTGATAATTGAAGGATGTACAGAAAATTGGGGATATTCCAACATTTTCCTATTCGGTGTTTAAAATAGAATTAATCATATTTTCGTCTGGATTTCTAATTGCTGTGTATGATTTTAGTGTTACTTAAAATTAAAATTAAATATTCATAATTATTCATCAAATTCAAACTTCAAATTTTTCTTCTTTTTTGTTTTTCAATTTTGTTATACGAAGAGCTCCAGATAAAAATGCATTTCATCCATTTCCTGACAAATTAATTTTGAATTAAAATTATAATTTTTTTTTTCATAGAAATTTTAAGTTTGAAAACTTCTGGATCATATTGCTGCTTGTCTCTGGGTTAAAGAGCTTTGAAATTTGTTATTTATTGCCTGTGTTTGCTGAAAAAATAATTTAAGTTTTTTTTCTACAAAGTGAAATTTGTCAGAAAATGGATAAATTTTATTTTGATTGATATTCATCAATCAATGAGAAAATTTGACCTTATGGTTGGCATAAATGCGACTTAATGATATTTCAGAACACCAAGCCATAGATATATTTGTAAAACAGTGTTTTCTTCTAGAAATTATTAATGTGTTACACTGATTTAAAGAGAAGAGGTCTTCTAGTTCTCTGTTTTGATTTTGTTATTTTTAGAATAAATATTGTTTAGTTAAGTAGTAACTATAATATTTAATAAATCATGATAACGGGTGTACTGGACTAGGTGTGCAATACTGAGCATTCCTATAGACCAATGAAAATTGACATAATGATTTAATATCTGATTGTGTTCCTGATGGTGCCAAAAGTGGCAATTAATTGTACAATAAATCACTTTATTAATGGAGCCTTTTAAAAACCTAATTCCTACATATAACATTTAATTGAATTCCAGGCTTTAGTATATTTTAAATGTTAATTGTACTTAATTTAGACTATAATTTTGTTTACACTCTTACGAACAACAATTGAAATTATCTAAAATTACTTTTTTCTTATCAGATTGTTGGAAACCTGATTCGCATTCTCGTCCAACTTTTGAGGACATACTTGATCGGTTTAATTTCATCATGCAATCTGGATTTACTCAAACACCTTATGAAAGTTTCCACACTATGCAAGATGATTGGAGACTTGAAATTGAAGAAGTTTTAGATGAACTCCGTAATAAGGAAAGTGTAAGTTACTTTTATTCTTATTGAGGTTTTTTAAATAGTGTTTTTAGTAGGTAGGAATCTATTGGTATCATATTTATAAACCCTAGGTAATTTCTAGTAATTTAAAAGGAACATTAATTTAACCATCTTAATATATTTGTGAATATCCTAATATCTCCTCTCCCTACTATTTGCCATTGTTCAGAATGATACAAAATTCTTTTGAGATGGATGTGAGGTCAGTCAAAGAGTAATCAGAATAATACAGAGTATATCAGATGTGATGTTTTGAGAGTCTAGTGATCTTACCTTGTTATATAGATGAGCTGTATTATTTTTAGTGATTATTGTTTGACTTCTTGCCAAGGTATACTTAATTAAATAAAAAGTGCGGACTTATTACAATAAATTAGCTGAGGTATAGTTGTCTAAATGCATATTTAAGATAAGCGCATGAAGAAAGAAAAAGTTACAGAAAGGTTACAAACTCAATATTGTGTTTCATATTGAGTGCTCTTATCTCTGGAGCAAGTACGATCTAATATATGCTAACTTCTGAGAAGTATTTTAGAGAGAGTCAGGTATGGATACATTATACTATAGAAGAACTGAATGTAGGAAGGATGTCTTTCTCTATCTAGTGGGTTGTAATGATATTTGAAATTTAATACCTCCAGGGAATATATTAAAAAGTAAAAAACTCTAAGTCATCCCCTTAAATGCTCTGTCCTTTGCGATTGGAAGTAAAATGGCATATGGGCTACATGCAGTGGAAAAACTTATTAAATTTTAGTTCTAAATTCACTGGTGTCTCTAGAATGATCCATTTTCTTTCAAAATAGCAGCTGATTGGAAGTTTTATGGCCCATATCTTGGCCATTTAAGAAAGAAAATGTGCAGCTTTTTAAAAATGTTTTAGAGGTAACTTTTGATAGTATTTTGCTATTTTTAAATGCCATAATAGTTTACCAAGTCCAGGATTGGACAATTCAAATTTTATGCCACTGAGACATCACAATTGTTTTGTTTATATTCAAAAATATTAATTGATGTTATTATTTTTTACTTATTTTTGGCTGTATAATATATATATCAGCCAAAAATATTATATATATATATAATGTATTTATATGTGCGCACTGTAGATGTGAGCATAGTTTCATTGAAACTTAGCATATTTTTTATTCTGATCTGTTTCTCATTATCTTAGTTTATTAATCCACAACAGAAAAAAAAACTATTTAACTTCTAAGTGGAATCCTCTGTGTTACAATTTGAAAAATATTTATGTTCTCCGAAAGAATAAGGGACTGATTATGCTCTTACTCTTACTCCACTTAATCTCGGAAAATGAATTTTTCATGTTTTTTGTTTTCAAAATAAAACTTATTTAGATTTCTGATCAATCTCATATTGACTAGTTTGCACAATATCATGCTCACCTTTAGTTGATCATTTAAATTTGGTATTTGACCTAAGAATACCAAAAGTCAGCGAATACATGTGTACTCTCTACAAAACATTTTATGACAATTTACAGAGACATGATATTAATCTAATAGTAAGAATATCCACTACCAATTGCCTCTGATAACATCACAGGAAGACATGGATGAGAGTTCATCTGTAAATTTATTTTATTTTTATCTAAAATAATTCCACCGAAGCGATACCTTTGAGTGTTTTCTTCCTCATGCCTGGCATGCTACTATTGTTATATTACTAACTTTACAGGCAATCCACTGATTATCAAAGATGTATTAGACAAATGTGGATTTATTTATAAAATTAAAAAAAAAAATTTGGTGTGGTCTTGCCCTGACTTACTTATGTTTTGATAAAATTTAATAATTGTCCTAATAAGAACATAGATTAAAAAAAACAAAAAACAAATACAATGGATAATAATAATATAGGTAAGGTTGTTATATAAATATTGTTTGAGTTATAACAATAATATTGTATAATATCAATACGTATAAATAATGATAAATATAAACTATATTTTATTACCTCTAATTAACCAAAATTAAGTCTTTAAGGACTTGCACCTCAAGTAGGTATTCATGCATGCATTAAGAATTTTATTTATTAAAATATTAATTATAGTGGTATTGACTTGTTATTGTTATTTTTATTTTTAATCCTTAACATTTATGTTTAACTTGTTAATGCTTTATTTTTCATGCTTCGTAGGCATTCAGATCTAAAGAAGAGGTAAGAACAAATAACAAGGACATTCTTAACTTGCACGAATTTGTAGTAAATTGTCAGTGGTCACTATTATATTCTTACTTTTTCTGTAATCAGATTGTTTTTCTTCCAAAGTATTATGTGTTGAGTTGTTAAATTACTTTGTAGAGTAATTATTTATGTGATTTAAGAGTGATAATTGATTCTATTATTCCTCTGTTATCAAAATATGTAAATTCTGATAAATTTGTATTTAATGCATTTTTTCTTCTTTTTCATCATTTTAGCATGAAAATATTCACATCTTAATTCTGCTGAACTTTTCCTTAATTCTTTAATTTTCTATTTGTTGAGATTTATTTCATTTTTTAAAAATTTGATATTTCCATCCTTTGAATAAATGTGAACCAAAAAAATATCTATTGTTAATTTAGTGTTAGCCATTCTTGTCTCTTTTGCTATTTAAACATTTTAATTTACAAATTCTGTTATCTGTTGCTACTAATAATTGATAGTCTATATTAATTTTATTATTGGTAGATGTATTTAACTCTTAGTTCTAGTGTTCAAATTGTAAAAAAAAAAAAAAAGAAAGAAAAAAAAACCGAAATATCAAATTTGTATGAATCACTAATTTTTTATTTACATTTTTAAACTTATTCTAAAGATATGAACTGTCATGTACTTTCTTTTTATTTCATCATAAATCTTAAAGAAGGCTGTTTTTAAAAGAAGTTATGTTTTATGAATATTTAATATATAACTTGTGATTTAGCTTATTTTTTTAGATGATTTTAATTTAATTTGAAGTAACAGGATGAAAAAATAAATAATGAAAAGAAAATGTGAATAATTGTTTAGATTGAATTGAAATAAATTATTGAGGTTCGGTGATATGGTTTATAGACGTGTATTTTGATCTTTTTCATGTAAATTTTTCCATTGGTCTGCTTGTTCTTGTTTTTTGTGTTTAATAAAACTTTTCCTTACGAATTACACTAAACAATTTCTGAGACTTAAAAAGACCTAATTCTAATAGTTAAATTGCAATAGTTAAACAGAATGCTTCTGTGGAATTTCATGATTATTTTCTGACAGACTGACAGAATTTGCTTGTATACAATTAACTGCTTTTCTGCCTGATTTATGAAATTATAAGATTTTTGTATTTTAAATGCATACTTACTATTTCTGTAATTGTTATAGGAACTGAGATGCCGTGAAGAAGAGTTGAATCGAGACAAATTAAAGCAAAATCTGTTAGCTCAACAGTTAAAGCAAAAAGAGAGGGAATTAAAAATGAAAGAGATGGAACTTGTAAAACGTGAACTTCATATTTGTCTTATTATGCAACAACAGCAAACTCCAACACCTAACAAGAGAAAAGGAAAGTTCAAAATTAAAGCATTGAAGAAAGAACCCGGTCAGAATATTAGTTCTCCTTCTGGTAAGATCTTGTTCCTTATTTAAGTATACCTTTTTTTTTTGTAAAAGTGAGTTTTATTTAAATGCCAACCCTAATGAATTAATTAGTTTTGACTATGCGATTCGTTGTTACCTGCTTACCTACCAGTGTCTACAGTTATCTTTTTTTTCTCTCTCTTATATCATTAAACTAATTTAGATAACTTATTTATATAAGCTGAGATATTTAAATATATCTAAGTGAACATTCAAAGTCAAGGACATTTATGAAATTAAACTTTAGATATGATTTTTCCAAAAATAAAATAAAACAAACATAAAGTATGCTCTGAAAGGATGGAGAGGAATTATTTTATTATTGTAATAAGAGCATTGAAGGGAGCAGAAATGATAGATAAATCTCCTGAATATTTTTAAGTATGTACTCTTTCTTCTTAACCTTCCTTGTTCAGTTTAATACAGCTTTATTAATTTCCCTAAATATTATAGCTGTTGAGAATTCGAACAATTATTCTCTCCTTATCTAGTAAAAATAAAAAATTACTCTCTCTCCTTATAAATAAATAAGTTAAAATCACACATTCATTACCTCATAAGCTATCTACTTTGAAAGAATAGATATATCAATTTATCTTGTCTATCTATTTGTCTTTTGGACAACATAATTTGTTAAAGTATTAAAAATTAATTTAACCCTTTATAAATGACATTTGTTTTAGATTTTCAACACAAAATACAAGTTCAGCCTGACGGATTTATATCTACTATTCCACCTCTCTCTCCTCCAAGTGTTGCACAGATGAAGAAAGCAATAACACCACGTATGTTTGCTCTATAAATAGATTTTTATATGTACATATTTTTGTTTTTTTTCAGACGGTTTCGATTGTAGTAGCTACAACAAGAAAATATAACAATTTAACCTTCACATTGATAAATCATTGCCATCCTGACTAATGATTGACTGACTGATAAATGAAAACTGATTATATAGTTGTGGAAGGTCTCGACAGTTCCAAGGCATTATTTCAGAACCGTTTTGATCCAATACTTTCCACATCTTTCGATAAATAAAATCATCATTATATTAAATTTAACGTTATAAAGGTTACAAATAATAAATTTTTCAGTAAACACCAGCAAAATCACTGAAATTTATTTATATATTTGTGCATATGTATCAGCTATGTGTAGATACAACTAAAATTGTTCCAGACAAATTTTATTGTTTCTAGATGTTGAGTCTTGAAATTTTGCTAAGATAAAAAAAATTCAAAAGTATAGATATTCTGAGGAGTTAATTGGGGAGTGCGGTCAAATAAATACTAAATTAAAATATAGTAATTATGTAATTTTTGCCGATATTTCGACCCACTTTGCAGGTCATCTTCAGGGCGTAGGATGTAGCACTGCGGGAGGCAGTTGAAACACTGAGTAAAGTTTGAGTGTTTCAACTGCCTCCCGCAGTGCTTCATCCTACGCCCTGAAGTCGACCTGCAAAGTGGGTCGAAACGCCGGCAAAAATTAAATAATTACTATATTTTAATTTAATATTTATTTGACCGCACCCCCCAATTAACTCCTTCTCATATTATATCAATGGTCAACCATCTCTACATCATTATAGATATTCTGAATTGAAAAAAAAAATATTACTTTTCATATCTAATCTTTTAAGTTATTTTGCCGCATATATTTATGATGATTACTGTATGACCAGCGACTGAGTATAGTTAATGATCTAATAATTTTATTTTTATAGCTATAATCTAATCAGATTTACAAAATATTGATCAACCTCTCATAAGCTATTAAAAATAGCACTATCATATTATTACTGCTTACTGGTATTCTTTCTCTCACATTTAATGAATTATTTTTTATAGTTCTGTTATTAGAGTTTTAACCCTACATTCAATCATGGTTTGATGGTCTTAAGATTGAAACAATTTACTAAATTTTCCTCTCATTTAGATGTTCTTGGTTCACTGCAGTGAGCGCAGAATTTAACTATAATTTGGTTGCTTTATTATTGTATTTTAGAGGTGTTTTTTGAAGTTAAAAATATGAAAATCTCGCAGCTTTCTGTTTTTTATACTATCTTTATTTGAATAGAGATTACTGCCTTCTTTATATTATTTTATGATAATTATTTTGCATTCTGTGTTATAGGTGGTGAGATAAAAGGAAAGACTTGGGGTCCTAGCACGTACCATCAGAGAAGATCTAGGACTTCTACCATAGTCGATAACTTACCACCTGAATCTCAGACTCCTAAATGGAGCCGTTCAGCTCCAGATTTGAAGAAACAAAGTAAGAGAAACTTTTAATGGCACTATTAATTAAAAGATTATATTTTGTCTTTAATTGTCAATGTTTTTTTTCTAAACTTCATTACTGTTGTTTTACAAAAACTATTATATGAGACAAATTTTTAATAATAAGCCTTGGTTAATGAAAACGAAACTCTAATTTATTGATATACTAGCTTTATCTGGCCACGTGCTGCTGTGGCTCAGTATGGCAAAATGGAAAACAAGGAAAATAGGAAGCTCATATGAGTTGTCTAATATCAAAAGACATTGTCATTTTTAAAAAAGTTGAAAAAAAAATTCTTAACAACTTGATTAAATATGTAATAAAAATTATAGTGGGAAAATAAACGTTACTCGCAAAAAAAACCTTACGGCAAACAGCACAGCCTTATTCAAATGTAATGTTAAAGAAAATAGTTTATTAAAAACATAGTAAACTGAAATCGATGAAAAACTGATTCCTATAAGGAATCAAGAACATAAACGATGATCATTATTACTCAATGGTTAACTATTTATAAATAATGGCATATCAAATATTTGAGATGTATCATACCACTTCCCGAATACATGAAGAGAAATATAAATTTGAATATAAAGAACGTATAACAGTATTGACCTACACAAAGAGAATCATATCACTTCTTCAAATGATAATCTCAATTACTTCAGTAATTATAAAATTTTTGATTAATCAATAACACAAAAAAAAAATGACCTTTGCTGAATAGAAAGTAGTAAATGTTTAATACTCTGCAACGAATCGTCCGATTTCGATGATTCTTTTTTTATTTTGTAGAGGATTCAGGAGGCTTTCAAATAAATATGGGTATTATCAATCAAAAATTGTGTACTTTTTTTTTAGTTGCCTGTAAATAAAATTTGAATTCAGCGTAACATTTTTTGTAGCATGAAAATATCGTAGGACAGATGCACTATACCATGCCAGAAATCGTCGCGGGAGTGTACGCAACAACTTCCCAAAGTTTCATGATGATCTGATGAATGGTTTAGTAATGCATAAAGGACAAAAAGACATACATTCATTTTTTATATATAGAAGATGAGAAGATTAAGAGACAGATGTTAATCTTGTTGCTATGGTTATCAATTCCCTGTCCATGGGGATATTTTTCCCTTCCGTTCGCTAAATAATTCATAACTCCTCAGGATTTTATCCTAATTCAATGATTCAATAACCGTTGGAAAGCTGAGTTGTTGCTCTTCAAAACCACATCAAAAACTTTTAGATTTAACACTTTCACCTTCATAAGGAATAAATAAATAAAATCTCCTAATGCATTTTTATTTTTTATCTCCAGTTCTAATATGCTTACGTTTAAGGTTTGTTGCATTTTGTGCAGTTTACTTGACCCTAAATGCCTGCTTATTTTCATGCATATAGGCCGAGCCATGATTAAGTTATTACACTTTATGTGGTTTCCGAAATAAAATCGAAGGGACCTGCCTTGATGAAAATTTGAGGTAAAATAAAATTATTTTTTGATTCCAGTGAAAATTGGTATTTGAGGGTTTATCGAGGTGCAAAATACAAACTCATTCTTGTTTCTCTTTAAAAAAATATTTGAACCAATTTTATTCCTAAGCCGCTAAAAATTGTTTTTCATTTGGATATAATTCTCATCAATTTGGATGACTTTTTTTTATTTAGTAGAGATTAAGGAAGATTAACTTAAATATGGGTAGTTTCAATTAAAAATTGGTACTTTTTAGTTATTGGCAAATAAAATTTGAATAATTTTTTGCAGCCTTGTTTTCGGGAAAGATGTTATACACATAAATTCTAAGGGTTTCAAGGGGATGACTTTAGTCAAGTTTTGTTAAAATTGTTACAGCCGTTTTGGCACAAGTCTATAGAGATATTTTTTTTACAAATATAAAAATATCGTAGGACAGATGCACTATGCCAGGAAGCCTTCTCGGGAATGTATGCAACAACTTCCCAAAGTTTCATCAATCGGATGAATGGTTTAGTAATGCTTAAAGGACAAACAGATATACATTAATTTTTATATATATATAGATGATTTAGTGATGAATATTTGAAACCCAAAACAATTTTTGGAGACATATTGTTAAATATCTCCAAATAGAGATTTCGTTCATATAACATACAATCTAGCAATAAAAAACTTTACTAATGTCAAGGTTTGAATCTGAAATAACTTAGATTAAATTTTCCTCTATAACTATTGTCCTTATTGTGACAGAATATTAAACTATTCAATAAAATGGTTTCAGTGTTAATAAAAGACATGCGATCCTATCACTGGCTTATTTTCCATGTTTTTAAAAATGTTATTATTAACATGGTTCCTTGTTATGAAAAAAAAAAAATTATCATTGTAAGTTAATCTATTTGTATAAATGAAAGATGTCAGCCACTCATTCACTTATTGATCACGGTATTTCAAACATGACGTCGACTATGAAAGTAAAATTTTAGTAATTTACTATGGTATTTATAAAATTAATAGAATAAATTTTGTTATTAAACAAAAAAAAAAAAAATCAAACTTCTCTTGTTATTTCTTTTTTTATTCCTATTACAGACTGGACAGGGCCTGTAAACGGAGAAGTGAGAATGTCATCTTTCAGAAGAGCTATGTACAATATGTCGGCAATGCTTGCATCTATTGGCATTGGAACAGATATCAGGCCTACCGCTGATAAAACAAACAGGTTCCATTTTTATCTTATTTTGTACTAGTACTTTCTAAATTTTTCTCCTTTACCTAAAATAGTAATTTTATCTTCCTGTTTATCATTGTAACTGAGTGATCCTTAAAAAATTAATATAACTATAGAAATCCACTTTGAAAGAATAGTTTAAAATTATCAAGTTGAAAAAATGCAAAACATCTTTAGAAAATTTTTTTTTTAATGATGAAGTCGATGTTTATTATAACTATTGAGATACTCTGTTGTTATTAACCTACTTTTATATATTTTAAGTAATTTTTATTGTATTACCAATGAAAACAAATTTGGTATATGAAACTTCAGTAACAGGTCACAGAAGTATATTATACTAACTTTGTTACTTGCAGGACAAGCGGTGCAACGTCTGAAGCAGACGATGACGACAGTTGGAGCGACGATGCTAGCTCCAATTACTATGTTCCTGGCCACAACACATACCATGGTAGGGGCCTTCACTCCCGCCCTCCTTTACCAAGCATCTTAACACAATCCCACTCCCTGCTTCTTCAAGGTAATAACTGTAAATCTTGAAGCATTTCATTTATTCATGGCCAGCTAATTATTAAGTCAAGTTTTATCTCTGTTTCGCATTGCTGCAGGCTTTCTTGTGTATTTCTCTCTTGCAGATGAGTGAAAGATTGTTTTTAATTGTGAATGTTTTAATGGAATACCTCCTGTATTCCATTTGTAATGTTATTTATACATCCGAGAATCAACTATGTGGTTAAATGGGACTGGATTAGTTCATGTGATCTGTAAATTCTCATAATCAAGTGTTAAAAAGAGGGAATTGGCGGCCACGAAGCTTCCATTTTTGTGAGGCCTTAAATAAAGTTAATTCTTGTATTAATTACTTTTTAATCACATAGATTACAATAATGTGAAAATTAATAGAATGTTGAAACAAATAAAGTATCAATAGTAAAATATTTTAAAAACTACTTAGGAAGGAGATGGTCCAGAATGCCGATCATAAAAAGACTTAAAATAGTGAAAGGACCATCTCCTTCCTCAATAATATACTGCGGTCAACCATCGAGTATTCAATTAAAAATCATTTATTTTTATCACTACTTAATTTAAATGTGGCTGACCACTAATGATAAAAATGTTTCCCTTTCTGGCCGAGACCCATTGGAGGAGCAATCACATGCTTTTAAAATAACGCAAAAGTCCACTTTGATTTAGAGCAGTTTAAAATTTCGGAAATGTGACTCAGAGGTTTATTAAGAGAAATACTTATGTCCAAATATTTAAATAAGTCTGAAAGCATAAACCTTGCACTAATTTTGAACATCAGTTTTTTTCTCTCAAACAAATACCCGTGGTACGTTCTGTCTCACTTTACGCCCCTGTCCTGGAGTGCACTCAGGATGTTATAGGTGGACAAAATAATGTATTAGTGTCAATCATTACAGCTTCACCATCACATTAATTTTCTTAATGTACTCCAGCTGTGAGTTCCAATTTTAAAATATATCTTTTAATGATAATTTTAACAGTTCCTCCCTTGGTTTTCAGGCTGAGAGTAATGTGACAAGAATAAGGGACTACCATAATTCATTTTAATAATAAATATTATCAAAACAGAAGGCTTCTGTTTTAGATTGCCAAGATTATTACTGCAAAGGAAATATTTAGTTTTTTTTGTGTCCATGTAAATCTAGTTATATCAGGATTTCAGTATACTAATTATATTCATATCTTACAGAAACTGTTGAATGTGTTTTATGATTTAATTTCTTAGCAAGTTACATATTTTATTCAATATAGATGATCTTGCATTCATCATGGTATAAGTATTTATTATGTTTTATCTTGGTCATACGTGACACATTTTCCATGGCTCCTAATAATTTCTTTCATTTGATCAAGATTAGTTGAATGGGTAATTATAATATTAAAAAATTATTACCATATTACAGGAATCACTGTACTCCATAATAATACTTTGTTATTGTATCTTAAATTATTTTTTTAAATGGTTCAGGTCATTTTTACAGCTTTATTAAAAAAGGTCTGTGTCTATTCAAATAGGCAGTTATTTTTAAGACATTTTGGGCCAGTTGTACAATTGGATTTCTAGTCAAGTTCAAGCTAACTTTAAGTCTTAACTTCACCAGATTTTCTTGATTTTGTTATGGATTGTTATATTCTTATTATTTTTTTAGAAAGTAGCAGCGAAGATCTTAGTTTCCAGTCAGCAAGTGATAATCACAGAGTTCGTTTTGATACTCAGTATGATTTCAATAATTAGATAAAAATTATAAATTTTTGTTATTGTATATAAGAGACAAAGAAATTTTGGTATCATTAACTGATACCAGAGTTTATTAGTATCCCAATACTTTTGGGAACAAAAATATTTTAATATTTAAAATTTTTCACTCTATATCTTAATAGACTGAAGTGTACTTCTTTCTGCTTACATCAGTAATTTATTAATTATTGTTTGAATTATAATAATATAAATTATGTTAAAAAGTTTAAAATTTACCCTACATTCCTTTAGAAATGACACATAAAAAAATAAATGCTTATCTGTGATCAATGCCTAATGTTTTTGCATAAAAATGACAAGCTTAAAGTTATCATATATTATAATATCACTTATAACATGAAGATGATTTTTGTTTTGTTAAAAGTGAAAGCTGAAGAAAAAAAAGATGACTTATTTATTTTCTATCACTGTTTTCAGTATTTTTCTCTAAAAATCCCTTTCCTTGTTGAGATGACAAAAATTAAAATTAAGAAGAAAATATTGAGTTTATTTTAAGAGAGATTTAAGTTATATTTATTCTTTGTATATGGTTTATGTAATACTATACTAACTTTAATCTAAGGTCCTTGATTAATTGGAAATAAGTTCATTTTATACATTTTCACTTTTTCATTAAAAAAGAAAAAATGAAAAAAAAAATCCTAAAGATGTGCAATATTTATTTTCATAATGAACTGACATTATTTGTATATTTTGTTGTCATGACTGGCTTTAATTCCAAATTTAATTTGTTTATTATTGACAGGATAACTTAATTATTACATTATGCTTCATATTTCCATTGGAAACTTAATCTTAAATTGAAAAAAAGCCTTAAAGTGTGGTCAATTAAAACATATTGTGGAAAGGTTTTGCTAATTTTAGTTGTTGATGAATGTTTATTTTACAACAAACCATTATGTGACAATAAGTGTACCAAAGCTGAAAATTTTTAATTATTTTATCAAATGAAGTACATTTTACAAACAATTGTATTTAGAAAAAGAAAAAAAAATGGTGCTTCTATTCATTAAATGTGCTTCTTTTACTTTCTTTTTTTTTATTTTATTATTTTTTTTCTGTTTTAATATTTTTAAGATACAAGAAATATACTCAGATTTGTAATTTTTACATGTTTGTGGTGGTATTAAAAATAATTTTTGTTAACTGTTTTATATTTGTAGACACCATTTTTTCTCCCTTTTTTTTATGTAAATAAAAATTAGACATTTTAAATTTTAAAATAAACAATAAAAGTAGATTAAGAGCTTTTGGCACATTGATAAAACAAAAATGTAAACATCACTTTTTTTTTAAATAGAGGCAGACTTGCAAAAATTACAGTGTAAAAATTGTATATAGTAATGTAAATAATGAGTTTGTTTTAACATCATCTAGTGTGTGATGTAGACTAATTACAGTGAATAAATATACATAAATAATATATGACTTAATGGGAAACTTCTTCTGAATTACTTAAGCCTTTTAGTGTTTCTAGTGCCTTCTCCCAAGCATGTAAGCTCTAAAAAACAAATTTATATTTACGATATATGAAGCAAAAACAAACAAACAATAGGTATAGTATTGATATATTAATAGACTTACTTCTTCATAGTAGAGAACATGTTGTTCAGTAATACGATTTAAGATATCTTTTATTTCAGATCTTTTTTCTGTATTCCATCGTGCTAAATCAGCTTTCATGCTTTCATTTGCTATTTCAACTTTATCATGATTTTCCTTTGAAAGAATAAACAATTGAATAAAATTAAGCAAAATTTGCCTCTTAAAAGTTAATAATAGAAAGTAAATAACTTTGGTTTTGTTTTTAAATACAGGACATGCAATAATGTAAAATCCAAGGAATACTAAATTTGGCTTTAACTTTATTGATTTCAAACAAGCCTATGAGTTAGGCTTTATGACAGAGCAGGATCATCAGAAATTGATACACTGGTAAAGGAATAAAAAATTAATGTGTTTACAATATACTAATGATCTAATATAAACATAAAAATTATTTTATGTTGGGTCATTAAGGGTTATAATTAGAAGTGTGTTATCCACTTCTCAAAGATAATTACGCATTGTTCAATATTCATTGTAGACAAAGTTATCTCAATATGTACATTACATACAGTTGTCGAACCAATTATGTCACAATGTTTGGTAGTTACTTAATACTACAAAAGCACGATCAGAGGTAAGATAAAATTTGTATAAATGCTTCTAAAACACACACTAAGAAACCAAAGAACATTGCTCAGAATGAAATATTAGCAATGATAAATAACATAAGTGCTTTTCATACAATTTTCTTTGGTCTCTCCCGAAATCTTTTTAGATTTTATCACTTTATTTTTTTGTTTTAGAATATGGATACACATACATTATATAAATATATATATATATTAGTATTAGAGTGCAAAAGCCTTTTTTTAAGGAAAAAAAAAATTTAAATAAAAGTTATAGGGACTTTTTTGTAATGAAGTTCATGGTTCATAGAAAAAGTTTAAATTCTATTTATTTAAGTTCTAAAAGAAAAAGTAACAATAAATGAGAAATAAAGAGTAATTGGTCTTAGATTACAATTATAATTTCTCTTTCTTCGTTAAGATTCTGTTCTCTGAATTTGAGTAACTGAGAAAATAAATAGTTTTTTAGACTTTGTGGTGAAATAAACTGCTTCGAGAGAAGTTTTTAATATATATTTAAAAAAAAAATAAAAATTACAGTTTCGAAATAATAAAAACAAATTGAAAATAAAGGCTCCATACATTCGTTCCACTCATACAGAAAAGTTCAATAGAAAACATGAACAATGAAATCACGAAAAAATAATCAACTAATAAGTAAGTACTACTTATGCTAAGTTAACAGTTAGCTAACACTAGAACTTGTTTAGTGTAGCCAATTAAAATTTAAAAAACTGTTAAATATTTTGAATTTGTTTCACTTAAAACAAAAAACGACTTACTTCTACGACTTGGTCAAGTACAGGAACTTCCTCTTTTAGTTTATGCAGCTTTTCTCTGTTCGAAGTTCTCCATAGCTTCATACCGAAACTTCCATTATTATTATTATTCAAAGCTTCCAACTGTAGCGTCATACAAAATTAGAAAATCAAATTAAGAAATATCTTTTTATCAGAATATAATTTTGAATAAAATCATATATTTTGAATTAGACCTGGGCAGAATTTATTTGAAAAATATTCCCGGAATAAATCCCTAAATAAACCTCGATAGTTATTTCCGAAATAATTTATTTCATGAAATAACCTGACCATTATTTCCGAAATGATTATTTCGGGAATAAATTATTTCAGGAATAACGATATCTGAAATGATTATTTCAGGAATAATGTGAAATCTGAAATAATCATTCCGATCGACTTTTAGATATAATCAATATCCGGGTCGACTGTTATGTTTTCGGGGGCGCTTTTTATGAAAAAACGGTCGAATTTGAGATTGCGCCACCCCCTCCTCGCCCCCCATCGACTTTTTGTAACTTTTCAGATATAATCGATATCAGGGTCGACTATTATGTTTACGGGGGCGCTAGTTATAAAAATAATGTCGAATTTGATATTGCACCACCCCCTCCCCACCCCCATCGACTTTTTGTAACTTTTCAGATATAATCGATATCAGGGTCGACTATTATGTTTTCGGGGGCGCTATTTATAAAAATACTGTCGAATTTGATATTGCACCACCCCCTCCCCACCCCCCATCGACTTTTTGTAACTTTTCAGATATAATCGATATCAGGGTCGAATATTATGTCTTCGGGGGCGCTATTTATAAAAATAATGTCGAATTCGATATTGCACCACCCCCTCCCCACCCCCCATCGACTTTTTGTAACTTTTCTGAAATAATCGATATCAGGGTCGAATATTATGTCTTCGGGGGCGCTAATTATAAAAATAATGTCGAATTCGATATTGCACCACCCCCTCCCCACCCCCCATCGACTTTCTGTAACTTTTCAGATATAATCGATATCAGGGTCGACTATTATTTTTACGGGGGCGCTAATTATAAAAATAATGTCGAATTCGATATTGCGCCACCCCCTCCCCACCCCCATCGACTTTTTGTAACTTTTCTGAAATAATCGATATCAGGGTCGAATATTATGTCTTCGGGGGCGCTAATTATAAAAATAATGTCGAATTCGATATTGCACCACCCCCTCCCCACCCCCATCGACTTTTTGTAACTTTTCTGAAATAATCGATATCAGGGTCGAATATTATGTCTTCAAGGGCGCTAATTATAAAAATAATATCGAATTCGATATCGCACCATCCCCTCCCCACCCCCATCGACTTTTTGTAACTTTTCAGATTCAATCGATACCAGGATCAACTAATATGTTTTCGGGGTAGCTAATTAAGAAAATACGGTAGAATTTGAAAAAGATATCCCAAAAACATAAAAGACCACCCTGATATCGATTACATCGGAGAAGTCACTAAAAGTCGATTGGGGGGGGGGGAGGCGCAATCTCAAATTCGACCGAATTTTCGTAATAAGCTACCCCGAAAACATAATAGGCGACCCTGATATCAATTAAATCCGAAAGGTTACTAAAAGTCGATTGGGGAGGTGGCAGGAGGGGGCGCAATCTCAAATTAGACCATATCTTCATAATAAGCTACCCCGAAAACATAATAGTCGACCCTGATATCGATTATACCTGAAAAGTTACAAAAAGTCGATGGGGGGTGGGAGGGGGTGGTGCAATATCAAATTCGACAGTATTTTCATAAAAAGCGCCCCAGAAAACATAAAAGTCGACCCTGATATCGATTATATCTGAAAAGTTACAAAAAGTCGATGGGGGGTGGGGAGGGGGTGGTGCAATATCAAATTCGACAGTATTTTCATAAAAAGCGCCCCCGAAAACATAAAAGTCGACCCTGATATCGATTATATCTGAAAAGTTACAAAAAGTCGATGGGAGGCGGGGAGGAGGTGGTGCAATATCAAATTCGACATTATTTTTATAATTAGCACCCCCGAAGACATAATATTCGACCCTGATATCGATTATATCTGAAAAGTTGCTAAAAGTCGATTGGGGGAGGGCAGGAGGGGGCGCAATCTCAAATTAGACCATATTTTCATAATAAGCTACCCCGAAAACTTAATAGTCGACCCTGATATCGATTATACCTGAAAAGTTACAAATGTCGATGGGGGGTGGGGAGGGGGTGGTGCAATATCAAATTCGACAGTATTTTCATAAAAAGCGCCCCCCGAAAACATAAAAGTCGACCCTGATATCGATTATATCTGAAAAGTTACAAAAAGTCGATGGGGGGCAGGGAGGGGGTGGTGCAATATCAAATTCGACATTATTTTTATAATTAGCACCCCCGAAGACATAATATACGACCCTGATATCGATTATTTCAGAAAAGTTACAAAAAGTTGATGTGAGAGGGTGGGGGGGGGCGCAATCTCAAATTCGACCGTTTATTCATAAAAAGCGCCCCCGAAAACATAATAGTCGACCCTGATATGGATAAAATCCGAAAGGTTACTAAAAGTCGATTGGGGGGGTGGCAGGAGGGGGCGCAATCTCAAATTAGACCATATTTTCATAATAAGCTACCCCGAAAACATATTAGTCGACCCTGATATCGATTATATCTGAAAAGTTACAAAAAGTCGAGGGGGGGTGGGGAGGGTGGTGCAATATCAAATTCGACTGTATTTTCATAAAAAGCGCCCCCGAAAACATAAAAATCGACCCTGATATCGATTATTTCAGAAAAGTTACAAAAAGTTGATGTGAGAGGGTGGGGGGGGGGGCGCAATCTCAAATTCGACCGTTTTTTCATAAAAAGCGCCCCCGAAAACATAATAGTCGACCCTGATATGGATAAAATCCGATAAGTTACAAAAAGTTGATGGGGGGTGGGGAGGGGGTGGCACAATCTCAAATTCGACAGTATTTTCATAAAAAGCGCCCCCGAAAACATGGTGCATATTGGTAATTTTTTTATGTTATTTCAGAACAACGTTATTTCTGAAATATTTATTTCTTGATTTTATGCAATAATTTATTTATGAAATAAATAATCCTGAAATAATAGTTATGAAATAATTTATTTCAGAAATAATTCATTTTGAAATAATTTACATTATTCCAAAGAATGTTCAAATAGTGAAATAATTATTTCAGAAATAAATTCAGAGTTATTCCATCGAGATTATTTCGTTGACTGTTTGAAATATTATTTCAGAAATAACCGTTATTCCCGAAATAATTCATTCGTGGAATAACCATGTGAATTATTTCAGAAATAAATTATTTCAAGAGTGCCCAGGTCTATTTTGAATAACCATTATACAAATGATTACAACTTTGACAACATATTTGTGATCATTACACCCCTATATATTTGTCAGCAATTGCTATTTTTTTATTTGCCATTAAATATTTTCTCTGTGATGAACTGCTAAGGTACTGGAAGACACTAAAAGGAAATTTACAAAAAATGGCATAATCACGGTTTATGTATCTTATTATAGCCAATTTCCTCAGATATTATAAATGTGCTTCTGTAGCTATTAAACTTAATATAAAATATATGTCAAGTCCTAATCATTAAAAGCATCACTATTACAGCAAAATTCATAGCTAAAATTTTTAACAAAGGGGCTAATGGATGATTGGAGAGAAAATCTTTAAGGACAGACGTAAAATGTAGAAACAATTTTTAATTATTATTTCGTAATCTATAGTGATTTTTTTTAACAAAAAAAATTTTTATGACATTAATACAATTTTTGGGATATTCACTACACTCTAAAACAGCCAGACTGTGTTAGAAGTGAATAAATATTAATAGTTTACTTATAAGTTAATATTGAATATGCACCGATTAGATAACCATATGACAATTATAGAAACACATGAATGAATATGCAAATGCATCCAGAATATATTGGTTTAATTCAAAGAGTTTCAATTTTTTATCACAAAACATTTGTTTGTAGAGGTAGACTAAAACCCAGACACCCACATCTGGTTTGAGATGACATATACCATAGGTGGGGAACCTTTATATCATTAGAGGCCGCAGTAATAGAGGCCACACAATAATTCCTTATATTTTACTGTTGCTATTAATATTTATCACTAAATAGATACATTCAAAACCCACATACATTCAACTTAATTCTATTAATTTTCAAATTGTAGTTACATAAATAATTAAATATTAATTTATTTTACTAGATTAATAAATACCATGTGAAAACTTATGGAGGCCGCAATTTCTCACCTATGACATATACCTATTGTTAAAATTACTTCCAGGAATATGTTCAATGGGTGATCTAATCTGCCATTGGATCCCTTACTATCATATAACCTTTGAAACTGAATAGAGGCAAGCAAAAAGTATTGCCTTGAGAAATATAACTCTTAATGGTACTGTGTGTTACTGTCAGACACATTAATGCTGTAGATAACAGCATGGTATTATAATTAATATCTCAATAAGATATACCTGTAAAATTTCACCTCTTTTCTTATTAGTTTCTTCAATACTATTTTCATAATTGTACTGTATAGCATCTCTTCTAGTGAGGGCTTCTTTAACAGCTTCTATATAATTAAGATATTCTTCCAATGGCTGCAAATATAAAATTAATGAAGTTTACTTGGATGAAACTGTTATTTGTTTTTCAACAATGCTATTCAATAAAACGAGTATATTAAAGTTTGAAAATTGTTGAAAAGAATTTGGTAATTAAAAATAGTTTCTATTGGTTTTATAATTGAAGAGAAAAACAGATAGGCCATTTTTTTTTTTTTTAATTATCGGTTTTAATGAATTCAGAATGAATAGCTGCGTTCTTCCAGAGCGTTAGAATGCAGAAAAATGAATTCAATAACTATAATCTTATGTTTTTTTCATATTTTAAATATCCGGTAGAATCCACTGATAACAAAAACTAGATTTAAATAATAAATTTTATTTATCTATTTTTTTATCTTCACTTGTAAAAGGAAAGACTTCGTAATTCTTTCAGTTTTTTAAGTAGCAAGATAATTAAAAGAGAAAGCAATCAAGAATAAAGAGGGAATGATTTTGTTTGTGAATATTGATCAGATAATTATAACCTATTAATAATACTTCAGGTATTACTTTAGGTAACCAATGCGAATGAAAATACACGTAGTATACCTAATTTCATGGAATACAATTTCAATCATGCAACCACTTCAATAATCAAATGATTTATTATCACTCTATTTTTAATTATATTTTAGGAAGTTTAAAAACAAATTCAATCCAACGCAAGCTTTTTGCGAAATATACGTACTATTCTAATCATAAGTACTTTATTTTGATTCTCAAACAGCATTTGAAACATAAATTAAATAGATGCTGATACAAAAATATAAAACACTACTGGAACTTAATAGTTTCTTTAGGGTAATAAAAAAAAAGAAGTTGAGTGTTAGGAAAGAACAAATTAAAAAAGATACAGTTCGGCAAGTATCATATAGTTCTCAATAAAGGATAAATGTAATTTTAAAAAAAAAATTGTTTTTATTGGAATTAATTATCCAATTCTGATATTGTTTTTAAATGGTTATGGTTTGCTACTGAGACAACAAAGAGAAACAAATAAAACAACTATAACTGTACATTGTACAAGCACAGATCTCACTATCACGTAGGGGAGTGTCCCATGAATGACATATGTGGAAACGGTCAGTAGAGATGGACTCGCTAACCAACAGTGAAAGTGGACCTGTTCATGTGAAACCTCTGAATGTCCTGCTCGCTTATCATTAGTTCACAAAATATCCTTTTTTCTCTTACAGCCAGAGATCTTCCTAAAGTAAAACACTCATTATCCAGAGATAAACAAGTACTTTGCTCAGGTGTCTGGATGGAGACTGCTTTAAGGTATTCATGGTGTAAGTCGAAAATTAGAGATTTAGATATAACAACATGGAACACAAGAGGTTTAAATACAGTGAGAGGAGGATTTAAAATTGGTCGCGGACAAGATTAAGGTTTCGTCAATATATCGTGCCACTGCAAGAGGTTTGCTGGCCAAGGGAGGGCTCGATAAGGGAAGGTAAGTACACTGTTTGAGATAGAGGAAACAGCAATCATTGTTTAGGCACCATGCTTCGAATTAAGAAGAGATTGCTTCCTGCTTTGATGTACATTTAATTTTTTAGTGATGCATCTAGACAGCCATTGGTGATATCGACATCAAACCTTCAGGTTACTATTATTATTATTAACTGTATATTTCACAAACTTAACAAAGTTATTTTTCCCAATCACTTCGTAAATATTTAATATCATAACTGTTTATATTCATAGCTAAAAGTTATAATAAGCTTACATTTTCTAACAATGGGTGATAAGTTTGCAACAGATGAATCTTTTGAAGAGTAGTAACTGATTCTATTGCCTTACGAACTCCACATATTCCTTGACTCAGTTCTGGCTCATTATAGGACCAATTATCAAGAGCTCTTTTGGCATCTTCCAATTCAAGAGAAAGTTCTGGAACATGACCAATGAAAATTGCTTATATTAATAAATGGTAGCAGTGACATAGCTACCAACTCGATTCTATTATAACCAACAGAAAAGAACACATTTAAATAATAGTTACTGCATTATGGATTAAGAATAGTGTTGTTTTTAGAAATGCTTGCTTTAATCTTTAGAAACTATGAAAAATACATAATTAAGGTACTAAATTAACATCATTAAATGCACTCTGATCAATTTTATACTTTAATAATAAAAAGTGAGAAAACAATAAAATAGTTGAACAACATAACAATTATCAAAATTTTCTTGATTTGTATTCTTTCTGTATCCATCAATATGCTGGACGCATTCTCAGTTAAAGCAATGATAATTGGAAATGTCATATGCATGTTAAGAGTGCCCATCTATTGGTTAACAATAGAAACTAGTTCAAACCTGATTTATCATGTAATGAACAGAAATAATGTTTTCAATGGTAGCGAATTGTATATTCTTCAATAAAAATGGTTTTGGTGAAATCTCTTCCTTGAGGTAGTCAGTCACTTGCTACTGATTTCTGTTTGAACACAAGCCATTAAGAGTGTTTCTGTTTTTTTTTAACTAAAAAAAACTGACTAAATCAGAGATGCCCATTTTCCCTCCCAAAGGCGATGGCCCATATCCCTCCATCCAAAAAATTTTATAGCCCACATATAGAATGGTGCAAAAGCCAAAGAAATAGAGGGAGATAAAATGGTTGTATCTTGCAAAAGATTGTTTTTCTCTTTGATGTTTCATACCACCTTCTGGCGCAAATAAATTAGAATTTTTTGGCTCGTATCTGTATTCTAACATTTTTGAGGAAACTTTCAGATTGAAACATACAGTCAATAAATTTAACATGGCCACTATCTCCAATTCTATGGTCTACTAACTTTCACAACCCTGTAAGAATTAAATAAAATAAAATAAACGCTCTCTGATAAGATAAATAGATCATTGAAAAAATAAATCCTTACAATTATCGGTCAGCAATAGCTAACACCAGTTAAGTTAATAGAGTAGGCTAATCACTACATTAATATTTAGAATAAATTAATTATTTTATTTCCAATTCTTAAAAATAGTTCATAATTTAGTTTAAATTTAAAAGTACCAGTTCTTTCCCTATGAATCCGACTAGCAACTGAAAGTAGGCTATAAAGCTTTTGAGATAAGTTGTTAACATAAACTCTCACAGCTTCAAATTCAGGATAAAGATGTCCATGTCGAGGAATACATCCTTTAAAATTTTGAATTGAACCAGATAAACGATCAAATAGTCCTGGACCTGCTTTAGCCTGCATATTAAATTCCTGAAAGTTAAAATAAAAGTGAAGAGGTACTTCAGAAATTTCAATAAAAGAAAATAATCCATTTGAATAAATAATTAATTTAAGGACACTCTCCAAAGTGTTAATGAAATCCATATAAGAAAATAATAGAATCATATTAAAAAAATTGAAAAATCTATAACTAAAAATCTGCTGAGAAATGGCTGGTATATATGACAGTTTTATTATGTAACTGCACATATTTGCTACTTTCTGTAGATCTAGCGTTGTAAAAACAAGCCCTGAGCTTAAACCTTAAATTATAGTTCATTTTCATAAAAAATTATACATTTTTATCTGTTGGAAGTATCAGCGTGAATATATTTCCAAATTATAAATGTGGATATATTATTTTTTCTGATGTTAGCAACAATGTTAATATATTTCCAAAACAATGTGGTGAATAATTAGATGGAAAAAATTAGTAAGTCAGAAGCTGTGACCCTTTGACTGCTGAACTCTTAGGACTTCAGCCGTGGTCTAGTTTGAGAAAGCTTGAGTATGTAGTGCTCAAGTCTTATAGCCTTCTGAACAAGCTCTTTAACAACACAAGGTAGATCAGAGCCATTAATAGCAAGGTACTGAAGATTAAGAAACCTCCATAGGTCACTCAATTTAGGAGTGGATGTTTTTATTTTATGATCTTAACCCACTGTCAACCAGAGGTGAAACTTTTATATTAATACTGAAATTATAGGAATATAATTATATATTTATTAGAGGAAATAATTAAGATTAGAGAATTCCAGTTCTAGTGTTTCACAGATCAGCAGCGCATATTCAACAATTTCACTAAAAATAAAAATTGGTAATCAATTAAGAAAGCAGAAAAACAAATATTTTCGGCAAAATAAAAATTTAAACTTCATTGATAAATTATCAGTTTGGATGTGGTGAAGTAAAATACAAGTGAATTTGAAACATTCGAAAACCATAAAACTTACAGCTGACTTTGCAGTTAAAAATGTCTTTAAAACAGGACTACAGCTAAATACTGGGTGGGAGGCCACTCTTTGCATAAATGTATGCAACATTGACATTCTCGTCATGATGAAAGGGCGAGAATATCTATCTAATTGTTCAAGAACACTGTGCTTCGCTGGTAACCCCTGCAAGTAATTGAAAATCAAAATCTTTCTGAGAATTTTACATTTTTAAAAGTAGAAAAAAAGTTGACATTACAGGAACAACAAGAGTTGGAAAAGATTCAAATAATTTATTCCTGAGCCATAAAAAATCACTATATCTCCGCCTTGCAATAAACTCCTCTTCATTAGATTTTTGCTTTACCTGCAAATATATTTAATAAAAGATAAATATAATTCCCAGTATATATTTCAAAAAGCGAAATGATAACTGACTTTTGTTGTAACTCTAAATGAAATATAAGTTTCCATTGGATCAAGATGTTTTTGTGGATTATCCACACTGACTTCATATTCTTGAAAATCATCACACATTTTTACATTTAGATATACGCAAGTTAACTGTCAAAATTATCATCTAACAGCCATTGCCAACAATTCCTGTAGAGCTTTCTCCTATAACCTTCCTATTACCAAGTGACAGTAAACAGTTTAAAGAGGTAGAAGCTTTAGTAGATTGATATCTGAAAAAGAAATATCAATAAACGAAAAGTACTTATATAATTTATCAATATGACGGGTAGGGAACAAGCGTTGTTATTCTGACTATTGTAAAACATTTTTTTTCCTTCCACTAAATTTTATGTACGCTTATTACGTTTACTTGTCCGGTTAGTGTTTATAAAGTTTTTAATAATTTTATTTAAAATCCAAAACAGTTAAGCTCAACTTCACTTATATTTACCTGGTATATGCCTCGGAATCGCGCATCGCTCCACCTTCTAAATTCTCTAATTGTTCCCACTGCATTAGTATATAAATTAAATGATTGTTTCTTAAACAGTTTTTGTCTTTTTTGAATGATTGATTCATCAAAGGTTTTTTTATTAATTATTTTCTCAAACGCTTTTTAATCATTGTTTCCTCAAACGTTTTTATTTCTTAAAGTTCGTAAAATTTCTTTCACGTAAAATCTAAGTTGAGTCGTTAATTCATATGCATACCTTAAGTTAATCTGAGCACAATACAAACCTAAGATATTCCAGACTTAATAATGACCCTTATTCATATAAGAAGATTTAAAACTATATTTTTCTAAAAATGATAGACCATTTTCAATTGTTTACTCTGCTAACTAACGTAAACAAATCTGGTGCGCGCAACACACAACTTTCACTTGCCGATCTACTTTGAATAGAAATTATTTTCTGGCAATGGTGGGCTATTATAAAATTTTTTGAAGTGCATTTTAAATAAAAATCTAGTCACTCCATCTGCTTTTGTAAACCACAGAATGACGAACTCCAATTTCAACATTTTTGAGTGATGTCCTTTTAGTGATATTTTTAGATTCTTATATTATGATTTTCCTTGGAATTCTAGCCTGCCATCATTGCTGATTTTTACTTATAAATATTAATATTAACTGTCATTTTTCAAATTAAGGAAACTATGCAATATTTCCTTATTTCGTAAATCCAATTTTAAAAACTGTCAATGATTTTTTTATATCGGTCTCATAGGCATCCCTCTTCGGCACATTCTTCCTGTACTGCTTCTCCTCAACTTTTATGTATATATAACCCTTTCGGTGATTTTCTGTTTTTGTATCGCATTGAGGAAATATATTTCACGTTCGTAAATCATAATCTTGAAATTTAAATAAAAACTCCTTAAATATTCTTTATTTTCGGTGATGAAAACTTTCAGGTATATAGACTATACAATTGGTTTATTTGTTGATTTACATGTCAAGTTGACATTTCAGGAAAATTATTCTCATCATCATAACTTAAATTCCTTACTTTCATAGCGATTTTTGGATAGAAAAGAGGTAATTAAAAAAGAATGCATGTTAAAATACATGCTAAAGTTGTGTTGTTACATAAAATGTTATAACTACCTAAAGTCTGATGTGCTCCTTTGTCATGATTTGAAATTTATGTGTTATAAATATAATAAAATAGATTATCTGGAACATCAAGATTCCTAGGACCAATATTGGATGTTCTGTTATGGGAGATATTATTGCCTTTTGGGTCTAATTATTTACTCTTTTACTATTGTTATTCAGTGACTGTTACATAGCTACATTCCAGTTTTACTATATTTAAATTTTATTTGAGGTATCCTACATAGTGTGTTACCAAATGTTTAGGGTCTATTTTGTAATTAACTGTTTTTTTTTATGTGGATGGCTCCGAGTAATTTTCTATTGTTGTTTTTTGGTTCTGTGCCTAATATTTGTGTTTTATGGAAATTGAATTTGTGATGTAATTTTATTTTACGGTATGCCTAAATATATTTGGGCGAATAATATTCACCGAAAATCCATCAGATCGTTCCTTAGGCACACAGGTTTATCAGTGTACCAGTTCCTAAATTCAGCTGTGAGATCATTGATGAGGATCGGAAATCTGTCAACGGATTAGAGTTGGGTACAGGACACGGGCGGATCTACGGGGGGAGGGCTTTCGGGCTGAAGCCCCCCCCCCAAAATGGAAAAATATAACCATGTTTTATGGGGAAAAATATTTAAAAAATACCTCTTAAAGTATTATTGTTCGTGTAATTACATTTAAAAGTACTTAAGGAATAACTTAAACACCATCTCATATCGGTAGTTAGTTTCTTTCTGTTTTTCCAAAGGAATTATCGTTATTTTTATGAAAAAAAAGGTTTCGGGCTGAAGCCCCCCCAAAATTAAATCCTGGATCCGCTAGTGGTACAGGAACTTGTTCTATATTACGAATAATGGTGGGCTGAATCTTGCTTCTTTCCTGTTTTCAATCCAAGTTCTGATAGAGTTACTGTCTTTATCATGACTATTCGCTATAGAAGAAGGATGCTATAATAAAATCAATGAACATTCCTTTATCTTCTAATAGGGCTTTAATTTCCATTGAAGTTTTATTACCTAAAGAAAGGGAAGCAAAGTTGATTATGTCCTTCCTTTCGACAAGCTTTATGGATTGTGTTTCAGGTATACTCTTCTATACCTTAGTGTCCGTATTCGTTATAATTCTGTACTATAAACATGAAAAATGAAACGGGTAAAGATTAAGAGACAATTTGTCATTTCGAATTTAGGTACAATTTTATCTTTAAACATCAATAAAAACCCAAATAGCTGGTATATAGTACTAAAGACGTATTGATTTGCTTTAACGATATGCCACTTTCCGTGACATCCAAAAAAACAAAATATAAAATTAACACTTAATCCATAAGTTGTACACTATCATCCTCCAGACACTTATACAATCTTCCGAAGGAAGTGGCGAGATTAATCTCCTTGAGGGAGTGCGTCCCCACTTCTTCGAGGAGAAAGGGACACCGTTAGAACTCGGTCAGTTACTCTCAGTCTCTCCCCGCCGTAAGATATGGATCAGTCAGGGTAAGGTTTTATGCCTGATACGTAACATTGACAAAGTTATTAAAATTATATTAATCTTAAAATTAATATTAAAAATTAAGGCACAGTCCCATTTTTAAATCCTTGAAACCTTTTTTTATTTCTAAACAATTAAATTTCATAAATTTTTAATGAAGCAAATCAAACCCTTGAATGAAGAAATCACCGGTGTTGATGAAAACATGTATTTTAATAATATATATTGCTATATACATTATTAAAATACTTGCCAGTCATTCTGACATTTTTTAAAAATATTTTATGTTCAGAAAGTATATTTTTAATTCTTTCAAATACTCATGAAAAGCTTTTTCTATGTCTTAATAAGATTTTCAAACATTAATTGGTGAAAGAATAAATAAGGTAAACTTACTTGCAAAGTTTGAAGCTCACCTTACACAATTAATATTATTCAACGTAGTATATACATACATGTATCACATTCGTAATTTGTTACAGTATAACCTTCAGAGAGTCAATATATTCGGTATTGACTCAATAATATTGACCGTTTTCGGTGATTTGACGCTAATTCTAAATTAACAGTTATTATTATCCATTATATAAAATATATTCGGGGCTGTTTTGGGAATAAGCTGTTTCCTTTATAACGAAATATAACAATCCATAGTTTAAAAAACTAATTTAAAAATGGACTATCCTGTAAGAAAAAACTCGAACGGAAAAACTATTTATTTTACGGATTTTAAATACAAAAAGAGCGCGCGCACATATTTATGTAGGACATATATTTTTGATATATTTGGTACATATCCCTTTGATAATAAATTTTCCTTGACAATAATAGACTGATGAACTGTATCAAAGATCATCGGAGAGGGTGATTCCAATATTTTTGTAGTATTTCACGCTTTAAAGGTGTTGCACACCTTAAGGTAGGAGGTTGAAGATTTGTGAACTGAGATGATTTTAGAGAAGTGTCTTTTGGGGCTCTTAGCTTTTTTTCTCTCACCCAAACATTTTGTTAAATTAAATTTAGAAAATATATATATAATATCAAACGTAAGAAAGGATTTCATACATTATGAATGAAAGAGGCAAAACTCAAAATACCTAACGTCACAAATTTTGATATTTGGTTCCCCACCATCACTGGTTTCCCACAGCAGCTAGCATTCAAAGACAGGACCAAACCAAGAGACTTAATAGGTGTTCTATCTGCAATAATACCATAAATATTTGGTATTTGCTAAATTTCAGCAAAATGTCGGCATGTGGAATGGGTTTTCCCAGTTTTCTCCTGTCTTTACGTTGTACCTATCTCAAAATAAAGTTAGAAAGTTGAAACTTTTTTTTTACATTTTTGGAGGAATGCCTTTTGGAGACCCAATTACCTGCTGCCGAAAGACGTATGTTTATATAAATCAGCGAAATGGCGGTTACGAATTTGATGAAACTTCCTTATCATAGGCACTTATTTATATGTGTATATATATATATATATATATATATATATATATATATATATATATATATATATATATATATATATTTCAAATTAGTAAATCTATGAGTTTTTTTATTATAGATATATGTCGACCGTGTGACGTTTTTACGAAAACGTGAAATGTTTGTTTTGATTTTTATATAACGCCATTAATTCAAGAATTGCTAAATTTATAAATACCACTCGTTGTCGAAATAAGATATGTAAATGAACCTTTTTTTTTTTCTATCTTCACGCTTACAACATCGAAGCAATTTATTATTCCTAGTTATTTTCCTTGTAATTATAATATGATCCAAGCCTTATTTTAAAGGAAAATATATTCAATGTGTAAAAGTATTATATATATATATATATATATATATATATATATATATATATATATATATAATAATATATTACATTAAAATATATTTATTATATTATAAACCAAAATAAATCGTAGTAATTATTTGTAAACACTTTTTCTATAGGAGTTTAGAGATGCCTGCCAAAATGGCAAAATATAATAATTTCTTATGAAAAAATTATCTCTGAAATATATATTATCTATCAAATATATCGTGAAATTGCATTTAACAGAGCTTCAAGATCCACTTAAACACCATATCATATTGGTAGCTTCGTTCTTTCTTTTCCTTTCAAAATAATAATCGTTTTATATATAAAAGTTTTCGTGCTGAAGCCACTCTCAAAATTAAATCCTGAATCCACTAGTGAGTAATGGAATGGTAAAATTTTACAAATGTTATTAGAAGCAGCAAAAGGAAGCTACTAAACTCTGATTATTTAACATTCCAAGAGCTGGAGGACACAAGATATTAACTGTTTTACTTCATTAACGTTTCAATTTTTGTTAGATTAAGGCACCAGTGATCTGTTAAAAATGTATCTCGGTTCAGTCAAATGAGACATTATTTCTTCACATAATCTAACAAATAAATAACGAAAGAATTGACCTTTTTTTGTATATATTAGATCCTTTTTTTCTACGTATGATAGTTTTTGAGATATCGAGGAGGCGTAAAGGAAGTAAAATACGGCTAAACAATAATAATTGTTTTTTTAGATATAGTCAGTAATACATAATAAGTCATCGCATTGAATGTTAATAAGAAGTAGAAGGGTCGTATTGCTAGAGAAATACTCATAAAAAACAAATCAACACAGCAGTATAGGACTTCAGTGGGAGTTAAGTTGACACTTGTATATCTTCTAAATATAGAGCTGTTACATTTGCATATGATTTGTACTCATAGGAGTTCGCGTCGCGGTGCCAGTTGGGGTTTTAACTCAGGTAATAATCTCTACCCTCACCCACTGGCTCGGGAAAACCCCGTATAGCCAAAAAGGCGAGGAATGGGAGTAAACAAAAAAATAGTGTAGATAAATACGTAAAATGTAAAACAATATTTCTATTATAATATCAACTCATAATGCATTTTTTTCAGTAATTTGCTTCAAATAAATCCTTAACTTGATGAAGAATTCATTGTTTGACCAAAACAAAATTTAGAGTGCGATTTGTAACAGTTGATACTTGTATATTTTCTAAATACAGAGCAGTTACATTTGCATATGATTTATACTATTAGGATATATATATTTTCAATTAAATTAGTCGATATATTTTCAACTGCCCTCCACTTCAAAACCTCCACTTTTCAATGCTTTATTATTATAAAGGAAAGGTTATTTCTACGAGGTAGTTTCGAATCAAATGCAACAGAAGGTATAACACATTTTTATTTAACAAAAATAAAAATTGTAAGGTCATTTTTCTGTCCACAGCTGTTCCTTTCAACTCTGTCCGTTTCCTCCGAGATTATTAACTCTGTTAGAGCAGTTATGATAAAGAGTCGAGAATAAGGTCAGCGTTTTCTAGTACAATATCTTCCGTGTCATCTAGATTTGATATCATAACGAACCATCGATGAAAGAGTAGTAATAATTCTCATCTCTTCTGCATCTTCATCTAGCTGACGATTTCGACAGGATTGTTTGAAATGAATCGGGAAGCCTTTCTAATGATGGACAATACGGAATTAGCTCGAGGATTCATTTTTATCTAAATAGGGACACCATAACGTTCCAAAAGATCCCTTTTTTACTTTTTCTTGTCAATGACAAGAAAAAGGAAAAAAAAATCGTGACGCTCCATTATTTATTATAATTAAAATATATAATCTGTAAGAAGAACGAATTATAGACAGTGACGAAAAATACACAAATTTAATAGATTAAACGGGTGAGAAAAACGTAACTTGATAAATTGTTTTAAATAATACGTTGGGAGATCTATAATTTTTACTTTCATGTACGAAAATACCTATTTCTACTCCGATTTGTAAAGATGTGTGATGCGCGCACCTTACTAGTTTTAAAAAATATTTTATGAATTTTTTGTCAAGGTTGAATGTCAGGATTCCTAGATGAAAATTTGCATTTTCTTGTTTTTTTATGGAGCACTGGCATTCCTAATTTTTCCCTAAATACTGATTCAAATCCATTTGATCTTTTAAGATCTTCTATTGGTGCTGCTTAGATTAATGGTTCTTTTATTCATCTAGCACATTTCAGTTTACGTAGCACTTCTCGACCTTGTACAAGTAATATTTCTTGGTTCAACGGTTGTGATAGGAGTTGATTGGGATTCACGTTCAACAGCCAGCCAGGTTTTCATGTGTTGTTATGACAATGATTGCTTAGTCTACTTTTATTCGTAAACTGGTCTTTAATGCAATTCTGAGTAATATTATTGACATCAATCATATCACCATGATCTCTACATAAATTCCATATACATTTATAATATTACAAATGTAATATTTTAAGTTGTGGCGGTTTTCGGCCTCAGGACGAGGCAACCGGGCCAATCGCCTTGGGGCGCCGATTTGATGAGCGCATTTTGGGGCTGATATAAATAATTAATCATACTTAAAATTAAATTAGGATTAAAATAATAAAAAATAATTAATTTCATCCTATGAATAAAGCAACTGTATTAGATAAATGTTAAAAGAAATGAAATTCAAATGTTGCGTAATAAAATACAGCTTAAGAAATTAAATTAATTTTTTTAGGTAGGAGGGGATGACGGAAAATCTGATAGACCCAAAGGGAAATTTAATATGTCCAGTTCTAATGAAAAACCCATTTTCATTTCATTCCCAAAAGTCTCCTTGAAATCCTTTTATACATCAAGGTACAAACTTTTTTTGAAGGAAGTTAGTCAACTGTAGCGAAAATAGTTCTACATATAAATATTCAGGACGCAGACTTTCCTAAAAAAAAATTTATTTATGCCAACGTTTCTTCAGGGCTGAAAATTTTTAAAATACAATCAGAGATATAATTGTATACGACCGATAATGATAAATAATAGACTATAGTGATTGATGGTACGCGAATCTTAAATAATACTGCAATACACGTATTAAAAATGAAATATGTAAATAGTTATACAAACTAAAAATTAAAAAATAATGTATATAATCCATTTATACAAATCTAT